GATAGGTAATTCAAATATTTTAATTTTCTATTTGTATTATTATCCTCTACTGTCTATACACAAAAAACATGTCAAAGGTTCTTGCCGTCTTAGCATCCTTAGTTTGACATTGGCTGAATTAATAAGGGATTGCTGGAAAGTTCGTCTTGTGAAGCTGCTTCAGTTCATTGCGAAGGGACTGGAGTTCACGAGTCTGCTGTAGAGCTAACTTATCCAAATTTGCCCTTCTCAGCAAGGAATTGTAACAGGCTTCTGCGCGAAGCACGTCGCTGGTCGCGTAAGCTACCGTAAGAAAAAATAACAGAATAATTTAAAAAGTGCATGGGTTATAATTACAATCTTCCTTATGCAAAATGGTCTGTAAATGGAAGTCTGCGTGCGGTGTCACTGGAACAGCACTTATGATCTCATTTTTCACTAAAGTTTGATTTGTATACTTTCCACAGATTATACAACTCGCATTTGGAAGTTGGTTAACCAAAAATGAAGGCCTCAACTGAAGGTGAATCTTAAAAGACGATAATTTTAATGGTTTGTTATTGTGAACAAATGAGATTTTCTTTTACTACTCTGTATGTTTTCCTCGAAATAGCTAGATTACTCCCTCTAATATAAAAAAAACTATACTTTCGTTTATACTTTGACTATCTATAAGAGATTCGTGGCAGTTGATGCCACATAAAACTAGGACCAGTTTTACTTCCATCGTGATACATTCTAACGTATCTATCTTGGTTCGTTCCAATATTTGTGGTAGGTTTTTTGACAGCAATCTTAGGCACAAATATTTTTTGGCTACTTGAAACAAAGCATAAAACAACTTTAACAGCAATTCAAAGGAGGCTTATCTGCTCCTAAAGTATTGCACGTCAAGACCTATTTGGTGTTGTAACTTATCCAGCTCCTCTGATAAGTACTAATGCTTATACACTCAACACCACCTAAAAACTGTTTAAAGCACAATTTTTTGTGAAATAAGCGATCACTTGAAAGACACCAAACGTCACCTATGATGGATGCGAATAACTTAGTGTGGATCCGGTTTGCATGAACCAGCATAATTAGTAAATCATTTCATAGTAGGTGGAGAAGTTTTAAATTAAGCATTTAAAGAAAAAGCAGTAACTCACGTGTCTGTTCGTAGACTTGTCTCGCCTCCAAAACACTGATGTTCATTTGCTCAAGATTGAGAAGTAGTTTTTCATTCCGCTTCTTTATCTTTCTTACCTGCTTTTCTTTAAAATATTTTATCCGTTTCTCAATTTTATCAATGTGTTTTCCGTGATTCTACATTGGTGGCATTAGGAGTGGGTGGTGTGGTTTGAGCAGAAGCTAACGCCTCGATACTTACTGCCTTCAATTGCGCATACGTGTGCTCCGAATTAGTGAGTTCAGTTGATACAAGGTTCTCATAGTCAGGATTTTGTAAGTACTTCAATAAAAAGGGGAAAAGAAGTTCATATATTGCTTTATGGAACGCATACCCGTTGTATCTCCCTGGTGATAGTGAAGTTGGTTATTTGCTTTTTTCTATCCACAAGGTCCTCGTAGCGCATCAGCATTTCCCTTAGGTCCCTAAATGGTAATTAGCAAAATAAATACCAAAGTAATCCTCCTTCTAGTGCTGAGTTACACTTATTGTGCTAGAATCGTACACACAGGCGTACAGTTCAGTTTGAAGAATTAAGAAAAGATAAACCCACCACTCAAGCATCTTGAAACGCCTTTTATATGACTTGATGAGTTCCATGTGGTTAATTTTCTCGTTGCTAAGTTGGACGACCTGTGCATTAAGATCTTCAATTTGTTTGCGATTGATGAGGAGGCAGGTGTTGAAGTCTTCGACCAGACGTCCTGGTTTTACCTCGATTTCCACCTGACCCTGCGGCATGAGTATGTTGATGTCCACGTTTGCCATCATTCGATAGATCTTAGCCTTCAATTCACTCCGTGCCATTTCCACCTCATCAAGTTCTTGCATTGCATCCGCCAGTTCCTTCTCACGACGCTGTCAAGAGAAAAAATAAACCCTGATTTCTTGTTTAGTTTGCCATGCAACCTATTAAAAAAGTAGTTTTGAAAAATATCATGAACTCAAAGATACATTGCAAACATTAGATAGTGTAAATTTCCTTTGGTCTCTATTTAAAAGAGGAGATTTAAGTTATTTTGGGGTTCAGAAAAAAGTTCTTTCAAAAAAATTGTAAGAGATTACTAAAGCGGAGTTAATAACAAAAATTTTCGTCCATTAAATGACTTCTTAAAAAGTAATAAGCTTATTGGGGATATTACGTCTAAAAAAAAAACATTTTAATTTGGTTACACTTTTTCAAACTAATGTCAACATATTCATTATCGATGCCATGTCCCCAGTTGTAGAATCAGGAGCAGTATTGTAACATTCGTCAAAATTTTACTAATTTTTCATTTACATTGTGTCACTATTATGAGAGTTGAAATTTTTTCGCAAGATCGACAAAATGCTTAACACTTTAAATAAAGTGTTTTAGGGCTGAAATACGCCTAAAAACGATTTTGAAAGTGGAATTTTTTTCAAAGCAATAGGGGTTAGAAGACCACTTATTGTAAAATATTCGCGTATATTCACACAACTATCTGCTACTAATTCGGCAGCAAATAACCCCCCGCATTGTTCATAAAATTTTACCAGTCTAGTGGTTTTCAGGCATCTATTCACATTAGCAAAACCTCAGCTCACTTGTAGGAAGGTCGTAGTGCTATTGAGATGGTAAGTTGCATTCTTCAGTTCCATTTCTTTAGTAACTTTCTTAAGCCGTGCTTTGCTGAGTCGTTCCCAAATGGCAGGGTCGATGTTGAACTCAGCCATTTTGTTGATCTCATCGTATTCACTCAAGGCGCGTTGAACGGCCGCCCACTCGGCCTCAAGGGAACGCCTCTGGGTCAGCGCTTCCGTGTAGGGATTCCTGTTCCCACTCAAGCTTGCCTGGGTAAGAAGACTGGACATTTTCTTCCTACTTTCTTCCTTCCCGTCCTCTCTCTCTTCCTCTTCCATTCCCGATCGAATCTCCACTGCCAGTCGCCTAAACAGTCAATTGAAACCGTCTGTTATTTGAACTTTCAGTGTCTTTATGATCTAATGACCCAGTTGGATAGAATATATGACGATACCTGTGCTAGAAATGCAAGGTATGAATTTGTAAAGTTAGAAATTTTCTTTGAAAAGTTGGCTAATGCTTCCTCAGATTGTGAATGCGGGTGAAATTAATTTAACTTTAGCACCTTAAAATACTTAAGGCACTTACAACCAACCGATTTCAATATGTACTAGAATGGGTATAAAACTTTGGTTTGTATCCATTGCGTTTGAGCAAATGATTTTCCGTATGCTGAATCTATAGACTCCTATAAACTTCAAATATTTGCGTATGCAGCACAAAACACGTTGATTTTAAAGAAAAAAAGCATACTTGGGTCTTCTTTTAAAAGCCTTGTAAATAATGTCATACGCGGGACCATGAATATCATGAAACTCCTTGCGAAAACTCTTATCCATCATCCTATCCTCCACCGTGATTAGTTCAACATCCTCTTGAAGCCTTTCTATTAACTCCTTTGCCTGCTGAATGATGCTGTTGAGCTGAAAAATTCATTTTACGTGTTGAGCAATCTAAATGCAACAAAATTACACCAACTATTTTATATGCTACCCTATTTTGCATTAGAGTCAAAATCTAGTGAAATTAAATGAAATCAATGGAGATGCTTACTTTTGAAACTTTTGATTCAATGTGTGTCTTTGTCTGACTATACAACTTTGCCTCATTTTCTAGCTCTCTGGCTTGTAGAATTGAAGCACGCAGCTTTCTGACTTTCAGCTCCTCCATCTCAATGCCAATTTCATACCTAAGGTAGGTGTGGAATAGATTTACCACATCCTTGTTTATTGTCAATTTCGTCTCCTCAATAGATGCCTCGTTTTTGTTCATCTCAGCTTCTAAGTACTAGTTGAAAAAAGGAGGGTTAAATCTCTTTCCGTTCCACATCAAAAAATCTTATATTGACCCAGGAAGTAATGTCGCTTTTAATTCTGATTTAAATTTTATATGCACATTGATTTGCTGGGGAAATTTTGCGGGACTAGTAGATTTAACAAGGTCTTCCCGCATCATAGTATTTATCTAAAATACCATAGTCCATAAATCTTCACTATCAGATTCGACTTGATCCGATGGTTAGTTTTCAAACTACCTTTAAAGAACAATTTCGAGCCGACATGGTAAAGTCAGTAACGCATATTATGCAAGTACACTCAGACCACAATGGATAATGAGGAGGTGGAGACAGCTACAAATCCATTTCAAATAACGGTTATATTAGTGGAAGGCGCTTCAAAATTTTAAAACAATTGATACAGTAAATGATCTAGACAGTTGGGTAGATTTTGTCGCCTAAATATCAAATGCGAAATCCTACCAAAGCTTGTTGTCATTCTTTGATATCTCGAAATCAAGGTCTAAAATTTAACGTTTACTTGTTACATTAAACAAAAAAGATTAACTCTTTTGAAAAGAACGGACCAATAGCTGTGCTTGGATATGTCGTTCAACTGGATGCTTTAATTGCGCTAGCTGTCTGGTGTCCATCCATTGTAGTCACATCGCATTCACTAAGACCATTGCAGTCATTGTAGTCTTCTAAGCGTTGTAAGTGATCGGATTCGGCAAATGCAGACAAAGTCTCTCACGAATGAATAGTTAAATGGTCACTTCTACTTAAGATGCATAATCACGTCTATAACTAAGGTCAATGCATCAATTAATTTTTTGCTTCCCGTATGAAATAAACTGCTGATCCGAATGAAGAAAATTCTTAGTTAAAGTTTCAACATCGTAATTCTCATTTTTTCGGTGAATATGCGCGAAAACTATAAATAATTGAGTATAAAATGAAGAAGGGTCACCTTTCGATATTTCTCGCGTTCCTCTTCCAACTCTTTGCAGGCCTGAAGATAACTCCTATAAATTTTCTTCTCCTCAGCATTCATTTCATGCTCCTGTTTGCCAGCCTTCACCGCTGCAGGCGTCGGGATGTCCTTCTTCAATTCATCCTCTCGTCGCACCTCTAGCACGCCACCCATCATGTCTTCAAGACCGCGTTCACGCCAATTGTCCAACTGCTCCTGCCTAAGTCGTTCCGCTTCCAGTCGTGCAACAGCCTCCATCTCCGCGATTTCTTCGGGTGAACGGTACCTTTTCACGTCCACTTCCTCATCCGTGCATTCTAGCAGTTTCTCAGCCTCCTCCACTGGTTGTAATTCGTACTGTCTCATTGAGAGCAAAGGAGCGTTGGGATCCAGTTTGGGAATGATTTCATTGATGCGCTCCACTCGCTTTCGGATCCCTTCGATGTATTGCCGTTTACGTGCAAGGCATTCATCGAATTCAGCGTTAAATCTTGACCGCATTTTCCGAATCAGGTCCTAAATAAAGTTACACCAAATGCTCGTTATTTTATCTTGCAAGTAATAATCCCCTAAGTGTCCAACAAAGAAAAGTGGGGATAACCTAACCTGGATGAGAACAGCTTGTGTAAGTTTTTGATCATTTGTGAACAGTTCCATTTGATTGTAGAGTAGTTTAGTAGATATCCCGAATCTGGTGGCTGCAATTAAAGGGATAGATAATAAAAAAATATCATAGTGCGCAAAATGGCTCACCAGCAGAGCCAAGGTGATCTTCGGCGCTTTCGGAAGTTACCTCATCTTCCACCATTTCTTCCGAGCTGCCTTTTTCGCTCTCCTTTAAAAAAAATTTGGCGTGGACACAAATGTTAAGTCGGAATTGCATTTAAACAGCAAATGTTGACTCAAGTGTTAAACGATAGGCGAAATGCAGGGAGATCGCCCTGAGGAGTTCCACTGAGTGAAAGGTATTTACGGCTTTTAAGTAATTGGATATTCTCACACATTCAAAACAATCCAGAGAAAAAGAAATAGACGAGCAACGCTTAAATTTGCATACTTCCAGTAATTACTTAACCATTTATTGTTCGCTTCAAGTCACCATATAAACACCACCTTGTGATACGCTTTAGATAATTCATCCCCTGCTCGCTATTTATGTACCCAGTCTGTTGAAATAACTGCAAAAAGCCTTTCATATATTTTATTAACTAAAATAATCAAAACTAAAACCTTAAATTTTTCTCCAATGAGACACAAGCTTGTTACAAATTCTGCTATGTAGAGGGTACGGTCATTCGAAGCCAGATAAAAATTAATGATCCCGCTTTCTAGCTAATTTTTTTCTCAAATGTCTAACCTATATCACATTGGATCATGTGGTTTTGTAATGGAAAAGAAAAATTAGTAATTGCTTGGAGAAGTGTAAGAAAAATATAGCGAAAGAGGTTGAGGTACCATCGTTTCCCCATCCTAGCTAAAGTGGAAGTCTTTTCATGGGTAAGTTTTGCATTATCAAGTATGGGGTATTGTGCTGTATCATCTTAAAAGAATGAGAACCAGGCCTTTTATCAAAAATTTTTTTGTTTACCAAATAAACTAACTCAGGTAATTCTCGAGCGCATCAATTGACGATAACCTGGTCCACCTTGAATGCCTTTTAAAAAGCCCAAAATGTATTTTGTAGAATGAAAAAGGGCGATTCGATTTGAATCCGGACAAATATACAATCAAAAATATCCATTAAAATACTTGCATTGACTTCACAGCTTACTGATGAAGAAGTTTTCTTGTAAATTTTTTCATTCTCCTTTCTGTAAAATTCACCAACGGCAATTTCGACGCGCCTGCGACTTTTAGCTTGATCTATAAGCCGATTTTCTTCCTGTGTTCTCGGGCAAAGTGGATAGTTTGACACTTCTATGGGAAGATCGTAGGCTAGAAGGCTTCGGCCCTTAACTTCTTGCATCTCCCAACACCGCGATTTTATGACACTGTGAGTAAAGTCCTTGATAAGGTCCTCATGTTCTATTTCAGCACGTTTCTAACTCCAAATAACTTTTCTTTAGTTGATTTATAGCCCACCTTCTGCAGCATGTTGTTTGTCTCCTCAAGTATTGCGTTCCTTTCCTCTGAATCCAATTCAAACTCGGTAATTGCCACTTTTTCCAAATCCGTTAGCCCATCATTCATTTCTGCCATTTTTTCAAGCTAAATAAGAAAAGAAGGATGGATGTTTTAATATTTAGCTTATCCCAAATATCACAAAATGTCCTGGCTCTCTTTGCTTTCTCAAATCGATGCTCTTTACCTCTTTCTTGATTTGACTAAACTCCTCAATTATTCTAGTTTTGGTGCCTTTCATAGCCTCCACGTCTTTGGCATGTTGTTTTTGGTATTGCTTCTCTATCCATGTCACGGGAGAAACCTTCTGATCAATTTTGTAGACTTTAAACTCCTCATCAGTGCCAATTGCCAAGTTGTTTTTCACTAAGGAATCGTTAGGTGACCTGTCATTGCTGCTGTTTACTTCCCAAGATTCGTGTATCATCAGTGCAGTGCGCTTTGTTTCCGCGTCTCTTTCGAGCGCTAGGAGGTCTGCTTCATCAATTGGAGGAATCTTGTCACTGTAAGAGGAAAAATTTTTCAATTTGGCCAGCTGCCTACTTGATTCACTCAATTAGTCACATTCTTTACGAAAAAACTGGACGATTTACTAACTCATCGAATTTGATTTTGGTGCTTGAAAGGAATGAATCGGATCCCTCTATTAAGTGAATTTACGTTCACTGGCACCATTTATTATAGTCTACCTAGTCGGTCAGTTTGTTTATCTACCCAAATTCATCCGCTGCTTAGGCATTCACTGTTACATACAGTCAAGGGACTTATTATAGAGCTGTAATGGTTAAAATAAAAGAAAACAAATAATTGACCTCAAATTCATCGCGCAGTATCCACCGTCTCGTTTAACGGCTGCGAGAATGCCAAAATCTCTTGTTACTGCAACTTCAATTGGATCGCTGGTACTCTCGACAAGTGGAAAATATCCTATCACAGACGCCGACTACAATTTTAAATAATTCACTTAATTTTTGTTGAAAAATATGATAGTTTAACTATTTGGTAGCAAAAAGTATGCTCAAATTAGTTAACCAAGCATATATAATAGTGTTTAAAGTGTGTGGCGTCACTCCTTGTAAGTTGGGGGTAGTTAACGAAAGTATTTAAGCTACGGTTTAAAATGCTTTAATTTCAAAGACAGTGGGATCTTTGTTTCATGACGTTCATTCACAAACTCACCAAGTCATCCACTTTCAAAACGTAGAACACGCCTCCTTGTGTTGTGGCGATAATGATTCCAGGCACGTGAGTAGTACATAAGCTCACAGAGGAGTAGAAGAAAGTGATGTTTGTCAGCAAAAATGTATCCACACCAGTGACAGTTGGTTTTGTCTGTCAAGCACAAAACACACATTATTGGGCACAGTAGTAAAATTTCTAGCCGACGGAGTAGCCGATAGAACAACCGTGTATCGAAACTCAAGGAACAAGAACGCTATCAACAGGAACACAATAGACCTCTTTCTTGGGCTTTTTGTCTCTCTTATCCTCTCTACGTAAACGACTGAGTTGAAAGTTGATGCTTGGACGGGGTACACGATAACTGAGTGCTTCGAAGGAGGCCGAGCCAAGAATGGAACGACGATCATTTGAGCGTGCTTGTAGGAAAGGTTGCAGTCTGCTGGAGAAATCACGCGTGATTGAGTAGGTCCGTCTCTGATGCTGGGCTGATCTTGTGAACTGACGGTAGGCTGAGGTCTTTCAAATGGTAAGAGATCATAAAACTCATTCTCCGCCTTTTTTCCATCAGCTTATTTCTGCTTTAGGTTTTCAATAGCAACGAATTCGGTTGTATTTAGCATTTCGTTCTTGTTTTGTCGTACAAGTAAGCCACGGAATTTAAGCAGTACTAAATAATCTCAGTCCATTGCGCCTTACCCATTAAAAAGTTTTTATCATTTTTATGATATGTGCGTAAAAATTGCAACTTTGTTGGCTTTTACAAGTCACATGTAGACGCAATCGAAAAAATTAATATTTAGAAATCCAGCAGCCTTTGGTAAGTAATTTTGTCCAATATTTCACTCCTATATAGGCACTAATCTGCATTAGTAACAGTTGAATTTTAATAACAGCTTTGAATAGCAATTTCAGTTCTAATGTAATTTAGGAAGAACTCAATATAAATTTATTTTTAACGACTTTTTTAGTACTGTATCCACTTTAAGAGGCAACATATTCTGCAACAACTCATGCTCTCAGTTAGATTTCAAGCCATCCCTGCTCACTTTTACTCCAAGTGTATGCGTAAAGGCATACTTGATACCTCGAAACAATTCAAATCATGGATTCAAAATCCATTCAGAACCGATATTACTGCTATTCCCTCAAAGAAGTACTAAATAATAATTAGTAGTAGCTTTACATTGCTTCGTTTTGTGCAAGGGGAGGTTTGCAGTTTAACATATTCATACACCATACATTGCGTTTTTTGGTTGAAGCAGTTTAAATGCCCAAAATCTCCCTTCCAAATTTTCGTGTTACTAAGCTTAAATACAGACAAAATATTAAATTTTACGATCAAACACGGATTTGGCGATTTGGGGGTGAAGCATCAGAGTAGAAAGCTAACCTGATCGGCAATCTCTTTGCTCAAATCTATCATCACCAAAACACAACTGTTATTCGTGCCCTTGGTGAGAGAGTAAAGAATGATCTTAGGTGTTGTCTTTGCCTCCTCTTTAAGTTCCTCATTCTCAGGATTCTCCGCTTCTTCTTTGGGTGTCTTGTATGAGTTCATCGAGGCCGACTCATCTGCCGATAGGTTCTTTTTCTTATTGGGATCTGTTACAGTCAAATAGGCACTCGAGATGTTGAGGAGTATCTTGAAGGACATCATGGAGAGCGACTCATCACGAAGTTGGTAGGAGTTCTGATAAATGTGACCTGTAGGATCTAAATGAATCCAAGACATTAAAACAACTATTCATGGCTGGGAGCTATTTCATGATAGGAATTTGTTATTGCCACTTAGTCCCTTTTCAACCAAAAAAAAAACCTTCATTTATGGCTCCCTATTCAGCCCTGAAATGGTTTTTCTGTAAAACGTTCAAAGCATAGTGCTGAGCAGAATTAAGTTTAAGTGCTACCTTCAACAAGTCATCGTAAATTTTGCTTAACCGGAATGCCCTATGCTGTGCAGTGTTTAACCAACTACATTCTACTACTTACGTGTTGAAACATAAGCAGAAGTTCGAATCATAACCGAATTCTGTGTGTATTCGAGTAAATCTGCAAATTATTTATCCATTAAAACTCCTGAATTGTAATGATTTGATGTAACGGTTACCGGATCGTTGGTATGACTCTTCCTTCATGGCATTTCTATTAACGGTCTACCATCCCTCCTGTCTATGTATGATAAATTTTTGGTATCGTCAAGGAAAAATGGTAAATACAAAATCATTTTAAATGAAAAACCTTAAAAATCACACACCAGCTGACATATGGCTGACTTTAAACAATTACTTTAGATAAATAAGGCCTACCGTCTAATATTTCATCTGTAAGCGTAAAGAACGTCGCAGTCGTGTATCTGTCCGACTTCTTCCTCTTATCCAGTATGATGCAATAAATCTTGTCACCGTGTACTCTTGCAAAAGCGATTGAATCAATCTTATTCTCATGGGCTGCAAAAAAGTCCTATTTGTTATAATCCTTACTTGAAATTTCGGTTTTAGAAGTGTCTTTTACGTACTTATATAACCGATGGGTTGAAATTCCTTCCGTGGTTCACAGGAGATAACGTAGATATTTGGTTCTGATCCCGTGACAAGCAACACGTCTCCTTTTTCATCCACGCTTAAAAGTCACAAGTAATATAATAGACTTGAATCAAGTATGTGAACCGTTTTGATTGAAAAGTATTGGAAACTGTTCAAAGAAGTGGAATGTGAAATTACTCGCCACTTTTAATTATAGTTGTCATTGGATGCCAGCCATCACAACGTTTTATCCCTTGCATGTGTAGACCAAAATCTTGCGCTATGGAATGTCCAGAGATAATTAAACATCAAGCAACATAACTGTGGGAGCAAGAAATTCCCACCCTTGAGGAATTCCCAGAAAAAATTATCACACTGCTACGTAAGTAAATTATTGCGCATATATCATTCCAAGCATGTACGACCAAGATGATGCTATTATTTTACCCAAAATATGGTTCATATGCATATCACAGCATTTCTCCCCAGCAGTTTGCAAATATGAATAAATTCGTAATTTAATATTTTTATAATTGAATTTCTGGAATTATTGATGCCATATTATCCACATCCATTTTGGGACCATCGACCCAACACAATTGCTTTACCTGGTCCAGTAATGGTTAAAAGAAATAACTTTGGGTTTTTCAAATAAGTTGAAGGAAGATGCAAATGGGCATTGGAAATCTATTACTTTCCGAAGCTTAGCATTAGTTTACTTACCAGTTTACATCTTTGACAGCTAAAGCTGAGTGACTGACTTTACAAGAGTAATGAGACAAGCACTGTAAGTGAAATTGATAGCTTTAAAGATGATCTATACCTTCTTCGTTTTCACCTCATTTTCGGTTTTACTGAATACTACAGATCTTATAAGACTAGTAAGCCTGACTTTCAAAATGATTCAATAAAATTCTTCAGAGATAATAATCAAGTTAATGGAAGGGGTTGAAGAAGTTGTGGTCAAATTTTGTGATAACTTGACCATTCCCAATTCTTTTCGGATAACACTTGAAAGGAGACCTTACTAGATGTCCTCAATGGCTGATTGGAAGATCTGGTGTGCTGGCATGATTCGAGGCGTACAGCGATCCACCCAGTAGACAACATAGAGCACACCACTTTGGAGTCCGATTGCAGTCAGCGGCAGCCCAGGAATAGCCTTCATACAAGTGGCCTATGCAACATCGATAATAACTAGATGATATAAAATACTGGTTTAGTGGGCCATTTCTGGAGGAATTATTCCTAGTGTAAAGGAAAGCAAATCAAAGTTGAGGAATGGTGAATTCGACATAGCTTTAAGTGAATATGAAGGCTTTGATCCACTTACGGCGCTGGCGAATTCTAAGCAACAGGTTTGTTCTCCTGTCTCAGCACGCCAAAGAACAACTTGTCCGTTTGCGTTACAAGTCTGTATTTAAGATGGCATATACTTTGGCAAATAGGCTAAGTGAGTGAGGCATTATAAAATTTGTGAACATGTAACTGATAAGTGAATTTGGTAATAATTCAAGCAAGTGCAAAACGACTTTTTTCTGTCAGGCAATTAATTCCATTTCACTTGGACACATATGTATTCTATGCAGACAAGCCATAATTGAGGGTGTCAATGATTACGTTTACAAAAAATAGGCTCTCCGTAGTAGGAGACCTTTCAGGTCAAACATGACTCCAATTCGACACTAGCTGCATGCAGATCCTCCTATGCACCTGTCTCAGGTGGTCCAATCCCTCTGTATAATTATAATAAATCTGCTTTTAGATTTGCATGTCCAATAGCATCTTCATGGGCAACTCAGGAGAACCAATTCTATCAATAGTCGAATTATATTTCTGACTCATTATTTTTCATTGGTTTATTTGAACTAATGAAATAAAAATGTGAAAACATATTTAATCTATCAAGAGTGGCACAGTAGTTTTATTTTTTCTAGCTATAAAAAAAGCCTTCTTGGGACTTAATTTTGTCAGGTGCAGCGCAATTTACTCACCACGAAGTAGGGATCATCTTCAATATTTATCCCACATATTCCGGTAAAAGACGAAACGTTTGTTCTCATCTCCTTTACCGATTTAAATGAGAAATTGGGAATAGGTTCAGTGTTAAAGTTCTGCTGAAAAACTTGAACCAGACCTGATTTGCGAAGAATTGCAAAGTTCTGGTAGTTTGGACATGCGGATATGTGGACGATACTATTGTGGTCACTTTTAAGAGTTGCAAATACTTCTTCATCCAAAAAATTCATTTTTGACAAAGCGATTTGCTGAATAGTGCTAAGAAAACTTGAAGAGAGATTTTGATTAGCCAGAGAGGTTGGTGCCACTAGACCAACTGGTGGAAGGTCAGCATTCCTAGTTTTTGACCAGTCCAGATACCTCAGTCGACCATCCGCACCGCCACACAAGATTCCATCCATTGTATATATTAAGTTGTCCACATCACCTGCCTTTAGCACCATGCTTGCTTCCTTTGCTTCTTGTTCCTTATTCGCAACATCAGCACTTAGTGAATTTGGGCTGAAAATAACCCCAGTTGCCATGGAATCAAGATCAACCTGCAAGAAACGACAATAATTCCATCAATATGGACCACATACCATGAATAGATTTCCATCTCTACATCCAAACACGGCAAAGCCTTCTTTGGTCCATGTAAGGCTTATGGACTTCATGCGTTTTGCATTGTCCTTATAATTTTGTAGTTCATCGTGGGCCTCCCTTAGTACACCTAATTTAGGACGATAATGGAGTAAAGTGAAGTGGACTACCCGAAACAACCTCTCTCATAGGTTGGTAGATGGTGGGATTTTCCTCCTGTTCAATCAGCTCAAGGGGTAAGTTATCTTGCGGGTCTTCGTAAAATCCGATGCGTGCATCAGTACGGGGAACAGCAGTTTCACTGGGAACCACTTGATATTTGGAGTTACGTACCTGCAAGATAGGTGGTGATTTTCTCCATATGATTCCAGCGTCCAAGCGTAAATATGCCTCTCAGTAGCACCAACGATTTTGTTTTCATTTATGGGACAAAATCCAAAAATATCCGGGCAAACAAAGTTTAACTGTGCTTCTATAAGTAGCTCAGCCTTCACGTAGTTCCATATAGCAAGGGTGTTTTCCCTTATTGAAGTGATACACGCTAGAAGATTTTGATGCGAAAAGGTCAGGTGGAGGACTTGAGTGTTTCTTGCTCCTATTTGATTATTTTTCATCTTATATTAGCCAGAACTTACTGCCAATGAATTTTGTCTGAAAGTCTGGAAAGTAGATTAGAACTACTTTTCCAGCGCTTATGTTTGTTTCAGCAAGAGCAAGCACAGGATGAATAGGATGCGTAGCTAAAACAGTCTCATTGGCACCATTGTAATGATATTCTAGAGAATCCCCATTTGTGGAAGAAAACCGCAGGTAGTTGCCTGACTTAAGGCAGATAGTTTGATTATTTATGAAGTGGACGGCGTTGTTTGAGACACTTTGGGTCCATCTATAAATACACAAGTTTATTCATCAAGTAATATTGTTATTAGTATGTGTCAAATTTGATAAAGCTGGTGAAGTGATCCATATCATTACTTACCTTAGGTCAACTACTTTAAATTTACGTGTAAAATTCCAACACTTTATGGCAGATTATTTGAAATCCTATAATATGGATTCTTTAAAAGGACTTGTTTGTAAGAATAAAGATGATAGTAAAGCTGCATCAAAGTTACACAATATAGGATAAAAACTACACTTTTTGATGCAATGCTTTTGAACGTACTTATTTTTTTAAATTATTACTGAGAAATATAAGTATATCAGTCCTGAGCAATTAAGATAAGGCAACCTTACAATACGTTCAAAAATGCCGTGTGGTTTTAATAGCTAATTGCCATTGTATATCACATAACTCGTCTAATTATTTCTATCTAGTCAACCATATGGCACTTAAGATAAACGTTGTAACATATAGAAGGCAAAGAGTAGTAGCTTATTTTACAAAAACTATGGTTATATGCAGAAACTTTGGTGTTGTGGCCAAAGAGGGCGCAAATTAGGCCACACAATGCCTTACGATCGCATTAGCTTAACTAATTTACATCCCACTTAAAGGACCGTATTATCACGCACCTAGCGTCCATTTTAAATTTTCGCGGTCGATAAGACGCGTAAATTAATGCTGAAAGAAATTTATTTCAAATGACTACTGATTCACTCATGAGGATTACTTCATCCGCTCTCAAACGAACATTAAATTTTATGCCACCCCCTTGATTTTGGGCATGTAATTAAAGGGAAAATTTTGGGCTCTTTATAACTTGCTTTTGTTTGTTGTTACTTTAAAAAGGATCAAAATGATATTTAACAAAATGAGGTACATACTAAAAATCAACTTTAACTTTGCACCCTGTGACCCTGCGACCTTGCTTCAAATGTCGCGTACCACTGATGACTGCCAGATTTTCACGGGAGAGAAATACTACTTAATTTACATATCTCACAATTGGATACTTTTTCGCATAAATGACAGTATGGACCACCATCTTGCGCCAAAAACATTGCAGCAGTTTACTGATGTATAAAATCGAGCTAATCAGATTTGCGAAATGTATGATAGAATATTTTAGAAAAATAGAAGCAGTTAATGCAGTAATTTGATGTTTTGTTTATTTAAACGTGCAGTTCAGTGTCTACAAGTTTTGCTTTTACTCTGCGAAATGGTCTTCAGGTCTTGCTCTTTTATGATACTTTGACTTATTAGAATTTCAGGAAGACTCCGAGTACTAAAATCAAAACTCATTATCCATAGGTCCTTTGCACTCTCCATAAGTGTTTACTTTAGTGATTAAGCTCACCTTACTCATGCATATTGCCAAATAAAGAAGCTTCTATTAAAGTTTTCTTTCCCAGATTACCTGGTTGGGAAGTAGACGTGGTCTAAGCTCACTGCCATAACACTAGTTAGTAACGAATTTCAAGCCTCTGTCAATTTAACCATTGTTAATGAACGGTACCCCTTGTAACATCTGATTATGCGTGTAATAGATGCTAAATCAAACTCCTAATGCTCGGACAGGGACAGGGTGGTGGTGGATAGATAGATGGGTAGATGGCAAGGCAGAGGTAGATAGGTGGGTGGGTCTGCCGGTTTCATACTGTTTTATTTAGGTGAATTATCAAACCATAAATGACGCAATATAACCTTCTTTTAATGAATATGGTGTAATCGATAGGTAATTTAATCTCAAGCAAAGTAACAACTTTTTCACTTCAGAGAGATTGAATCCTTGTTTGTTATATCTTCCTTGAAATAGTTTTCGAAACAACGAAGACGTCTCTGGTATTTTCTTTCCTCACGGGAATACGGTAACTGAAAAGGGAGTAGACGGGTTAGAACGGTGGATTTGGACCATTTTTTCCCTTAGAAACCATTGATTACCTTATCCGTGTTTGCACAAACTGTACTTTTAAAAGTGATTTGAGGAAGGTTAATCGGCTTCAGGTTTGTATCTCGTTGCCATTCAAACTGTCTGGGTTTCATAAACCAGTTGTAGGTTCCAACGCTGAAATAAATTCGGAACCTTCAAAATGGGATTTATTAAATTATGTAACCCATAAAGACCACGTGGATCACTATTTTAGCCATGAAAGCAAACATTATCCGGAGTTTGCTCCGACTTTCATTACTTATCATAGTACAGTATGATCAAGAGATATGAGAACACGAGTTTCTTAAAATTTAGACTAAAAATTACCCTTATACCTCGGGGAATCTTTGCCTCTGGGATCTTCTGGTAAATTTCGGGGGCATTTTTGATTGAATGGATATCGGTTTTGCTTGAATGATTTTAGCGCGCTGATGTCTCTTTGGTATTCAGCTGGACCAGGAATATCTTTCTTTGATAAAAGATGTACGGAGGTTATTAGTCTTAAAAAAATATTCACCTTGAGTCTTCCAAACTCATGCAAGTATTTTTGCAGATACCACAACATTTTACCTTAGTAATCACAAGTGCAGCTAAAGTAAACAATACGAGTCCCCACAACAACACTTAAATGATCTGATTTATCGTTATACTATAAAGACTTTTATTCTATTTAAGTTTGAACATTTCTATAATCTGAAAACTCACCGTTCCTCGGCTTTCACGTTGCGACGTAGACCAGCGCTTCGTATTACAACATCTGTTATACAGATTGTAGGCTATTGTGTTGTACTACAGGGTGTGTCTGCGTTACCGAAGCAAATACCTCCATGTTGTAGGTACCAGGACCCAAGTTTGGGTACTCATTTCTGATTGGATATAAAATTCCGAGCCTGCTTGGTACCGTTTTGTTAGCGAAAGTTTTGCGCTCGCTGCAGGTCCCGAAGTTAAATATACTTTTTCTTTTACTAAATATGGCTAAAATGCAATTTTCGCATTTTATTTCCGATGGTAACCCCCCTCTCATTTCAAAAGATAAAAGTCAGATGTCAAAACACAAATTACTACTTTTTGGGAACTTCACGATTTCTCCCCTAGCTTTTGGGACACGATTCTATCTAATAGTTTGCCAAATGTTTTCCCCAATTTAATGCACTCAACTATGTTGACAAGGTATATAAGGCCTGAAATCTCTTGTTACGTGTAGTGTGCGAAATTACGCCAATTTTAGGTTTGGAGATGGTTCAAAATACAAAGTGAGATGTGATTTGTAAGATGGTCTACTATTAGTGCGCAGGTATACGAAATGGTTATCATGCTCCACATCTTCTTCACTATTAAAATTAACTTGTAAAAATACACTAGTCAGAATGCCATATCGCCAGGAAGGTTTTCATCCACAGTACTTAAACCTTACTTAAATCAAAACTAAAAAAATTCACTTGATATGAATATCTGTGCAGGCAATCAAAGAAAAATAGGCTCAAATACTAAATGGTATTAAAAACCGATCCTTGGTTCCATACTAATGGCCGATTATTGGTCTGTTTGTTTACGGAAGCAAGTACACTAACGGAACTATGGACACACGCAAATCCCGAGAAAATCGCGCAACGACCTGATCGTGCCTCGAAGATCCTTCTCGATCTAGGATTCCCCACTATAATTAAGGTCCTTAACTTTGCTATTATCCGAGGCCAAAATACGTAAGACCACTTTGGGAAACCCATCTCTGGAAACCCAGACAGAAATAGACACAAGGTAAGCAGCTCAAATTATGAACACGGCGTAATTCTGATAGACATTCGGGAGGTTAAAGTAAGTTGAATATTTCTTAACTGTTTAGGATGTTTTAATGCAAAAACCTCTGAACATTCTCAGTCACATAAGACCATCTTTACCCATAACTTTTTGCAAGACCTCGTCCCCACTATCATCGCCCATTTTGATGCTCGAACACTGCGCAAGCTCGAGGCTTCACAACCGCAAGGTCAGCACCATGTCGCAGATGTAAACACAAATCAAACCATTAAAAAGCACTACCTTCTAGGGATTTGTTGCTAAATAATACAAGATATACAGCAAAAAAGAGGCTCTAGCTTAGAGAGCATATGCTATTTAGTCCACAATGACTCTATTAATCTATCTTGTGAATGTAAACAACAGTTATAAAAAACGACTTGCTAAGAAATCACAATCTAAAAGAAAATTAGCAAAAATACGGTCATTAACGTGATGTGGATTATTCCAGCTCATCATTGTAAGTTGATATTTTTAAGAACCGGAAATTATAAAAATGAAATTTAAAAGTTACTTCACGCCAACAAAGGATTTCGAAAAGAACATCAGGTATCAATCATAGCTTAAATAATAGCATTTATGAAGATTCATCTCGAGGTGCCTAAGGGACTCTGAATGCAAAAAGGAGTGCAATTCGGGATCCTCACGCTGGAGATAGGTTGGATTGAAACAGGCTCTTAATTTTTTCTACCTAAGAGATTCCTAGGCGCTTTGGGAAGGATGAAAATCGCATTCAGACCGCATATGCTGACCAAATTATAGTGAGCTGCGGTTCAATTACCTGTTACTTTCGGCTGCTTGGGTTGTTCAACATCTTTAGTTGCACACCCGCTTGATGACAGGGTTCCTGGTCCAGGACAGCAGCCGCCTCGCTCCTCCGTACATAATAAATATGCCTCCACGCTGACATGGTTTGTGGTTCTTAAAAAGTAAGAGTATAAGTTAGAATATTGCCTAAAACTGAATTTTCAGGCGCAAGAACATTACTACGGGATAGCAATAACAAATCCATGGAAGTCAATGACCTACCCAACCGCCTAATTAGCAAGAAGAGTGACACCAAGAGTTTTACCAGTATTAGTTTTGATTATAGCTACAAATTATTGAATTTGTCCTCGATCTGATTCTTTGTTTGCGCTGAATTTCTAAGAACTTTGCAGTAAAACTGTCAAAATCCTAATAGTATCAAAAGTTTACTTCTGTTAGATCTTTGAGAGCAATTTAGCTGCAAAAATCGCAGAACGCCTTAGTAATACCCATTTCAGCTTGTCACATATTAAACTTAAAAATCCTTTTAAACCCATCATTTTTAAACACATTTGCAACTAATTTTAGGCATGCGAAATTTAGGCAAAAACAAAGAAAGAAACGCCTTTTAACAGCTTTGTTTATGCAAACTTTTTAAGGACTACTTTGTTTGTATGCTTGGTTCCGAATAATGCACGTGCAGCACGTCACCACCGCTTCAGCCGCTGCCGTGCGCCGCCTTTTTCACCATCCCTAAAGGTAGGATTGCCTTATTTCTGCACAAGTGATGACATTGGAGTTACCGTCTGTGCCGTCTACGGCTTGATGAGTACTATTAAACTGATTAACGCACTTATAATACTTCCTACATTTTAGGTCGCTGCGCCGTCCAGCAGTGCCATTTGTCCACCTGTCTAGCATTGAACTAAATAAACTCATTCAATTACATGGGAACTACCGTCTTTTTGCATTAAGTGCCACACCGCTTCTATTTTTAAGGTTGGTTTGTGCACATTTCAGGTGGCATTTATCGTTTTAACGTAATGGGGAAACCTGGGTTCAGGCGGACTCCGAATCCGGTTTTCCTGGCTAGGCGACCAACCATTTGTGGTGCTATCTGTGCTGATCGATTGTGCTAGTTTTAGGGGGCCCGCCACCTCGAACGGGTCGAGCATAGTAGATATGAGCAGTTGGCAGTCTCTACGACACTTTAACCGTATCGATATTAAATGGTGAAAACGCAAAAATGCCGCAAGCCATATATTGGAGGAACCAGTGCCGAAGGCTGTCAGGTAGGTGTGCTACCTGAGAGTCCGTGCAGGAGGACGAAACGCTTGACGACATCGCCGAAGCCGTCGCACATCCACGTAGTTCCGTGGTTGCCTTCGGCAATGCGGACGATTCCCTCTCTTCCACGGTGCAAAAAGTCTTGAGCGTCCTCAAAGATCCACGGTGTTTCCGGGTCCTGACTTCTCCCTGTATTTGCTGCCCACGCACTGGCCAACTGCATCATCATGACAGGTGGTACGAGATCGTCTTTCGCACCGGAGATGAAGAGAAACTTTGTACCCTCGTCCAAATTGCGCGTCTTGAGCTTTTTCAATGATTCAAAACGATTGTGAATTAGAGCTGTGGGTATACAGTACTTCCCTAGCGGGCCAATCACATTGCGGCTTAATGCTTGGCTCATGCCTCCGATGGAGCTGAAAGTATTTTCAAGGATTGTGCCCCGGGCATGTGTTACTACTCCTGGCCGGGTGCTTAGATCTATGGCAACAGCACCACCAAGCGAGCGTCCAAAAATGAAGATGTTCCGTCCGTCCACATCACCGTCCGCTCCCGATGCTAAATAGTCAAACGCTACCTTCGCATCACTGTAAATACCATATTCATTTGGCTGCCCATTTGAATAGCCAAAACCGCGATACTCCAATAGGAGGATATTAGCACCGCACACGTCGTAGAGTAGCTTTGCAATTGGCAAACGGTGACCAATATTGCCTGCGTTTCCATGAAGGAAGAGTATGGTCGGCGCTGCCGCTCGTTTCGATGGGTCCTCTTGCAAGATAAGAAAACACTTCAGCGTAACGTTGCAGCCGCTTCCCATTGGAGGCGCAATGAGTCTAACAACTCGCCATGTTGGAAACTGGGGCAGCTCCGTGAAGAAGCGACTGCGATCGGGGATGTTAGGAGCGAAGGTGAAAAAAGACTCAATAAAGTATACCAGAGCGAAAAGTAGAAGAGTTATTAGGATGGTGGTCAACACGCAGGTTCCTATCCAAGCACTGGGGGGCTGGGTAGCGATTAGACAGGTTAGAAATAGGCAAAGGAGCGGCGGGACATGCTGAGCGAGCAGACCACGGTACAGCGATAATCGGTTAAAAGAATTGTTAAAGTTGGAGCATCGGTTGGCGCTGTTGGTATCCCCCGAGAGGAAACTGTACTTGGGAGAATTCGAGCGACTAAAACGCTCCATCACGTAACGAAAGACCGAACCCATTGTCCGTGCGAATCGACGAACTCGCATACGCCCAGACCTCAATGCTAAAACGGAAACAGCCCATTTCAAGCAGATTTGCTACGGCACCTCGCATTCTACTTAATCTTAAACCCTGTAGACACATCAAACCAGTTAATATCATGTTGCTTAAGCACAACAGAAGGGGGCGCAACGGAAGAGTAACACCAAGCAAAAGCCGAATGCGTTAAGTGTGAACGGGGGCATACAGCAAGGCAGTGGTAGGAGCTTTTATTTGTACAAAACACCAGATCGATGGTACCGTAAAAATCATACAGTTAGACCAAGATTTTTTTCAGCGATTACATAAATGAGAAGCCGCCACATCTTGACGACAAAAACTTCTGCTTCCTCTTCAAGAACCTGTAAAAACGATAAAAACCAAATATGGTGGATAGCAGAACACTACGTGATAGCTACCAAAACAAGGCACAAGCATTTTAATGAAATCACTGGGCCAGAGAGAAAAAGGGTTCATACCAGCGCAACATCAGCCAGGATTTTCCCAGGTGGTTTATGTTCAAGCACCTGCTCGCAGATAAAATTGGACAAAGTGGCTTCGGCTTCGCCAAGATAAGTTATTATCTTCTTATCCACCCACGGCTTAATTCGTTCCTTCACGAATTCCTGCAAATCCACAAAATATCGCTGACATCGGATGCCAAACAGCAACAGGTTTTGCATCTTTAAATAGTAGGCAATCAAGACGTATTACCGGGTCAACTGCCTTCCAATCAATCGGATAGGCGAACAACTCCTCCCTAGAAGTTGGAATCCTTTCAATAATTTGCTTAATAATTGCTCTTTTCTCAGAAATTGGGAGATTTGCCACTGCTTTTAGGTCAGGGAAGACAAAACCACTGATGGAGGTAGTAGCCTTATCTGAAGAAGGTGGTAACCAACTCAAGGCAGGACGTTTAAGCTTTGTCTCGACTTCTTCGTCAGTAAACGCTGCGGCCGGCTTCAATACATTTTCGGTAGGCTCTGCATGAACGGAAGTAGAAATCAACATGAAATTACCAAGCTGCCATGACTGATGTTGAAAAGAATTAAGGAATACGAGTAAATAGAAATTTACTTGAGGACATGGAGAATAGGAAAGTGCTTGAATCCTTTCGAGATGGTTCTGAGCCGGAAACCTCCTTAGGCGTTGCATTATCACTAGTTCTCAAAACATCGTCAGGGGAAACTGGTTTAAAGCCAGCAGAAATAACCTACGAGTATATCATTATTTAACAAGGGAGTACATTAATTTCTGAGAACAATGAATACGACCTACCATGGGCGCCTCAACGAAACCCGAGACCGACTGTGGCTCGGGAGTGGTGCCTCTTGACTTCGAACTAGACCTAGATCTTGGTTGATCAATAGGAGTTCGCGCATTGAGATTGAGACGTTTCCGTAAATGTTCTTGCATTGCTTGCTCCATTTGCAAAATAATAGACTCCGCATTTGGATCTTCCTCCTCGATCAGCTTACGACTAGATGATTCGAAAACCTCCAACTCCTTTTGGCGATCCCTTTCATCTGCCGTCTCTTCAACCTCGCGATCAGTGAGCCGACGTTGAAAAGCACTGCCCCTGCAATCATGATACCAAAAAGAATAAGAACAAGTAAAACTGAAGTATGCTAACAATCAGCTAAAATAGAGGTACATACTTGTAGAACTTGGAATCTTCGGTGTCATCATCGTATGTAATAAAGAAATCTAACAAATTTTTCGCCTCCGCTCGAATTTCTTCCTGCTTCTTTTTTTCGCGCTCTTTCTCGCGTTCATACTCAGCATGCTTTTTACGTTCACGACTCTCCCATTGACGAAGTCGCTACAAAACAAAAGGAGATTAGCAATACAATCTATGTAAATTAAAACCTTCCAGGAAATAAACAAACTTAAATCTTACATTCTGATAGGACTCCTCCTTCTCCTTAAGTTTCCTTTCAAGCCGTTTCTTAATCGTCTCCTCCTCTTCATCGACCTGACTCGGGCGATAGTGTTTTTCAGGTATTAGTGTGGAACTGGTGATACCCCCACGTGGACGCTTTTTCGGCGGTTCTCTGGATGGTGATCGGGAGCGCGAGTAGCGACTGCCTCGTTCCGAGTCTCGATCGGACCGCGATAGATTACGCGAGGAGTAACGAGAAGTGTAGTAGTCGAGCTCTCTCGAGTGCTTGCCCCGTTCTTCAGAAGGTGTCTCCTTCTACTCCATCAAGAAGTAAATGATCAATGGAATTTATGCAGGTAAGAAAGGGCTATCTGAAAATGTGGGGACATCAGCCCGACAAACGAGTTGAACGATGACATCCTAAAATAAACCCCCGACAGCAATCGTCCGATAAGGTGCTCCAATAATAATAAGGCTTCATTTATGAACTCACCGAGCCGTGTTATAAGCACAAACGGTTGATTTCGACTGCAATCATGACGGTCTGAAAGAAGGTTTGAATTTGCTCACGTGACGAGTTTTATCGATTTTAAACTACTTAGACCCTTAAAGAGTACAAAATACACTCACCAACTTTGCGCTAGTCGTCCTGTGCTGGCCTAGCATTAAATCCAATGGATGTCTGTTTTTTTTGTAACAGCGTCAAAATGAGAGCTTACATGAATCTCGTCTCACCGGTAAAAGCCGATTGACCACTTTAACATATTTTGTTCGGTGATACCAGGAACGTTAACAAACAAATACATGAGCTTGAAACGCTAGTACAGTGTTATGGTCTTACCTCATTGCGACGCCGAAACGTCTCAATTTCCTTATTGATTAAATCCTTACGCTCTCCGTCTATATCCATATCATCCAAAGTCTGAAAAGAAAAGAGTACCAGCACAAAACTTGCAAAAAAAAACAGAATATGAGGAACACTTACTTACCAGATGTCTAGGGCCTTCCGAGTACTCGTTTCTATTTGGAGATTCTAAAAACATTACCATGACAAGATAATGTTTTACCATGACCGAGCTGATATGCATCAACGGCTTCTTGTAAAATATTTTGCAAGGCGGTTTTCACAACATCGTCGTCCTTCTTAGTTTCATCATCAACTTCAGCTTCAGTGCTGCCTAAATTGCCATCTTCGCTGTCTTTCCATTTCTTCTTCCGATATTCATTCAGGAGGTCTTCAGTTTTGGGATCAACTTTCACCTTAAAACTAGTAACGACAAAGATAAAAAAAACATACCATCAACTTCTTTTCTAATACCTCAAAACCATTTAGAAGTCTCACACATCTCATCGTGGATTCAGGGTCCTGATACTCACAAAAACCGAAGGCTTGCAACTTCCCTGAGGCACCTTGAACTCGCTTCCAACTAAGGATATTACCGCAGCGCTATGGAGTGAAAGTACGGAGGAACTTTACCATTAAAAGCGACTTTATAAGGGAGTCCGGTGCTCGCTCCGGTATATTCCCCACGAATACAGTGGTAACCGGAGTTTTTTCATGAGCAACGACAACTTGAGTCACAGAAGTCTCGGTTGTAGACGGCTGTGTGGTAGGTGGCTGTGACACTGGCGCAGATGGAGGCGGTGCTGCAACGGGCGCATATCCCACCAAACCAGTTGACAAAAAAGTCTGATAATTAGGTGGGAGAGCTCCATAATACTGCTGGGAAACACCAAAAAACTGACCGTACGGATTCATCGGCGAATGTTCAAATGCGGCTGACGCCCATGTAGGGCGTATTAAAACAAGTGTCGAGAAGATTATTTAATGATAGTTGAAGTGTACAAATAAAAAAGCTTAAACAGCCTCGTCGTAGCATTTATTTGAAATAAAAATTTAATTTTGATCAAAATGCGCTAACTATAAACGATAGAGCATGGTAGTTCATGCCCTTAAATTCAAGCAGGCTTACAACAATTGTCCTGAAAGCAAATGTAAAAGCCAATGTAAAGATCTGGATTTTATGAATAAGTTGTGTTAATTTACGTTTAATTTTGGGCTTTATGGGGATTTATTTCCTATGCTGCCTCCTGCTCCTTTCTAGAGGACGAAAGAAAGCCTAATACTCGATCAGAATATCTTCAGCCAACATACAGGAGTTGGGACCACTGACATGGCGGGGCCTTCTAAGTGCCCTGTTACCAAAATCACAAGTTCAACAAACAAGTGGTGCATCCCAATTGCCCAACTAAAATTCCTCATGCATACCTCCGCATACCAATTTCGTTGTGAAGTCCCTATTATCATTTTAAAGACAATCTGTATCAGATCACCCCAATGTTCGCTATCCTTTTCTAGGTAGTAATGGCCCATTCATATACACCTCACTTTATGTTCGCCCTAATTTTCCTCGAACTATTCAGACTACTTATTAAAATCGCGTCGCAGTCCTCTCCAGGAGAATCATAAGAACTACCTCCGGCTCGTCAAGGATATCCCGCACACAGAACTGACGGCCTAACACTCTACGACACATCCGAGTGTACAATAGTTTTCCCAAGTGTGACGGGATGGGAGTACGGCATGTCACTTTACAGACTGGGTAATCACTCACGCCGCGAATCAAAGTACAGCCAGGTCACGAGAAGACCCACCAACTCACCCGATCTCGTATGACGCAACAAACGCTGGTAAATAGATGAAAATTGGTAAATACGTTTATTCTACATAACGAAGTGCTTTACAAAAGGCCCAGGAAATTTTAATACCACGGAAGCCATGAAGGGTCCATACAAGCCAGATTTTCGGGAGAACACGAACCATTTATAACATCACCCAACGCCATGTCGCTTGAAGAAAGAACTACAAGTAAAAATAACCACGTTGACATCACTGGCAAGTTGGATATTCTTCGCATTCAAACATTATCCCCTTTACCCTCACCTCTATTCCGATGATTGAATCCGTCCACCGACAGGGTTATCATATGTATGAGTGCATCGTTTGACAGATCAGGCACATTGATCGGTGACCCTGCAGTAGCCATCAGGGTTTCATCATTTTCAATGGCCATCAGATCGGCCAGAAGGCTTGCATGCACCGCTGCCTGCCTACCCCGGTGCCAGAGGATAAAATCATCTCGCAGGAGGGCTCTCAGACACGCCACCACAACTGCGCGTTTCTGACTCACGGCCTGGTTCAACGTCGCCATGGCCGCGGCAAATGGACCAATAGCAGCCGGAACACCTGGCAGGCAGATCAGACCGGCCAGCTGGGGTGTTAGACGCAGGGTTGCTGGACGAAGTGGAAAAGAAATCGGTTGAACAACTGCCGCCCGCCCAGATGATAGAGGCACATGCGGCCTGAGGGGAGCGAAATTCGAGCTGAAAATGTTTGCCAGAGCGGTAGACGATTTCGCCACCAGATCCACTGGACGGAGCTCCTTCTGCTGCTGCAAAGGAATGTTTATAGCGTTGGGCGTGGGAGGAAGATCAAACCGAAGACCCCGGGTCTCTGTGCGTCCCACACGAGGATCTAGAACCAGCCCAGTCGCACTCAGCGGAGTCATGGGGAAGAGGGTTTCCATGAGAGCCATGGCACCGGAGGACATGGCTACTCCGTGCCTAAAGAGCCAGTAGCTCTCTGCGTCTGCCATCCGGCGAAAAGCCCACATCCTCACTACGCTATTAGAGGCGTAGTACTCGTCACTGAGGACACCAAGGCCGAGGTGTGCCGGTGATTTCAAGGAGGCTCCCCGGGGCACGAGCTGCAGCAGTTCTTCAAAAATCTTCAACAACGTGGCTTTCAAATTGGTGGATTTCAAGTCAGCAGTGGCAAGAGTACCAAGGCGATCAAAGAAGGTGGTAACAAGTGCTTTCGAGGTAAGCGAACGCGTGCTCAATGGGGTATCGTGCACTGCAGAATCAACAATGTTCGCCAACGTCATACAGGCGGCGTAGCAACCAGAATCCAGACTGGTGGGGTGTCCTGCCACTTCTAGGGCGGCCCCGTGACTTCCAGCGTAGCCAGAGGAATTCGCATTAAGAGTCTGTAAGAGAAACACATAATTAGAGTAGTGAGGAGGAGATTATAATCCCTTTATTCCAAAAGCAATGGCCCCAAAGAGCGTGACTAATGGATACAATTGCCCATCGAGTGAGTGGAAAATGTATGAGAATCTACCAGAATACACGAGTGAAAGTCTTCTTGTTAAAATTACACACGAATAACAGCGTCATTATTTGCCTTGGCAGACATTTATTAACATTAAGCAACCAACTGTACATCGTCCTTCTCGCTTGCAATTAAAAGTTAAATTAAGTGAAAACTTTTCTTATTATACTTGCACCACCTTTTGCAGCTTCTTTTCCGCCAACAAAATCGTTAGGGAAGTGTGTCCCTTAACATCGAACACCCCAAAGCGAATTAATTGAAAACAACTCTACTTGAGTCATAACTTATAAAGATGGGGAAAGTTAAAATAAAGGGCAGGTCAAGTCTCACCGTGAAGACTTGGTGTAGGGGCTGTTGCTTTTCTGGTCCATGCAAGTGTGTAAAGGCGTCGGAACGTGGAAAGCGGGTAGCATCGGTTTTTGTGGATGGCAGGAGAGAACTGGCGGCCGCCAAGGGCACGGCTGCAATGAGAGAGGTGGTGGAGGTGGGCTGTGACACAGTCCCGCTGCTGGGTGTGTGGAGCTGTTGGGCCAAGAGGGAACCAAAACCGGTCATTGTAGGGTTTCCAAAAGCAACGGCATTGGCTGTCACAACACAGGTAGCAGGGATGGAGGTACCTGCTTGCGTCAGCCGCATCCCATGAGGACCCAAGTCCAAAGTCCTGGGAAAGAAAGGGAAGAGAAAAGGAGTCGACAGCCCTTCGTTAGCAGCTGAAGCAGCTTTTAAACTTAATAAAAATTACAATACTATTTTGATCAAAATAGTACTGAGAATACTCGCACAATATCCGAGTCACGTAAAACACTCGCAAATAAGTTACTAAAATTTTTAGATAGTGTCTTAAAGAATAAGGTCAAAAATGTAAACTGCATGTCAGCATATTTCAAAACCGAAGCCAAACAGAGTTCCAGAAACAGTAGGCAAGTCAAAGGCATTGTAGCGAGATTGTTTTTTTTTGCACCTCTGTAAAAAAATCTATCAGACGGCCAGAGAAGTTAGGCCAGTTTTAGACTTTGACCTCTAGGCTTACAATGAAGTTACCTTCAAACCTGAATATCAAATACCGTCTTTAGGAGTGACTCAAAACCCATACGGCGGGCCAATTCCAATATCATTCTACAAGTGTGGAATGCACCAAGGGTGCATCACAAAGCACTTTGCATTCCAGGCCTTTAAAATTTAACTCACCGAGGCGTGACAAGAGTGATCCGCCGTTTTGCCGTCTCCGGAAACCTCGAAGCGATAGCATTGAGAACCTGGAAGAGGTGCGGTGGACACCACGTCTCCCGCCACCCTTCGTAGGCCGATAGAGTGGGTGCTAGACTGCTTGCCTCGGTGGCATCAGCGGCAAACACGGAGACGCCCCGGCCTGCCGGCGCCTCCCTGGGTAGACAAGGCACATCGTAGTGGAAGACACGACCATTGTTTGCTCTCAGTGCCAGCCGCCTGCCCCCTCCCGAAGGCACACGCACCACCGTGGGCAGAATGTCGGCCAGGTAGAGCAGACAGGGCTGATGACCTTCGGCAGCCACGTTATTGGCAATAGTGGCGGCGACGATAGGATTGGGGTTGCTCGAAGCTCCCTGGTAGGGGGTTTGCTGTTGCAAAGCGGGGATGAACTTCAAGCGAACTGCCTCGCCAGGAAGTTCTAGGAGGGTGGCTGTGGAACAGGTCGTCACAACGGCCGCGGCCACGGTTGCAGAGTTCTGGACGCACCGAGGAAAGGGACTCAGAATTGATTGGACATTAAGTGAAGAAATGAGCTCAATTAGATAACCTGCGCCACGGTCAGAGAGATAAGAGGTGTGTGGAAGGTTACAAACTCGACGCTCAACGAGAGGAATCAATTCTTTTGAAAGAAGACCAATTGTCTCCTAGATAAAGAAGCAAAACCCTCAAGCATTCCAAATCCACAAAATGAAATAAAAAAGGTACATTTAAACCTACCAATAATGTCTTTGACCCAATGTTACTCATAGCCAGCATTAGTGCTTCTTTGGTGGGCTTAAACCAAGGGTCAGCTTCAGCTTCATTCGCCAAAAGTGTGTAAGCTAGCTGGATGTTATCTGCAAATACAAGAGTGGAACCTGAACGATTTTCCGCATCTTCTGCTAGAAGGTCATCCATGGTGGCAGTAATGGGTGGTGGTAATCCACAACAGGCTACAATATCAAGTAATTCCTTTGTCATCCAAGGTGGCAATGGGGATGATGAGAGCCCATGAACAGATGCCTGAAATGGACCGAGTGAAGCCGATGGACGACGAACAGCACGAGACACTTGTGCCCAAGCGATTTGGTGCAACTGGTCCAGAACTTTGCGCAAATGGTGGAGGAGATTTTCCGACCAGCTTGGCAATAGACGACCCGCAGTACACTCCACAAACTGATCAGACACGTACAATCGAGCAGGATGCCGCTGACGCAACTGGGTAAATAGTAAGTTGACTCGATGTAACCCCTCACCCACTGAGGGTGATAGGTAGCCTGTTCGCACACCACCCGCGTCCTCAAACTCGGTTCCGGGTGAATCCTCAGGCACAGCAGGGACCGCCGAGTCCTGATCATCTTCATCCACATCCATATCTTGAACCTCTCCAGATCCACTCTCCCTCACACCCTCAGTGGAGGACTGCGAACTCGTTGCTTCGCTTAGCCTTTCACCCTCAGCACCACGCATCACTACGACCACGCGTTTCTTCGTTCGCTTTGCACTCCCCCCCATGCTCACTGAGCCCTGATGCTGCTGTTGTTGTTGTGAATGCTCCGTTGAGCCCGCTGTAGCCGACGAAACAGCCCGCCTTCGAGCATCCTCTCGTGCGAGGTCGACACAGTGAGAGTAGGCCTCATCTAATCGACGCCGTTGGTCAGGACTGAGATCGGTTAGTGCAGCGGCGATGCGACGATCGCGGTCCATCTCGATGGTAAGTTGGTGCTGAAGACCACGCAGAACGGAGGCTAGAGCGGTTGGATAGGCCAGAGCGATACCACGCAATGCACTGGCGACATAACGACCTTCAGGACGAAGGAGACAGACAGAGAGGCTGGGTAACCAGGGCAGAAAGGCGTCAGGATGGACACGGGAAGCGCGTTCCTCAAAGGTGCGAGCGAGGCGCTGGGATTGGGAGCCGGAGACCGTGACGGTAGTGCTAGAGGCCGAAGTAGTGGGTGAAGGAGATGTATTTGAAGTAGTAGCAGTGACATTGGCTCCAATTAAGCTATTAAAGGAGTCCCCAGCGTCATCAAGGGTAAGGAGCCAAAGGCACCTGGCCAGATCGGCATGAGATTGGTGTTGGGCGGTTCCGGCCACTGTGGCTGCTTCCATCAACGCCTGCATGGCAAAAATTCCGGTTGTCGATACGCTTGTCTCACGTTTTCTAAAAAAAAAAAAAACAAAAGTCTTTGCACAATCGTTTTGCAAGTAAATTCGAAGAGCCACTTTCACTAATTGAAATGATTCAGCTCATAAAAACAGCCCCACAGTATCGGATGTATAAGGAACCTGAAAAAACGTCAGATCGCCTAGAAGGAGAATCACCGATAAATCAAAATATCACAAAAACATTTACCATGCTTATGAACGTTAGAAAACAAGCTGCGGATTACACAGTGACGGCAGAGCCAGTTTTGCTAAGGTACTAAATAGAATAGCTCCACAGTATTGAAGCTTAAGAGAAGAGATACGTAGTAGAAAAAGTGCGTTAAATTACCCACAAAGAGATGTTTCACTTGATAAAACAAACATGAAAATAGGCATTCAATGATTCGAGGAGTTCGACTGCAGACAGTAGGAAAGCATTATAATTTTGTCCATAAGAAGGTGGGACCACATATTCTTCCCCATAAAACTGGTAATGTGGAATGAGTGAAAGAATCTCTCAGAGTACCAAGAATAAAAACCCAGTAAAATTTTTAAAAAAGATTGAATTTCTTCACTTGAGTACCAAAACTTGATGAGAGAAACGCTAAACTACAATCAAATACAAGAATTAGATTAAGTTAAAATTTGAAAATGCATGATAATGTTAGAATTATATACCTCAGCAAAAAGCCATGCTAAGGAAAAGAGTTCGGATCACATCAGTCAGGTTGAGCAAACAATTTATGAAGAGAGGGTAGAAAACAAGAGAAAGTAGTAGAGCACACACTACCGACAGGCTGACGTGCATCCTTCCTAATATTGTCTAAAAGCAAGGGCATTTCGAAAGTGCTCACAAGTTACAGCAAGTCATTGCAAGAAGCTACACCAAAACCGCTTCAGAAATGACCCCTTGAACAAATTGCAAGCCGGGCAAAAGATGAAAAAATCAAAAGGAGTACGTAGGCAAATTGCGTAACTAATATTCATTTAGTGATACACCACTCAATTACAAGGCGATGGTGTTTTCCAAATCTTGGGAAAGGAGGTACAACTCAGACTGAAATGGAGGAACTTTCTCTAAATGCACAGTGTAAGGCGGAATTTTGCTACTAACTTAATAACTTACGCCGTTCGATTACCGGAATAGACGTTTTCCAGAAAATCGCCAAACACTGACCAGACTTTGTGTAAATTGTCCTGCATCTGTGTGGCGTAGCCAAAATTCTTTGTAGCCTCATCTCCTCTAAAAGTAACATGCCATTAAGGGTTTGATCTCTTTAAAAAGGGCATATTACTAGGGCAAAATGGGCGTATTTAAGACTTACTTGTTAAAATGTGAGAAGAACACCGCCTTGTAGCAGAAGAACCTAGCCTTTTCCCTTTTCTCATATTGTTGAATGTTGGTTTTTTCCATCAGCTCTAGACCCTTTAGAGCAGAAAAATGAAACACACTCGCACAAAAGGAGGAAAGCGTGAGGTCCCTTAAGAAAGTGAAGTCATTTACCTCAAGTAGTTCTTCCTTACGAAGATCTGCAATTTTCAGCTTGATTTCCTGTTTGGTCTTCTCGAACAATGGAGGCATTTTGCTGTGAGTGTAGCTGCAAACCGTACAAGGAAGCTCTAGTTAGAAAGAAATTATGCGACAAAGTGCAAGTAAAAACATCATGCACTGAGTACTCACGAATCAAGACTTTGCTGAGCAATACCAGGGAGTCCAAATTTTCGGTAACCCTTGGCCATTTGAACCAGTGTCAGTGCTCGCTCACGATGGCAAGCGGCAAGAAGATTGTTCTGTAAGATTAGATAACAGAACACTTGCATATTAGCTGTCACGATTAAGCAGTAATACACCCGCAATGTTAGAGCATACCCGTTCTTGAGTGAACTTATGCGAGCAGGTGCCAGTATTGATAATCCTCTCAAGAACAATCTGGCGCCAAGTGAGAAGATCGCTCCAAAAGGACAGATCATCACTGACAAGGGGTAGACGGGCTCTACAAATATTCAGAGCTGTTATGTCTCCATATAACAAAACATCTTGAGACTGTTAATCAAGAAAGGAGGAGAAAGAACCTACTGCCATGACCGGAAGACGGTTTTATAATCGTACAAGGACTGCGAGATATTTAGTCTACTAGGGGATACACCTGGTGTAGGTGCAGAATTTGTACCCGCAGCCAGAGGCGGCACAGTGTGTTGGAGGAGAAGGAGGTTGCCATCATAAATCTCCGATGCCTGCTGACAGGCCTAAAAAGCCCGAATCGAAACAAGGATTGTTAGATCGAAGAACAATATTGACTTTAGCAGAGAACGCATGGAAGCGAACCTGTAAGAGCCTGACGTGCTGATTTGTGACGATGAGCGGGAGCCGTCGCCACTCACGCAAGATGCTATTCATCACATGCAGATTCTCGGAATCAATGACCTGCAAAAGGCTTGTGGAAAAGAGACCCGCAGTATCGATGCTAGTATTGGCACTCGAGGTGTTCGATGCACTATTGGCTGAGGTAGCTTGAGTAACAGTGGCTCCGTTAGCACCTCCGCTACTGCCACTGCTGCCGACGCCACCGCTACCACTGACGGTGTAGGAGTCAAGCTCGCCCGGAACGTTGACTGCACGTCGACCCGTGACGCAGCCTGAGGCGCTGATTAAGGCTAATCGCCACTGCTCGTGCGACGGCACCTCATTTGCCAACTGCGACAAAAGCAGATGAGCTGAATGCATGGAAAGGCGAAATACCCAAACCCAAACGTGGGATTTTTCCCTTCGAATCATCGGCAATTAAACCTATTGTTTACCACTGTAATCAAAGTGTCAGAAAGGGAATAAATAGATTTGGTAATGCTCATCGGTATAAAAAATATTAACAAGACTTGATAACAAAGGGACTTTTTATAGAATTGCATAGACAACGTTCCCTTCAACATCGATTTGTTGAAGATAGTAACATTTGCGGGGACCTATCATAAAGGCGGCAGCTCCGACAGCATAGTAAGAGAATGGAGGAATGCTAAAATAAACACTTCTTTCCGCCAAATTTACCCAAGAATGGGAAACTAAAAGAAGGAAAAATGCCACAGAAATGAGAATGGTAGACATTAACAAGATTTAAGATGCAAAAAGACTCATTTCTCTCAATATTTTCAACAATACCTCAAATTTGGATCTCACCCGCCAGTTTAGTTTGGTTTCCAAGTTAACATTCAAACAGCTGTTGAGTAAAAAGTGCCTAACTTAGGATAATTGGCACTAATCAGATAAATATGATCTTCCTATTTGTCGTCCTCATTAAAAAACATGCGCAACCCGAAAACAATCGTTTACCAAAGTTCCACTACCAAGCACTCTTACCACTTTTTGAATGAGGATTTTCAATTTTCGTTGTTAAATATACCCCAACCCTTGCAAATAGCAGTAGCGGCACTTCCGAACACCCAGTAGCATGAAAAATAATAGCTGTTGAGTGCGAGTAGTACCAATCCGGAAATACGACAAAATTCACAGTGAAGTCCAAATGAATTATTTCGAATGTATTTTTTATAAAAAACATAGTCATTTTAGCTAACACCCAAAAAGCAGTGGAATCAAGCAGGAATGCTCAAGTTACTTACAACTACATTGGTCACCAGTTTGATCGGTTCAAAAAATACCGGAAGCAAATAATACAACAATGCATCCAGTGACAAATTATTTGCGGGAATGGAAGCCTCATCGGATAAAATCCACGATGCAAATAACTATGTTAACAAAAAATTAGGATTTCGTCAGGAATCCAGACACAGGTGAGACGGGTGATCACTTACCCCCGAAAGTGCAGAAAAAACCTCTGACCAATCACGATGGCGCCAGGCGAATTCAACACGAACGCTGCCTAACATCGAGGAGCCGCCAAGTATTTCACCTCCGCCCGTAGACCCACCCGAATTGGTGCTCGATGGAGCCATTAGAGATGCCAATGAGTCCAGGTTCTCCCATTGGCCCATTTGTTTTAGGGCTCTGCATTGGAAAAAGTAGACTAAAAGATTCTGCTACTTTATCAAGAAGATTACGGCCATAAAGCCGAGAACTTTGGCATACAATTTGGAGAGAGTACATATTTACCTGGTTAGTGGGAAATGTCCGATTTGTCAAGTGCTAATTTTCGGATTCGAAATCGGCCATCAGTAACACTCCATCGTCTCCTCAATTGCCCTCTTTTAAACGATTTAGTGAAACTGCAACATGAGGCTAATTTTGGATAGAAGTTCTGCAGTGGAACCACCCCACATCGAAAACATATTTAAACAACATTCGGTGGGTCCATAGTTGAAGTGAATTTATTGTCAAAATTGGGAAATCTGAATTAGGTTAGTGATAAATTATGAATTATTGTAGCGAAAGCAAAATCAATGGTAGAATGTTAAGCAGTCGTCAACGCAGCGGAGTGCTACAACTTTAAAGAAACTGGGTAGCCGAATTGATTCAGCCGAATGAGCTAAACAGGTGCACGCTAAAACAGAAATAGGCTCCTCAAAGGTTACTGCCCTTCTTGCCAAGTAGCAGTAAATCATTGCATTTCCACTGCATTGTCATTGGTAATAAAGTAAAATGAATTCCTTTCAACACTAATGCATAAACTGAAATGTTGAAACATTACGAAGGTAAGAAATTAAATGTGTCTATTTGGTGATTAAGCATCTAGTATCCAGTCGACCACATAGAACGGATGTCTACATCAAATGATCGAAAGAAACAATGGGGGCGGAGAAATGGGTTCAAATACCTACGACTAGTTTTATGGAGACACGTCATTCCAGTTACAAGATTAGACCATTCCGCACGCCACACAAGCAAAACTCCTAAAGCTAGACTAAAAATCTTGCCACTCACTCTACTGTAATTTAACAGACCACCTAAGTGATTGGAAATCAAGCGATTCGTACTTAATTTCTAAACACACAGACCTCAGGAAAAAAATTCAAAAGCATAGACAATGATTTGGTAATCCTACCTGAGACCATATTCATATAGGCGACTTTTATTTATTTGCTCGCTGATTTGCAGCAGACTGGACGAATTGATGGTCGGAAGGGATGAGGAATCACCACCAGGGGATCGATTGCCCAATATATTCATCGTTATCTCCAAACCCCGCAACAAATGCCCCTGGGAAAAAGCCGTCACCGCAGCCAGGAGATCGGAGGAGCTGCGGAAAAGATGACAAAGATGATAATAAAAATCATACAGGAAACAGATCATAACAGCATTCTAAGCCATATTACCGCTCCAGCGGAAACCGAAAAGTTTGACCACGAATGAGGCCCTTTAGACGCTGGGAGCCGCCACAGGGAGAGTTGAGACGATGCCACCAGGCGGAAACGAGGTAATCGTCCTCCGCCATCAGGTCGTAGAGAGCGAGGAGAGAAAGTGATCCTGCACCCAGAGGGATATCCTCCAGTTTTTCTGAAACCCCACTACTTCCATTCCCTTCGGATGTCAGTGTGTAAGTGAAATCATTGTCCACTAGGGAGTTATAGCCATTGCAAATCCTGGTTCGTTGTGCCCGTGCACACAACGATTCAAAGAAGAGGGCCACGTTGTACCACTGATTGTGCGTGCAGCCCACGTACTTTTGGAAAGGGGAAAAAATGTGGATGATGAGAACTCCTACTTCGTCAAGAAAGGCTTTATCACCTCGGCTAAGTGCCAAACTTACTGACAGAAGAGGAAGGGGCAATCCAATGAGGAGAGAGTCCGCCGTAGTGGCAAAACTTGTTAAGATGTTGCCTATCGAACTTGGTATCATGTCAGCCGTGTTAACATGATCATCAGATGAGAGGAATCGTGTTATATGGGGGAGGAGAAAGAGGCGTAGTTCGCTAGGGGACACTGAATCGACACCGGCACCAGCAGTAGAAGCAGGCGGAACGAGCGACGCATCCACAAGACTGTCCGACAGCTGTGACACCTCGGGGTGGCAGGAGCTCAAAGGACTGATAAAATGGAGCCCAGATTCACGAAGAAGGAAACGATGCCAAAGACAGTGCCACAGCTCGCCGAACAACTCGCTCGCAATAGCGGGGCGGTGATGCACCAGATTGAGAAAACCACGCAAAGTTTCCCGAAAAGAAATCTAAAAGGGTGAAATGAGGATGGTAATCGAGGGAGATATAGTGATGTTTTTTTAAGAACAGAGATCTTACTGTTTTGATGTCGTTAAAAACAGTTGCCTGTTGGTTCATCAAGCACTCAAAAACGGAAATTGAGCCACGCACAGTTGACCTCGTCGGTTCATCTTCCATCTTCACTTCAAAAATCTTAACGTCAGTGGTGTCTAGCAAATCTTTATTGACAGGTGCCTGTGGTGTAAGATTTGATTCGATTTCACTTTTCTCCAGTAGGGAGGGAAATCGAGCTTCTGACTGTACAATCACTGATGAGCGACTGAAGTCGGTATCGCAAAGAAGGACCTGAAAGAAGCTTGAGGTCAGATATCTATAACAGTTAATAAATGAAGAGCGAGACTTACATCAAAGAAGACAGGCAGCCAAAATCCATCCTTGTAGTGGAGCTCATCCCATGAATTTGACATGAAGAGGAAGAGAAGACGGATCAAAAGGCTGCTTTTGGCTGGCGTTGCCGCAGCAATGTTGGGAGACATCTCGTTTTCATTATCAAGGAAAGTGGGGACAGAAGTGAGGTCAGAGCCGAGCAAGAAAAGATTGACATACTTTTCACGGATGTCTGGAAGGGGACTGAGGAGACCACAGCAGAAGGCCTGCTCCATTTTCATGAATATCTCATGAGTCTTTGGAGAGACGTTTGAGAAAACCTGTAGGGAAGTAAAACGATGTTTACGGGTGTATAGTCTGCAAAGTACAGGTTCGGCGAATCGCAATGTTAGAAACATCTTTTTTACTCATCAAGCCAAAACCAAGTTCAAAATTTTTAGAATAAGAGTAACAAATAAACAGTAAAGGATTGGTTAAGTGTAGTGACCGGTTAAGATAATCAAAGATTTACATGTCAAGAGCAACTTTCAGTTATGTTTAACGCGAGTCAAGAAAAATTGGCTCACACTTACACTAACTGGGAGGAGAAATTCGTGATGGAAGTTGACGAGAAAATAAGTCGGACTCATATGCCATGCAACAACAGAGGACAGACACTGAGGTTAATGTAGCAACAACTTGCCCTCCGCTTCTTTAATGTGTGTTCTAAGCACGTTGTAGATTGTTTGCTGACTGAATAGCTGACTTGTGATGAGAAACGACTTTGTATTACAACACTTGTTAGGTTAGCGGATATACCATTTGCTGTTCAAATTTTTATCTTTCATCATAAAAGTAATCGAGAATTACTAGTAGACCTTACGTCAAGGTTAGGAAAAAGTGGGTTACTAGAACAATCATGAGGGCGACAGACAAGTAATTTTGGTAGAACAAACCAACTTAGATATAAAAAAATATATTGAGCATTGAAGCGCAACTGAGGCACCAGTTACTAATTCGATAAATTACCCCTCCTAGTTTAAAAGAACTTTATCCGAAGATCGTAAAACGGAAGGGTACCTATTTCTCACAAGCGGAATTAAGCAAACAGTAGATTCTTGCAATGGGAGATCGTTATAATCAGTTCCGTTTAAATGAAGGATCGTGTATAAAATTCTACTAGGGTTGTTTGGCGTTAAAACGAATACGGACACAGGGGCGCCACGGTATTACAATCACAAGTCCTACCAACCTGATAAATGCAGTCAAGGATGTCACGAGCCACCTCTGAGTGCTCCGACCAGCGCGGGTAGGCAGCCCAGAGGCGCACGAAGAAGGCGACCTTCTCGCGGGGGGTTGGCGCGAAGTGTTCCTCGGCCTTGGGTACGTTCACCCAGTCACGGAGTATGCGCACCACCGCGCGGAAGAGCTTGGCGTCCCTTGCGCGTTCCAGGATGTAGAGGAAGTCTGGTCCGAAAGCATTCTTTCGCGTTTCCGTGTTCATCACATTCAAGCGTGATTTAAATATATCCAGAGTTTGGATTAAGAGTTCCGTTATTTCTGAAAGGTAACCTAATTTTCTTTTCCTTCTGAGCGCAAAAAGCAACTGCTTTTATCTAAACCACGAACCATGATTTCCCTAGCATAGGAGCACCAGAAAAATGACAGGAAAAGATGATGGATGCCCTTATGCTCTGATTAAATCTGACATACATCTGACTTACAGTCGTTAAAGTAACCAACAGAGGAGTACAAAAGAGCTCTTACACATTCTCAAAGCTAGATCTAATATCATGAAGGCGGGTGGATTCTCTGCAGCGCATCAAACAGCTTTAAATGCGAAAGCGAGTAGAAAAATATGCAACAAAGGTATCTACCATTACCTAAACCTAAGTCTTTTCTTAAGATCTACCACGTAAAAACAGCCAATATTTCGATGTCTCAGAGACCATGAAATGAATCCCACATAGAGAGAAGGAACACACAAAAGGAAATTTTTTGGCTTAACGGTGAGGTGAGAGCACGATGATAAAGTTTAGACTGGCCATATTTTCACCTGCCGAATTGTTCAAGGAAGCTTTAGCGGAAAGAGAGCATTCAATCAAGAATAAACATTTTAGCTGACGGCATCAACAATTTGGCTATGCAGAAAGTAATGTACTTAAACCGCCCCTCTCACGTAGCAGGGGCCTTCAGAAACCGAAGAGGAATAGCGACGACTAGAACAGTGATTAAGTGAAAGAGAAAGGTGTGGCAAATTACGCGAGCTGTATCCTTTGGTTACAGGGGGACTTTCAAATGCAAATAAAACAGAAACATACATAACAATGTGTGGTTTAAACTGCAATAGCAAGTCTCCCAAATGCAGAGGGAGAAAGGAACCCTGTGAAAGGAATGTATCAACGGTGAATGAATACATAAATAAAAACCATTGTTAGAGACGACATTAAGAAGTAAAGGTGGGGAAATTCCCACCATAAAGTAGTGTTGCTAGGCAGGAAAGCGTGAACCTCATAAGATTGCCTTTACACAGACATTTTATGGACCGAAAGGCGAAAGCACTCAACAAAAGAGCACATTCGGCTAGTTACTTGCCCGTCATAATATCACCTGGTAGAACAAATACGAAACACAAATGGGAAGAATTAAAGTGAATATGCTGTAGATTGTAACAACAGTAATTCTTTTAACTATGAGCTTCTATTGGTGATTCTGGTAACTGGTGTTATTCGCCTACCAATAACAGACTTACGACTCAGAGTTGCAGAGTCTTGAGGTGAATTATTGACAGGGGAATTTATTACATCGTGAACCATTCGATGAAACATTTTCATTAGTTGCGTGAGACACCGATCCACAAAGGCGTAGGAATTTACTGAAGCCTGTTGAGTCGTCGTAAGTAGGCAAAATGCCGACTGAAGCCGTGGCAAAACGGCTGCTCTACTCGATCTATGAAAGGCAATGAAGTAAACAACTGATCTTCAGAAGATAAATAAAGTGCAGTGCAAAAAAGAGACCTACCCCTCCGCATACAAGGTGAATGACTCCTGTATGAACTTGAGAACGATATCGTAGAGCTCATAAAGTTCCGGAAAACTCGTAATTTTCTGTCGATTGGAGGATTCAGCGGGGAATTTAATGAGTAACACCTTGATGAGGGTTGCACATGCTCGCATCAGTCGGTATGTCGTTGGGTAACGCGAGAGTAGGCTTATCAATGATTTACTGAAGTGTTTAACATTGGTCAACAGCGTCGAGCTATCCTACCAAATTAGACGCAGACAGTTCAAACCATAAAAGTGCCCTTGTAAAACAGTATTAAAACTCGTACTACGCAAACCAAACTCACATCCCACAGGAGGTTAACAGACAGAAGGCTTACCAGAGTGTTATAGAGAACGCGTAGCACCTCAAGAGTCATAAAAATGCAAGAAGAAAGCAAAGAATTCATATTTTGCTGTTGTTGTTGCGACTGCTGTTGGGCAGCACCTGATTGGCAAGTAGAGGGATCCTCAAGACAGAGAAATCGATCAATAAAGTTCAACCGAAGGTCACAATTCTCACCACCCCAGACCTCTGAAGCCATGGTATATTCAATTAGACTCAAAGCTCTTCTTGCAGAGGTTTCTGAAGAGATACCATTTGGAGTAGCTTCCATTGCCTGAATTCACAAGCGCATAAGGTTAATAACTAATCTCATCTGCTTCACGGATTGCTAGCCTCAAAAGCCTTGTAGTTTACCTGGCACGCGAAACGAATCATGAGATTGGCTAATTGGTCCCGGTGACTCTTTTCCATGGGCATAAGTTCCAGTTTGTCCACCGGCTAAGGGGAAATGGCAATACCAGAGCAGGTAATAATGTTGAAACTGAAGTGGAACCAATAAAGGATGGGAAGATGAGAACGCACCAAAGATGGGGATGCAGGGTCAACAACAGCAACAGCAGATGCAGAGGCCGCAGGAGAAGATGTATTCGGATTTTGTTGTTGTGGTTGTTGATCTTGTTGTTCAAGAGCTGCACGCTCAGATTTGCACCTCATGTCCCATCGCACCGTCACCTCGATGAGATCCAAAATCATCCGTCGCTGATCGATCGGAATCTGTAAAAATAAATGTGATGTGAAATACAAAAATCAGGAAATGAGTATGCGGAAGTAACTCGAAGGTTAAGCAAAAAAGACCAAGTGACACCTGCTGCGCCGACAAGCGAGAAATAACGACGATGAGTGAGCCGAGAAGAGCGTGCCGGACGGAGTAGTAAAGGTCAGCATGTCTCAATATCAAACCCCTACGGATATGATAACATACAGATAAGGCAGCTAGCTGATGTACACCATCCTTAGAAAATTTAAATTAAAAAATAACTTACAATAAATGAATGCTCATTTGCGTGCTTTGATCTTCAGCCATAATTTTTTTCGTTGCGGCGGCAAGTGCTTTCTATTGAAGACAGAAGAGAATGTAGTTTTCATTCGGAGACCATCCAAAAGTTTAATTAAAATAGTCCGGTTTTCATAGTTAATAAGCCCGAGGTTTCAAATTGGTTCATTTACGAAAGGCGCTCGAGTTAAATCGGACTCAAATGTTGCTGACATAACAATGGATTTTACCCCAACGGTGCTACACTCAGAAGTGGCAAATGTCTTGTTACTGCCCACCGGGGCACGTACCTTGGACCAGTCTTGACATTCTTGACTAAGATGACAGCTAACAATGAACACGTTCATTAAATAGCGTGCGATGATGAAGTTTCCCGCCCAGGCTCAAACGTTGTAAGGGACAGTCTGGCCGATGTGGTTCCTAGGCCACAGTTACAACAATAACCCTTACAAACATCCAATTCAGCGCGTGGAACGCCTATTTGATCCTGGAAGCCTGAACAACGCATAACCTACGTGGAAGTGCACAAGGAGTGAACCTTTATGCCGGAGCAAGTGGTACAAAGATCCACGAACATTTAGAACCGCGAAGAGTTAATATAATCTGGGCACCAAGACAATGTGGAACGGATTGGCATAAGATATAGATCAATCTTACTGGCAAATCCTTCGATGCCAAAACTTCCCAGACATTAATTAGACGCTGGAATACGTGTCACTACCGGACGCCTCGTAGTTATTTCGTTGACACTTACCTGTTCCTCAGGCCCCGTAACCCAGGCAGGTAGCAGAAGATCAAGAGAGGGATTGACCATCTTCTTCACCTCAGTTTGAGGACCTTTGGCGAGACAGAGAAAGACTTGCGGCGTCGCCTTACCCATTATTGGATAGAAGCGCGCGATAAGATAGGCCAGAACCTGCAGACCCGTATACTTCTCTTGTAGATCAACCACATTTAAATTGCTGGTGACACAGGGCCACACGAAACCCGCGATGGCGCGCAGGCGGTAACTCTGGACTCTGGGATTGAAAAATGTGGCATTTTGCACTCCATACAACTATTAGAACTGGCAAAATTCGTATTAACATCGAAATGACAAGAAGGAATTTATGCATGGGTCGTAGAGTTAGTACATTTGTCAAATGACTTCACAAATCTCAGCTCTACGATTTTAGTCAAGAAAGGTAGCAAGAGGGCTAAAGGAACCCACTTGGTTGAAATGTCTTGGACATATTCGGGAGCGTAGAAGACAAAGTGGCAGGCGATTTGACAGTACATGATTCGCAGACCCGTACATGTTTTACTGGCCTCGTCGTTCAAAAGCAGGTTCACAAAGAGGTGCACTAGATCGCTGTCTATAAAGCAGAGTGCAAAAAACCCCTTAGAGGCTAGACTACTCACCCCGTGGTTTCCAACACAGATTTGAAGAACCGTGAATCATTATTTTGTGAATAAATTACAAAATGTGCTGCAGTGCCGAAGCCAGTTAACACCATAAACCAAAAATATAAATGCTTATTCGAATCATTACCATGGATGAATAAAATTATCGACAAAAACACCAAAGAATTCACGAAACACATGCTTTTGGGGACAAATAAGTTGGTTTGGATAAACTAGTTTGTATTTAGGTTATAGAAGTATATCCGCTAGAAAGTACAATAGTCAGTATTGTGTACCATTTGAGCTGTAGGACTAATGGAACACTACACATTACATATCTCGATAAACAATATTTGAAAACATTACACATGAATTCAACAACTGCCATTTTTTAAATATAAAATAGAAGTGATAAGTTATCCCCCAAACCTCAAATGTTAATGTTGATTTTAATAAATCAGTACTTCGTTCCCTTTTAAAAGGAATCCACACACTCGTCACAGTACAGCTATCATATTTCAAAACAATTTCATGCCCAACCGAACCTAAAGTCAGTGTGAAAACCACACCTCCCGTAAAAGTCCCAAAAACCGCCCACTACACATATTTTACATGTTCAGTTTAGTGAAAAACGCAGGTATCAAATGTGAAGCATTCTTAGTAAAAAGATACTCTTGTAAAATCAACGAAATTATCACAGTTCATGCCATATATTAACTATCGTGATTTTAAATGAGGTTACTGACAGAGAAATGGGATGCTATTCTTTTAAAAGGTGACGACCAACGTTTTATTTTAAAGCCTAGCATAATTTTGTCACTCAGCTTTAGACCAATCTCACCATTAGGTTCGTTAGGTCTAGGTGGCTGGCCCAATGCCACCAGCTCCGCCGGATTTCTTTCTAAGGCCTGCTGTAAACAGGGCAGAATGAGCTGTGAAATCAACTTGAACTGTGCCTCAGGTGTGCCAAGGTACTGCTCCACAGACATTGTCGCATCTGAATCAGCCAGCAGGCTATCTGTCAGCGACTGTTTCTTTTTGCTTCCCGCCTTAGTAGAACTACTGATGGTGGTTACTATTCTGACCTCCATGCGCTTTTTCACTAGCTGGATAAAGTGAAGGCATATTGCACGACTCCAGGCCACCGAGGAGTCTCGAATAAGACGCTGTATGTATTGTGGGAGAGGATTGTAGCCCACACACCGGTGGCGGGACATTCCCGCAACGATATAAAAAAGAAGATCAAAGTCACTCGGACGAGCTCTAACAAAGCAAAAGCGTAAAAAGTTTAGCCATACTCCTTATGAATAGAAATTGCGACAAAAAACAACTTACTCTGCATAGGCAAGCATGAAATCAAGTAACAAAAGGGGCTCATCGGAGTAGAAGAAATCTGTCAGTCCAGCGGCGACCTTGACTCCGGAGAGAGATTGAGCCTCTGTGGGTTCTGTGGGGGAGCAGGTGGAGGGTAGTGAGGTATTAGCGGCGATAATTTTTCTTCCACCATCTCCAGGATCTTCTAACAGAAGGTCGAGGTCCACATTGGGCTGGGTTTGTTGCAGTTGAACAAGTGTAAGACAGGAATGGCGCTTCTTGAAATCAGCTGAGCCCCATAAGTTGAAGAGGACTCGAGTCACTGATGAGTGCCCAGAGGTCAGTAGACTTTCTCCAATAGAGGAGGAGAGAGTCAATTTAAGCCAATTGGGACGCTGCTTAAGCAAGACGTGAAGAAGGCGCAGAGCCAGGTACGAGGTTGATGCCTGGGCCAATGGTCCATCCGTTCGTGGCAAACGAAGAGGAGTATGTTCATACATGGTTTCTACAAAATCAATGATATCAACGTCTTTCCAATGTTTACAGAAAAAAATCAAATGTACCTAACCGCATGATTTGACAGACCTAGTTCCTTCTCCTTCGGTTGCAAAAGGTCTGTTAGTAGCGAAATGTTGGCCACCAAATAGTCTGCTAACGGCTTGCTCTCAGGTAGTGTCATTAGATGCTGTAACGAAGGAAGGAATGGATCAAAGGCCTTATCAGACTGAATGCACAAGCCACCTCGTTTTGAAACACTTTTTGCATGCCGATCGACCCATTGGTAAAAGCAAGACATACCAGGAGGATTCGATGTGCATGACCGTCATGGGGGCGAGAGAACCCGTTAAAAATTTGACGGAAAGTCTCCTCAGGAAAACGCACAAGAAACCGGAGTAGCGGCAGACGCAGAGAACTAGTTTGTTCTGCATTAAGTGATTGTTCCACTTGAATCACCAGATTCAACAGGGGTTTTACGTACTTTTCGCCAGCCAACGGGATCAGAGGAAACAAATTGACCAGCGCTGCTATCAACTCAACGGATTTGGAAAGTGTATCCACGTTGTTTATGCTTGCCAGACTGTTCTGAATCCCCTTTGCAAAGAAAATCACTTAGCTATGTGATAGTTAAGAACATGGCAAAAGTAGGTTCTAAATTGATAATTTTTAATGATAAGCAACGGTTTTATATTAATGATACTCCAACAAGAAATAATTAGAGATGACTGTGTGACAGAAATTTAATCATTTAACCTGTTATTGCAACGAAGTAAGTAATTGTTACGACTCACTTGAATTGTTTCACAGAAGCGTTCACTGAAAGTGCTAGGGAAGAGCTCAGCACAGTATGCCAACTGACGTACGGTTGCCAGACGAATGTTGGACGTCTGACGGAGGCTTGGCAGAATGGGTTTCACGTAGGTGTGACGCAGCTCCGTATCGATAGTTGTGCGTTTCACGTAGTCCTTAGTATACTCAAATACGGGTTTGTAGACAGAGGCACAATCCGAACACATGCCTACGAGAGAAGCGGTTGCGGTGAAATAATACCTTTAAACAAGTCTTTTCAGATTTGCGATACACCACCTAAACTGCCGGGCGAAGGCCTATTACAGTAAGCCAGAGCAATCTGAAATTGTCAGCTGAACTTGACGGTGCGATTTGAGCTTATCTGCTTTAAGAAGTAGGTTTAACTCGGATCCAAGGTAGTGGAAGGTGGCTTCCCGTAAATTTTTTGCACAGCATGTGGGGAAGGTGTTGTTTGCTGCAGTAGAACGTACCAACAAGAAATTGTTCAGGCGATTCAACCAAAGTGATAAATTGCTCAGAAAAAAATACACCACTTTTAAGAAGATCCACAATTTCTGGTAGAAAAAGACAGTCGAGTGTGGCGAATGACGAAGGTAATTTAAAATCTACATGTCAAGAGCAACTCTTGATCATGTTTAACGTGAGTTATGAAACAATTGGTTAACGCCCATATCAAATGAAAAGGAGGATTTGCGGCGTAAGCTGGTACGCAAATGAGCTGCACCCACAAGGCAAGCATTAACGGGTGACAAACAATAAACATCACAGATTGTCCATTCGCTTCCCGCTTCTTTCACATAAATTGGAAGGGTGCGTTGTGTATTCTAAATTATTTGCTGACCAGTAATTCGAAATAAATCGTATTGCAACGTGCGTTAAGTGAACGAACATATCATGGGGTGCTCCCAAACAGTCCATTCACTACGCTGCAACCACACCCATAATGGAAGTACAACTTTTTTTACACAATTAGCAATAAATTTGTATATGTAGCCGACTGCAGAGGCACTTATTTGCTGAGGTCCAAACGATTACAGCCGAGGACAATAGGACACAAGGCCTGTTCCAAAAGACAACGCAAAACCTCATACCTCACTGCCACAAAACTCACTGGTGAAATCCCATCCAGGACTTCATACTGGAAAGGAGAGACGCTGCTTAATTCCCATCATATGTATCCCCTGGTAATATCTCTCCAAGTGATAAACATAATCCCTTAGCACAATGTAATCATATGATCACATGCGAAAAAGGACCAAACAGTTGAAGATAATTGAGGTAGAAACGATGGTAGCAATTGCAAGGTAAGCTGCTTCGAGATAAAATGCTTTATAAAAGTGAGTTTCAGAAGCTAGCGTCCTGTTGAAAAAGTAATAGATGGCGATGTTTATTTCAACACACAGTATTGCAAGAAGTCCTCCGCAGTTGCTTAAGTTTGTTTAAAAAATCACACGAGCACGCCTGGTCATTTCATGCCAATCTCCCAGCCCTATTACACGTTCATAACCAAGGTACTACCTAACGCGGATACATTGTAAATTCTTCGTGAAAAAGGCACTAAATTAGTGGTATTGATGACCCCACTTTATAAGAACGATAACCCCTACACTAAGGCAGTACAGTGTAAAAATCTACCGTGAGAAATTTAATCTACGGACTCAACAAACAGCCTATCGAAACTGTCGCCTTTTAGCAACTACTTAAAGCTTGGACTCCACAAGTCGGTCAATAGCGGGAGAAATTAAGGTTTGAACAGATTAAAAAAATCCCTAGCGAAATAACTACAATACCACAACGAGCATAGAAATTTGTGGAGATCGTTGCTGCGGAAAATGATGGGCATACGTACTGTGCTAGCTCTAGGTCATCGCCAGCTTTCCCACTGCTTGCTAAATGAATCCCTCCCCGATACTGATCGTTTACCATTAGGCGATTTTCAGCAATACAATCTGGTCCCATGAGGCGGACTACCGCTAGTGAAAAAAGCAGCGTTTTTGTCATTAGTCCAATTTATCATATTATCTTCATTCCTGCCCCGCAGTTGATTCCAATTCACTCAATAACGACCAAAACAGTGTTGACCAAGGAGAAGGTCGTCAACGCTCAAAAGGGCGTCATGTAGCAGAGTGGCATTCGTTTTTAATATATAGCCAGAAACGTGGCCCTTTTCAGACTCATCCGATTCAGCCACGCCATCTAAAGCACTTCCGCAGGTTTGTAAAAACGCTACTATCAGTCACATGTATTATGACGCTTTCAAAGACATCATTACAGTAATCGACAGGCCTACCTTTGAATAGTGCCGCGAGAATAACCGACTTATGCGATTCCAGGTAATGCATCGTGGAAAGAACCTGGGAGGCCACAACCTTCAGATCAATTGCCATCTGCAATTGTAGCGATGAAAAAATGGGCACCTGGGATGGGGGAGTTCTACCACCTGTTGGGTAGCTTGAAGACATCGGGGAGGCGGGCAGGGGCGAGTCCATGATGGCGCGAAGATCCACAAGGAAACGATTGTCGCAGCGACGATTCATTGGGCAGTATTGCAGCAATCCAGCACCCAGAGGTGCATCTCGACAGAGAAAGTAGTTTGCTTCCTGCAAAACGAAAAACTTTGTACACTCGAAAACGCGAACAAAGAGATTAAAACCGGAGAGGAGAGGCCATTAGTGAACTCACCAGGACGGCGATTTGTGTGGATGTCGGCAGATTAGAAAGTCGATGGAACCTATTCTTAGGTGGCAACCAACAGCCTATGAGGTGGATATGTGGTTTCAGTAAACCACCAAGGGGTATGGATAGGCATTCAGCAATATTCGATAGAAGAGAGCGTACTTGAGCTCGAACAACCTTAGTCTCACTCAGCATTGCCTGCACAAGTTCATGAAGAATAGCATTCATGAGTGGCGTCTAAAGGAAAAATGAAATTATAACTAATGTTAGAAAACAAAGTATGCTCCTGGATAAGCTCACTTGTGAAGCAACTTCAGACGATAATGAAGCCATTGGATTAGTAGCATCAAACATTTCCACATCCTCTGTTAAATCGTGCACCGGTGAATCCGCATCCTTTCTCGGTGTTGCCGACCTTTTTTTCGTGACACCACCACGCTTACTCGCGGCCACGGGCCTTCTACGGGCAGCCACTGTTCGTTTGCTGTGTTCTCGGCTCTGAACGGGTGACTCTGCTTTGATTGTAGTTGACAGTGGCGGTGTTGATCCAGCTGGGGGAGAAGATGTCTCATGGGAGAAAACAAACTGCACCAAAGCGGTAGAACACTGCTGGGCAAGGGCGAGAGCACCTTGACCCATTTGGTTGGTCAGATCGTGAAGGCAATGTAGTAGACCGCGGAGGAAAACAACCAAATGCTCTCTGAACCAATTTACTGACAAGCGATCTCGAAGATGCAGTAAAATGCAACATCCACCCGATTTGACGAACCTGTAACATCAATTTTTGACAACTCTACTCACAAGAAATGAATGTTTGGTGTCGGTAAATTCGGTGGCAAAAACGAACCAAGCAGGATGGAAGAGCATGTCCTTGATGGCCTTTGCAAAGTAGTGCATCAGCGGAAGACGTGCAAGCACATCACATACGCTAGTCTGAAGGGGGTCATCAGCCAGGGCGACTTCAATCGCAGTGGTGGCGGTGTTAATGATCTCGTCCAAGAGAACATATCCACTCCGCACCAACTCCTTGTCCTCATGACCCATCACAAAGCAGACGGCTTCAACCAAAACCCTCGAATCGAGCGTAAGTGCAGCGTCGGAGGTCTGAAAAGATAACGATGACTAACAAAACGCAGAGGTAAAAATGCATTAAAAACTGTGAATACAGACAGGCGTGCTAGAGAAACTGACTGCAAATGGAGAGTTAATGTTTCTTTCTTCAAGGAGACTGATGAGTGTCAAATGGCGAACGAGGAAAGTTAGAAAAGTCCCACAGTTTGGTATTTGAGGTGCCACTGACGCGGACAAGAAGATTCCACCGACAACCCGCACCATCACAAGGTGATAAATATCTAATGAGTGGCAGAATTAGTGAGCAAATATTTCAAGTGAAATAATTTTATAAGCCTGATTAAAGAAAACCAAAAGGCTTACTAGGTTTGTCGTTATAGAAGAATGGTTGGCTCGAGTCCAGTTGTTGAATGACGCTGCGAAGTCGTTTAAGAGGATAGGGTGGAAGTTTATCAACAAAGTCATAGGATAGGTACCCAGTAGGGGTCTTAGAACAAATATGTACGTTGAGAGACGATATGCAGACACCTCTTAAGAATTGCCATGCACGAAGTCTGCACAAATAATCGACAGCAGGCTCCTAAAATCCACCAAGTAAGCGACTAATTAGCAGGCCAATAGGAGGAACCTCAGTGGGAGTAGAATCAAACTCTACCTGAATAGTTTCCACAGCGAAATCGACTAAACTGCGAATAGGGAGATCAACGGGGTACTGGGGAAATTCGTGGAGCCAAAATCGAAGAAGTGGACCACTTTCTCCACAATTCACATTCAAGTTGAGACGCTGGACATCTGATATATCGGCTCTGTTAAAGCGACCCATTTTTCCGAGGACCTAATGAGCAGGGTAAAGACGTTCAACATGAAGCCCGACGCACAGAAGAGTAATATGTTTAAAATAAATTACTTTAAAAGCCATCTTTTGAACGTATTCACTTTGGGAATGTAGAGAGGTGTAAAGGCCAAGCAGCATGTCACCGCGAACTTGGTAGAGATGTTGATAGAGAAAATCGGGCTGCATGTTGTCGACGCAGAGCTCCAGTGTACGGAGACCCTAGTAACAATAGTGGACAAAAAATAATAAGACATTGCAACGGAGTGGTACAATAGGAGGCAATGAAAAGTATCGGAAGTAGTTATTGTAGGGTACAGGCAAGTAGAAAAAGTTGCTTCGAATTTCATTTGAGCAACAGTATCTTTTCACGATACTCGATAAAAACAATATTGGCAATTCCCTCCAAATCTTGACTTTAAATGATCAAAATATCTACAAAAAGCAGTCTTTTAAAAAGGATCGAGGAAAATCCTATTTCAAGACGAAACTACATGTCAATATCACAAATAACCCACACCATTCAACAGTTTTTTATTCGAACTATACGAACAGACTCAGCATCACCAAATAAGTTTCTTTTCCACTCAAAGATGCAATTTCCCCTTCAAAGCCATTGATTTGAGCACATTTAACAACTTAGCAAAAAGTCCCAAAGTTTATAAAACCACCAATTCAACGTTAAGTAGGTTTACAAAAGTAATTCTTAACCTTGCATATTTTCGCAGCATTTCCCATGCAATTGTGTAAAATGGCAATTTCGGATTCCAATGTCTCGAGGTGCTAATTTTACAAACATGGGTTCACAATTAGCGTCTTCACGACAGTATGTCGTTTAACGGAAATTTATAAAAAAGCAGTATTTTAACTTGCTAAATTTGAACATATCGAAGTTTTTATATTTAACAGATCCAGCATTCCGAAAACGACGAAACGATATGCCTGCCACGTAAAGGGCGGCAGTTTTTATCTTTAATTCAATCGGAAAATTGAAAAACACCTTTATCAATTTTTCAGTAACCTTTTTAATGTATTTCTTAGCAAAAAAATTTGACTAATCATGGCATATTTCGGAAGTAAACGCTTACAGCTACACAGTACCACTGCAACCCATTCAATACGCTTTACAAAAAAAATATTCCGAAGAATTCTTAATCGCACAACGAACGGATCAAGTTAGTTAACATTTACTAAGTGGTTTCATTTGCTATTCAACAGATCTGGACATGGAATACTGATCTGATGAGTACGAAATTTTTGGTTCTCCAAAAGCTTTTCAAACGGTAAAAATTGTTGAAGTCATCTTGGCAGTTTAAGTCAGTTATAATTTTCAGCCGGAAATTTGCGATTTAACAAACCAAAGTAAAACATTCAAGAAAATAACCAAATGTATTTCCGTCAAATAATCGTCAATTATATCCAGTAGGCAGGTGTATGCAAAAAAACTGTGCTTTTTAAAGAAGAAACATGTATTCAGTTTACTTAATAGCTTTTCAACAGCTAGAATTGTCATTCAATTCATTGCGATATGCAAAGGGGATACCTCAAGATCAAAATCCGGGAGTAAATAGTTATGAAGCGGCCAAACGCACCTGATTGACGGTATTGCAATTTAGAACATAAGTAAGCGGTTCCATAAGGAGCGAAAGGTAGGGTAAGAGGGTGGAGAGGCGAACCGGCACAATGACGCAAAGTTCGCCCAGTAGGTCGCGAGCATGGGTACGATGAGCAGAGCGCAAAAGTCGGTTTAGCGTGGTCAGCATCTCGGGCAGGAGGGGAAAAAACTCACGATAAAGCTTATCGTGTGCGCCCCCACCGATGGATCGAAAGAGAGCACGCAGCAGCGTCAGATATGCTATTGGCTCTCGAGCTTCCAGACAGTGCTGCATACTCCCCTGCACTATCCTTCGAAGATGCAACTGCAAGAACGAAATACTTTAATACCACGACTTTAGCCGTATAATGAATAGACAACCGTTGTACGCACCTTCATAACATGCTCATTTTCAGTGCCAGTCATGTTGACTGAGTTAAAACAGAACTTCAGAAGACGCATGTAGGTAAAGGATACGTCAGTGCCCTCTGAAAGGAGATAAGAAAAGAGCTGCAAAATAATACTTTCGCTACCCGTTTTTCGGGAAATACTCAACCAACACATGTAAGATGTTTTATTTTTTTGCATAACATTGACACTAGCGCTAACAAAACGACCGAATCAGCTACCACTCAAAAATATCCTGTTTTTTTGGTGAAATCATTTACCACAAATTGGTAAAGAGCACGTTACACACATTTTTGGCTTCAAAAGAAGGCAATAAAGACGCCACGCATATGATAGTTAAAATTTTTAAAAGTGAAACATACCACCAATTTTTTCAAGTCGTTCAACGAGGTAGGAGAGCAGAATACGACCGAAGTTGGACGTCTGGCTTGACTGGGAGAGGAGGTGAAAGGCGAAGTGCGCATAGAAAAGAGGACTTTTGCGACACCAGTCAACGACGTACTGGCGATGAAATGAGGATTACATGCATCTGTCGCGAAAATGCAAAAACAACCTACGAAATATCACTTACGCCGATCTTAGCTGAAAATATCTCCCGAAACGATGAAGAACTGATAGGTACAAAGGTCATCGCTAAAGTTTCCAGAAGGAAACGCTCCTCCGGATACTTTGCACCAGAGTTGGGACTAAAAGGGAAAGGACTTACTCTTACTGTAGGAATTCAGTGAAATACAAAGCGATCGAACCGAAGGAGAGAAGGCACACACCCACGAAGGTAAAAATGGCCATCCTTCGAGACAATCCTCAGCACATCAAGCATTCGAAGACCATAGGTAAGGTAGTCAGACAGAACGGCCACCTCAGTAGGCAGAAGCTGTTTGGGCGATGGCGAAGAGGAAGCTTGTGGTCCACCTACGAGGTATGTGTCATCCTCGGGCCCACTCTGATGTGGGCATTGAGTCAAAGCCGTGATAACAGCCCGCATGCCCGAGACCAACGCCTTTATTGAAGACCTCATGTCGTTGATACCCAGATAGCCTTGTGTGGACGTCTCAGAGTACAAGGACTGAACAAAATGACCGGGATTAAAGGGTTAGTTAAGTACCGAGCGAATAAAAGCAGGAACAAAAAACTCACTGTGTCTTGCTTACCACCCGAACTCGCAGAGACATTCTCGGCTTCTCCCTCATATGTTGATGCTTTATTTTCAGGAGAGCTTTCAAGGTCCTCCCTTAAACTACCAATCAATGTTCAAAATTCAATAAATCCAGCGGTTGAGAAAACTAGTGTAGAGACAGTAAAAGGAAACGCACCACTTTGCCTCAAACTCAGGGATATAATGTTCAGCAACGATTCGGCATTTGAGTACACAAAGGGACATTATTTGAAGTAAAACGCGCCGAGCACTTGCAGCATTCATGGGCTGCTTTGCTGCATCAGAGGGGGTTGATTCCGTCATTCGTTGACGAATACACTCAGCAAGGTTGAAAATCAATCTCTGACTCATTTGCTGAATCGAGAAAGGTAGAGTGTCATCAAACATATTCCGTCCGTACAGGTCGACTGCTCGAGCTATTTTTGTAAGAGTAAGGTCACTGCGAAGATGGTGTATCAAATCTGCTAGCGTGCTATAAGAAAGTGGTCTAGAAGAGGAAATGGAAATAATGATGTGGTTATGCGAAATCAAGAGGCAGAGGTAACGACATCAATAAAAGTAGGGAACAGCATGGGGGCACGCCACCTTAGGGAGTCCCGCACAGTATAACCTTTTCCGATCAAAATGTTATCCTCCATCATGTCATCGAGTGCTTGAAGAAACTCTATAATAATAAGGTGAAGTGAGTTAGTTGCATTAAGTGACCTTGTACGAAATCATGTAAGAGCTTAAATTCGGATGTCACGAGCTATTCTTATGCAATCCTATAGAATTGAGACATTTGTAAGCACACGCTCATTAAAATTGCAAGATCAGCGCAGGGTAACTATTCGCTTATTCAGGTAGTTCGAGCATGAGGATCAAATTAGAGCACACAAAAGCACACATTGATAATAGGCAATAACGTACTCGGCCGAATTTCCTGTGCACTTAAAATGTGACGAGTAGCAATAAAAAACTCTTTACGCATATTTGTAATAGACGGCGGACATGTAATCATAAGATTCATCATGCCTTTAACCAATGCTGCGGAATGCTGATCAATAGTCTCCTGTAAAAAAGTAGGTAATTAACGGTATGAAGTCGATCAAGGTGTAAAACAGACCAAAACTCACCTGATATATCTTAATGACATAGGCTAAGAAGGAAAGCGTCTTCACCTGGGCTGCCATAAAGTCTAGATATTTGCTCTTCTTGCAACTTTGGTCTTGCCTAAGGATAGAAGAGATGAGGTGAGGTGATCATATCCAAAACCGGTAATTGTCAGGGTAGACAAAAAGTAAAACCGATTAGCATGCATCTGTACATATGCGCCCGCAAAAGGAACAGTCGATGTTTAGCATTAAGGGCATTCTGCTTCTTCGAAGCAACGTAGGAGTCCATATTGCCCACCGCACCACTTGCAAACTGCTAAAGGGACATTTCAGCACTAATCACGAAATGGAGCAGACTTTCCTAGGATGCTTCAGGTGCATTATGCAAAAACTCCCCAAGTATTAGTTAATTACTGTCACAAATGTGCAAATGTAATGAGAAATGTGCTAAAACCAACCACATCTTTCGCTCAGTAAAAATCATTCCCAGAGACAACCTTAAATATCAAGGTAACACAAACATTCTAGTTACATTGCACATGGAAAACTTACGTATGTTCCGGAAGGGGCCTCATGTTAATAAACTCCATGATAACAGGAATAAACTCAGTTACATGGCTGTGAATTTGCTGTTTAAATAGCTGATACAACAGAACCACAAGAATTGGAATCTCCTGCATGACTTTGAGAGAGAAACACGCCTTAGGGAGGATGTGATACTAACGAGAACGTTAAGGTAGTTCAAATTACGACTGAAGGTGTGTCCTTCGTATGGACAGTTGTAGCCGTGAACACTCCAGGCAAAATGGACTCAATTTTCAAATCGTTAATGCTGTTGACTTCGAATACTTGGTCCGGTTTGAAAATGTTATATATATGATTCTTCAGATTCCGGTAGATTCGGTGAATGAGATTAAGGAAGTTAATTACCTATGGACAGTTAAAAATCCACGACTCTTACTTCGGGTGAGAAATGAGGACGATATAACTTGTGAAGATCCATTATTAGTTTGATACAAAGGAGGACATTCTCTTCATTTTCATACTGAAAACATTAAACATACAATTAAAATGTACCTCGACAATCTGGAATAAAAGATTAAGCACGACAGAAACATGTGTCCTGATATAATCCGCATTTTTGATTTTATGCATGATTTCAAAAGACATGCATCTTAAACGATTTAGAGACGACTCCTTTATAAATTGGACCTCAGTTTCGAGCAAGAACTTTCTCAAATATTCGAAGATAGTAGGAATAAATTCCTTTAGCTCATCGTCTACGGAAAAATTCTAAAAAAATCAGTCAGAACAGCAATTCACCTCAAGATATTCACACAGTTCTGCTCCATGTTTCAAACGTTCATCTATCGCTACGAGAATCAATTAATTGAACAAAAAAACATACGCAAATCAATGCTAAGGAAGTGCATCAGGGCAGCTCGAGCTTTTGATCCCATCTTGCCGGTACAAATACGAACAACCGAACCGCCAGTAAGGGTGGACACACCGACCAATCAGCCGGCAACAGGGGGCCTGTAAAAGACCTTATGAGGCGTACATGTGTTGGATTTTTCCATCTAAAATCAAATGTGTATGCATTTTAGTCTTACAAACGAAGGCAAACTAAAATGTTCAAATTTGTCTGTTGCACTAACTGGAAACAATCAAGTTTGATATAAAACATTGAAAGAAATTCAAAAGTATCCATTTTTAAGTCTATATCATATTTAGTAGGTATTTTTGTGTCTGCACAACTAAATCTACAAAATACCTAACCTCAGTATTTAGGTAACTTTGATATGGCCTTTAATCTTCCCATCGTGATCTCTGCCATCCGGACCCCCTATGCATAAATAAACATTTCCTTCATGCTAATAAGCATTATCAAGATCTAAACAGGACTAGGCGGTATCCCGCACTCAATTTCAAAGTTCCTATGACTTCCCCAAGGACTTACAACTTCGTGGTATTTCTATGGATCGAACAAGCTAATTAAGAAAACCATTAGGATTTTAATATAAGTATTTTCAGGACAGCATTGCTTTGGTAGATCTGTTTCCACTGGTCAGGGTAAGAGTTTTTGAAATTTACATTATAGCACCGGACTTTTCTGCTTTTGGCTCTAGTTTTAGTTTTCTTACTAGGTGACTTTTTTACTAGGGAGCCCCTACTTTTTGGCTCGCAGCACTCCGCGCTAGTTTCGAGTTTTTTTCTGGTTGTTGATGTATTTAGCAATACTTGGTTCTTCATCATATAATTTCTTTCACCTGAAATGTTTCCCATGACTTAAGGGTCTCATCTAGTACGATTCTCACCGGTTGTATTACCTGCTTGCTCTTGCTTTCGGGTCATTGATCATAACAGTGGTTTTTATTCGTGTGGTTGTTTTGGCGTTTTCCTCGCTATTTTATGGGAGTAAGCAAACTTTTAATGCAGTTCTGGGCTAAAGTTTCCCACAGGATGTAGTGGGTGATATCTTTTGCGTCTTTTTGCCTTGTGATATTGCAGGAGTAAATTACTAGATTCGTAATTCTCAATTATCTTATTAACTCACTATTGCTTCTCAGGAAATTATTGATGTCGTCATACTGTGGTGGTCGCTTTACTGTGCCTCCGGGTTTCGATTTTAAGTACGTGCTCATCCTTAATAACTCCTAGTACAGAATCCTTCCACAGAAATCAAAAAATGTTGCCGTCGTTTCTATCATTGGTTCATTGGACTCATTCAACGGCAAGTACTCAACCCAGCTAGTGGATGACTTTCTTCAGAAAAGCCCCTTTTCACTCCCCTGTGCCAATGTGAGGTTGCGGCTTGCCTAATCCTTACATCCTTTAGAGCGTCATAAAAGGCTACTATGACTGTGAACGCCAGTTAATCTTTCTGCATTATCGTGATTCGGAAAAACTCCTCACTGACCTCTTAAACACATTCGAAGTAAACTTTTTTTATTTTACTTTCTTAGGATTACGAAAAAGTTCTTGAGAAGTGGGATTCAGAAAGGCTGAAGCACTTATATTTTCTGTTCACTATTTCACACTTCATTGTGGTAAGCATATCATATGAGAGCTTTATTTCAGATCGTCACTTACGGTAACCGCTTGGACCCAAAATACATCTCCCTCTTCAAACTTTTAAATCGCTTAAGGTAGGTTGTCAGAGAGGTGCTTTTATTGTCTTTTCTTCTAGACATAGTTTGTATCCTACTTTGGAGCAACTTTTGCGGTCACTTCCACTTCCGCGCTATTGCATTTCCATTGGGCGACTGATGGCACCACGACTTTTGTTTGTCTTCAAGCTGCCACCCACAATCATTGCCAGAAAAATTGCCAATGTCGTTTCATTTTTTCATTGTCCAGCTTAACTTCTGAATACACACGACAGGCTTCAATAGTTCTATTCTCTTTTTGCAGGACGAAAACGCATTACTTGACTTTGAAAAGAACCTCTCGTACGAAATATTCAATGTCTTCTATGAGAGCGGATTGCTTGAAGGGTAGGTAGTTAATCTTGTTAATGCCGAACTTCCCCTCTTCTCCTCTCTCCAGCAACTCGGCGGAGAACAGATTGTTTGACTTAATGGGTTACAATTACGTGCGTGTCCTCCTGCCTGATGGAACTGAATCACTGGGGGACCTTTCAGAATCCCACGGTCGGTTCGACAAGGGTGACTTGGCCCAGAAGCTGCTGGAGACGCTGGTTTTAGCCACCGGAGTTACTTCCCTTCTGGAAGGCTTGGATCTCACTAAGGATCGTCGGGTGTTGCCTCCCACTGCCCTCTACCCGCCGCCTGGTGGACCCGATGATCGGAGCTTTTCTGCCTTCCTTCAGTGCCATCTCACCGCCCTCTTTGACGATCCATTTCGTGGAGATCATTCGGACAACTATACACCCTATACATTCGAACTGCCCACCTGTAAAGGGTGGTTTACTGTGAGTCCTTCATCATCAATCATTTCCTTTTATCAATATTAATTTGCTCCCCTTCGAAAGTTGCCTTCTTGGAACCACTTTTCATTCATGTGATTGCCTTTTAATGGCAATAATACAAACTACCACAAGGTAAGAATTATTTGATTCCTAATCAACGAAGGGTATGGTAGCGCCTCCAAATCCGAAATATCCCTGCTTACCAAAGTAGCGTCTAGTACCTTAAATTGTTTTTGTTAATGCTTCGGTTATTGGAAAGCTCCAGGAAGTGGAGGAAATTTCAGGAATTACCCGGCGTTTGTGGACTTTTGTTTCATTTCGAGTGAAATTGGTAGGGATTCTGGGTCTCCGTACTAAATCGCATAACACTAGTAAGGAAGCAGAGCGTCACTGCGTTGCAGCTGTCAAGCATAGAAGTGTTTTGCCTAATTCCAAATAGGTTTTTTGAAACCCAATAAAAAACACTGAATGCAGCAGACGCCAAATCTTCAACGTTATAAGATCTATTTCGAAATCAAATTCATCTTTTATACGAAACTCTAATTAAGACTCACCTGCATGATTAGCCTGTTAACTGACTTAGCTCTTAGTTGCTGACAAGACCACGAGGAATGGTAGGGCATAGAGCCTTCAATTGTTTCGCGACAGCAGATGGTCTGCTTTTGAGCAGATTGAAGGACAATTAAGATCTGTTTTATAAAGCAGTAGCTGAGTTTTTGCGTTCGAGTCCCAATATCTTCACTTTTTTTGCGCATAGACGTGTTACAAGTTATACACCAGCCTGTTCGATGGGAATGAGTCTAGTCCATCTCCTTTGTTGGAGGACGGTACGGATCCCTGCCTAGGTCGTCAGTGGCACCAACTCTTCCCCTTTAACGAAGATTCCGACGCTACTGCGGTCACACTCTTCTCCACTCAATCTCAACTCGATCGTCGACTCTCTAGTACTCGATGCGAGATTGCTCTAACCGCTGCTGAAGCTCACTACCGACAGGACCTACCGGTCCACTATTCCAGGACCTTCCATCTGGCAAAGGTAAGTACTTGAATTCTCTCCTCGCTTACTAACTAACCCTTTCTAGCAGTATGCATTTGCTCTCTATCATAGGTAGTATCATCGTACAACGTTTTCCTGCGCCTGGCACGTGGGCCTTGCGTCATCCCCACCCTGGACCGACTGACTCGACGCCTGGCCCGCCTCTATCTGGCCGGCCGCGTGGGCTGTCCAGCGGTACTGGTATCGGGTGCGGTTTGTCGTCAGGAGCTGCACACCTTGCCCGAACGGTTCCCAGGCGTCGCCAAAGCTCTCTGTTTGCTGGAATCACAGCCGAGGGCGGATACCGCCAACGACAGCAATGACACCGCTAGCGAGCCTGGCGGCGAAGAATTGATGGCCATGCGCCTCATCAAGCAGATGAAGTTGGCGCTGGATGCGGGTGCATTAGCGTCTGGTAAGACGAGCCTGATGAAAAGCCGGCACGTCTGCGATGCTATTTTCTCCGATTGCTTGCAGGACGTTCCTCTTGGTGAGTTTCTCCTAGGATTTTACTTTTTGCTAACTTCGACCCCAATTTATGAAGCTCGTCATCGAGTGTTGTTGGAAGTGTTTTGACAGAACTGTTCCCTGCTTCGTTTCATTCGAAGTGGAACTAAATCAATCGTTGTTTTAGGTCTCCAACTGGCCATAAAGTTTCACTGAAAATCTGTTCTTATTTTGAGTAGAATGTACTGAAAATAGCTGCTTCCTTTTTTAACTGGCTGTCACTTAGCAGCAATCTACGTCGTACTTTCCTGTACATGTATTAATTGACATAGTATTGCTAACTGTACCTTGCATTTGTTTTCTTGAATCATATCTTTCAGCTAATGGATTAGTAGAAACCTATTTTTATATTGTGTTTTCAGAAACGACAACAATGGGGCTGGCCTTGATCTGATCTGACAAGTTCGCTCAGATTCTATTAAATTTCCAACATGAAGTTCGTCAAGTGACACTTGTGTTGCTCTCCATGTTTATCGCCTTGCCTCAATTATTCAATTCCCATGATACTAAGAAGGCTGGTTTGAGTACCGTCTATCGATAATTTGCCAAGAAACGAAGTCCATTGATTCCTACTTTAGCCTTTGATTAATCCATTAAGTGCGTTCACATAGTTCTCACTCATTTTTTTTCGAAATGGCACGTATAGAATCGTAGCTTTTCAACTATGGGCCCGAGCAGAAGCATTATCACTTTACCAAATATGACTGCGGGCCTAGCAAATCAATCATACTGGAGATTTGTAACGACACTGAATGCTAGGTATTACTAATAGAAGTTTCGCCATAAACACCAGTTCATCGCTATCACCATGCGCTCAGTCTAGTAAACTGTAAAATAAACATTTTTTTTCTAAAGTATTTATGCCGGTTTCACTAGTGTAGAACGTTCTTTATGTGTCCACCTATGGTCACAATCCGTCTATCCTCGGATTTATGGCAGTTCTGTATTCAGCTGCGTGTTTCCATCCGATTAATTTACTTTAAACGCACTTGCCTTGAACTTTTACGCCCCAAAGTTGGTTTGTTGTAGTAAAATGGTAACACTTTTGCAAATGAAATTGAAGCTGTTTTTGTAAAGTGGGCAGAGTTTGTAATTGTAATCAACCCAGACTTTCCTCGTGTATACTTATCTCTAGGTGTTTCATTTTTCCCATCAATTTCAGACGAGATTCTTGCCGTGAAACAACCAGAATTGCACATATTCGTCAACTTTCTGCCCAGCAAAAGCATTTTTGTTAAACGTCCTTAGGTCTTATGGGACGCTGGCGGTACGCATGGATCGAGGCTGCTGTGGAGGTGATAGAGAAGCAGAAAAAGCACCTGCACGCCACCGATGCAAGCACTTCTGGTAAGGTCTCAAGCTTCCACCACCTCTCCGTAATGCCACACCGCTCAGACCGACGTTACATCAGTTACTGCAACTGCGGTCGACTGCAAGCTCTACGGCCCGATCCCTTCGACTATCAAGAGGCCAATTGGGAGTTTTATAATGCTCTCGAGCTGGTCTGCTGCAACAAGGTGGGATTTATCAATTTTAACTTAACCCTCCTCTTTTGTGTGTAGGTCAACGGGATTCCATTGGCGCCCCTGATCTTGAGCAGCTCAGTGCACAACTTTTGTACACATTTGAAGGAAAAAAGTGTGGAGGAGATCGAGCAACCGAATTCGCCATTAAAAATGACCTTTTCTGACTTGTCCCAGCGTAACAGTTGTCGAGCCGTTCAATCATACGGTGAGGACGATGCAACAGCTGCCCATTTCACTTGTGAATCAAACTTACATCAAGGTAACGCAGAAGAAGAGGAGGAAATTTGCCTTAGAGTTGGGGGAGATTTGTTATGCTTTTACTTTTTTGCTTGAAAGTGGATACTTATATGTATTCGAGAAAGCAGAGGATTTAGTGATAGTTATACAAGTCTGTTCTCACTCCATGAGCTGGTGACATGATTTTTCTTGCCTATTAGATTACTTCTAATTCTACGTTTACTTTCAAACCGGACACAAATTATCTGCCAAACTTCTTGATCTCGCTATTGTCTTAGTTAGCATAAAGTTATCGAGGCAGGATAGCTGGCTATTGGTTGCCAATATACAATGCATTCTGACCCAGCTCTTTTCTAGGCCATAACTATCAGCTAGTTCGAAGTTTCATGAAATATCTTTAGCACATTTGATGAACCTATATTGTAAATGTTACCTTAAACCAACACTTAAGTTTTTGAATGATTGCTCCAAAAAGGCAGCCACGAACTATGAAGATGCTCTTTTGCAATAACCCAGATGCACTATGGTTTCTACTTTTGGCTATTGGGTATTTTACGCCTTACATATGCACCGGGATCAGGCTGATTCCTCTTTTAAGATTCCGACATCGACGAATCTATCACGTCTTCCAACGCCCCCGTTCCAGCCTCCAATTATACCAGTACGGACAGTATGTCACAACTTTCAGCTCGCAAACTGCTCACCAAAACTCGTCGAACCAAACTTAATGCCTCAAACATGTCAGCAGACTATGGTGAAGAAGAAAAAGAGGGAGTGGAAGATCCGAACAGTGGCGACGCCATCGCTAGTAGCCTCAGCGACGAGTCTTTCGAGGCGTTTGATGTTGCTGTAAAGGAGAAGCAGTGCATCCCAGTCACCTTTTTCTCTGGTATGCCTGTGCTCGGTCAGCCCATCGGGACCATGCCTCTATATCCTTCTTGGGCTGTCCACGCACTGGGAAAGTACTTCAGCTACTCTCATTCATCTGGTAATTCGCCTCCGGTTACCTCATTCCTACCCTGCTGGGTAATTTTATTGCTCATTGTCTTTTTTTCCTCTTTCCTTCTCTTCAGGAATGGCCCTTCCCGGATTTCTACGTGGGAGTCACTTCCTCCTTCCCTGGGATGTCCAACTCTCCCGTCCTGCATCACTTTCCGGCACCCCGTCAAAGACTCGAGTAGGACGTCCGCGTGACTCGGACACCGTTAAACTCTTCCTCGGCTTCGAGATGGAGTGTCCAATGGGCCATCGCTTTTTCCTCGCTGGTCCGGATCGTCCGATGACAGGAACCATGCAGGGCGGCGACGTGCGACGCTCTGTTTCCAGTCTTCTCTCCTGCGATCTTCCACTCTATCTACCCTGTCGTTGTTCGCCCACAGCTGGCGGAGCGAAAGCGGAGAGCACTGGAACGGCAGGGCCAGAAATGATGGAGACGCTGGAGGAAGTGGATGGGAAGGAGAGAGAAAGTCCTGGAAGTAGCAGCGGAGGTGATGACGGAACGACGTGGGCTCAACTGATGCGCATATATGTAGCCATTCCCAGCGTCGCCATTCGCGTTCGCTTTGCACCGATGGTTAGACCCGGTCCGATGGACTCTAACACCCCCATCTTCCATCTCGGTCCAACTCTTGATCAAGAGGTGGTGTTTCTATGCAAACCTTAATTTTCCACCTTCTTCCACTAGACCATCTCACACCATTGTTGTTCTCCGTTTAGATTGATGCTAATAATGCAAACCTCAAGACCTCCGCCTTGCATGGCTCTCGAACTTTGAGTGATGGGAAGCCAAAAACACAAATTAGCTCAGGTGGTGATCCAGGCTATGTTTACTTAGAAAACGGAAATATTTGGGTCGCAAGATTGCCGTAGGTTTTCATATTACCTCTAGTACTTCTTTATTATCCATCATTGTTTAGCATTTTAGAAATTTGATTCTCTTATATGGCATGGCATACATTTTGACCAAATTTATTGTTGTTCCTTTAGGTTTGCATATCAGGATGGCGATACAATCTACCGAAGGCCACAAGATCTTAAAAAAATCAGCGAGTGTTGCCTCATTCGAGGTAGCCTATTGGTGGAAGAACTATAATTTTTACTTTTTCTATAAACTCACTTTAATAAGCACTGTCTTCTTTTTTGTGATTGGGCACTGGTACCAGGTTCACAGCTCCTGGATGGTGCATGCAAGCTGTGTATTTGGTTGCTCTGACCTTCCTCCGATTTTCTAGTTCTTGCTAGCTGGTGTCACAATGCAGCACCCGTCGGTTTATTGTGGTGGATTGTACTGGATGCTATCTTCTGAGAATTTATATCAGGGTTTTGTGACCGTGTTGTGACATGAAAATGTCCAATTCATCCCATCTTCATGTACTGCGGTGAAGTTACCATGTGATGAGTGGCGTACCCTAGATAGGCGGACAGATTTTTAAACAATTCCTGGGCCGCATACTTCGTCTGGTATGTGTCGCATACACCCGAGCAGTTAGGTTCCGAGAGGACACGTTTCGGAGACCTATTGGTCCTATTGAAGTTCCTGATATCTCTAGGGGCTTTTTGAACACGCTCATGGGAGATGCGCCAGTTAACGTCTACTCCGAATATCTAAAAAGGGGGGAAACGGATGAGCAGACGTTAAGGTTGTCGCCGTTTGACAGGCGGTGAACATATTCCGTATCTGTCTGGTAGGTTTTACCATCTGGTACAGGCTCTTTAGAATCGTGTCACTTGGAGTCGGTGCAAGTGTTGCGCTGAGGGGTCCTCTGTAGCCTTCATACCTGCAGAAAAATCGATAGGCGAGGGATTAGTTTCTCGAGCTAGGATATCAGTGTTTGCACAGGTTGGACTTCTTGCGTGTTCGGCGCGAAACCTGATGCATTGTGGTTTTGATACCTCAATCGTGTGGCTTTCCTCGTTTGAAGTTTTGCGCTTCGATAGGTTTACCTTGCAGGCACCGTGATGACCGGGAGATCCAGCTGTTAGTAAAGTCGGTTATTGGCTTTCCTTGGGTAATTTTTGCCGCCTCAATGAATTATTCCACTCCGTATTGAACTAGTTGGACTACTTTCGCCGCCAGACCTTGGGCATTGTCTCCCTAGATGTTGAATTTAACTGCTATTGCCCTGGGAAGGTCATGGTGTATGTTGGTGACCGCACTACGTCCAAATTGGAAGTAGGTAAATACGAGTCCCCCTCAAATTAACTATCGTTATATGATAGTCTACTCCAAAGGTACTTAGCACGTCTTATTCAATATGAGCGGTATATAAACTGAAATGGCATCCATTAATAGCGCAGTGGGGATTAACTGTTTATGCACTGCTTTAAAGTTGGCGGACTCTAATTAATATGGGATCCGGCAAAGGTAGAAAGCCGTCGTCTCTAGATCCGCTACGCTCTCCAGCGAATCATCTGTTACATACATTGCCAGAATTTTAAACTCCACCCCTTTCCATGTTCCATATTCACGCGCTTTCTAATACTCACTCGATGTAGGAGTTGTACCCCTCACAAACGAATATCTTTCATGGAGAAATCTTCGAATGTGACATCCGCGGATGGTAAAACGATTAGTTGACACGAAACTTGTTTCTCGTGTAGTGACACAGAGAATGCATTTTGAGGGAGAATTTGGTTTCCCACGGTACTTTACTTTTGCCCTAGTCTGCGGCATTTAGTAGCCTCTGCGACAGTATCATTTCTAATCATTCTCAGTTCCACCAATCATCTCAAGGCAGCCTGCCGCCGTAACCGAGGCTGGATAAACACTGTACACGTAATTATGGACCGTTGATATTTCTTCTGAAGTAACGGAAGTGGAACCACGGGAATCAGGATATGCACTATATTCATCCACATTTACCTTTTCAACAATGTTACAGAGTGTAGCTCTGCACTTAAACATGGACAATTCATTACATTATTTTGAGGGACGAATGACCGTAAATCATACCACGTTGATAGCAGATTTTGCTGTGTTGCTCGCCACAGGTCTGCGTGGTCCACCTGCGCTGCGCACTCATGGTGAGAGAACCTCAAAGGTACTCCAAGATCTTAGGACTTAGTAGGATGAGCTCCAATTAGAAAGGCGAATAAGCCTACATCAAAGCACTTTGTCATCATCACACTTTGTAAGCACTTTCCATCAGAACACGGGCCGGCCAGTCCCTTTCACACAATATTTTGCTTCTAGAAGCCAACATTCTTTCCCTAGCTGGTACCATTCCCATCTGACTTGTATTTCTCATTTGTCTGTTTTATTTCGTATGCAATTACATGATTGCGCAGTGCCAATAGAGTGGTAATCATTTAAGGGAATACGCAAGACGAGTCGTACATTTCGCCCTCACTATCAGGATCTAATTATTTGAACCTTCTCTGTACGACACCTGCTACCGCGTAGTCGCCAAACTGGCCAATTAAAAAAGCAAATACCACTCAGCTATAACCTGTCCGCATTAAGAAACCTGTGTTACAAACTGGCCACTGTTATGAGCATTTTTAACTGAAATAAATAAACGATTTAGTAAATCCATGAAATGGCGAACAAAAGCACCATGCACATGCGAGCCCCCATGATGGGATGTACACCGCAAAAGCCGCTCCAGCTGCAACCGCGTATGTACACGCAACCACAAGAATGGAAAGATAGGGGGAAAAATAAAGGAGTCTGCGCGTTCGCGTACGTTGTGAGCAAGTGATCACGCCTGTTACAGTGTTTGGATTTGAAAGGTGGTGAAAGAGTCGTCATCGAGAGGTGGCAGCAGCTACTGCAGCTGCATTATGGGAAGGTGGTGGCAGTGACCGAACGCCACAGCAGGCGCCTCTTCGTTCCGCGACCTCTTCCTTAGCCCTGCAGCCACCACCGGCCACGTAGGCCCACAGAGTTGCATGACGATCCTGGATCATGCGCAGACACTCCGCCAACAAGGATTTGTCATACTCTGATGTTGCGTGCTGGCATAGACCGTGAATGAGAGTAATGGCCGCTCGGTAACGCTGAAGCGCCTAAGAAAAAGAACGGCATTACCCCCTGATTAAATGGTACCAAACGGGTCTTTTAAGTCTACCGCTACTCAGTGTCCCAACTGATTGAATAGAACCTTTCTCACTACATATAAGGAAGTGCTGTTGACCAAATCCATTAAAACAAAAACTCCAATTAAGTCAGCTGAATTCTAAGCAAAAACGGTACTGAAGGCATCTACTATGGACGGTTACACAACCGAAGCATTAGTGAGTAATGTGGCATACCCGTATAAAAACAGTGGCGAAAATTGCTTTTTGAATCGACTCCTGCGCAGTGTAAGAATTCAAAATCGGACGATAGACGGCTAGGCACTGCCAGTGATGTGGGAAGGAAGGGTAAAAAAGGACGCAACTCCAACAAACTACTTTATATTGTACATTTCATTAAGCACTTTTCATAACAATTAGTAAAGAGGACTTGACAGGTGCACTTACCTAAACCTATAAGATGCATAAATACCTTTAAGTTTGGAACTCATTCGATATCTCGCAAATGATTTTGACTTATGTACTGTTTTTCACAACTCGTATGCATTGGGGGGTCTTTGGGAGCAGCAAGCAAGGGCAAGCATCTTCCGTTCACGCAAAGGAAAAACTCACCAAACCCAGTTCTCCTATGTAATCATCCATTTCGGCAGCGAAGCACTGCAGTACAATAAAAGTACATTAGGTGGCACAGAAGGTGCAAAGAGGAGAAAGAGGGGTATGAGCAGATTGAAAATAACCTGGTCTAAAGCGTAGTTGAAGATGAGACGATTAGCGGTGATGCAAGAGAGATGACGCCCGACGGGTTCAAGTAGATCTTCACGACGCGAAAGACGCGACAACTGACAGAGCCGAATGTAGCACCGGTGGTAAAGTGCGTTGCAATCAGTTAAGCCTGTGGGAAAAAGCCAACCAATCCAATAAATACTAAGCAATTTATCAAATGGGATGACTCAAGATACGTAAGTCTGGGGCCTTTTCAATTTCTGATCATGCAAGTAAACAAGGCAATAGGATACTTACGTCTTTTGGCGGTCGGAGTGGGCTGCAGGCGATTTTCTGCAACTGCCTTCCTAACTTGCGCAAAAACGTACTCAAGGTAGTAGAGAATGCGTCGGTATAGAACAAGCTGTTCCACAATTCTACATTCGGAGAATTAAAAAATGGCATAAACAAGAGCAATCTGATTTAGTACGAAGCCTCAAACAGAGATCATCGGTTTCCCAAATACAGCACACCAGGGGAGCAATGGTTCAGTAAAATACATGTCTAGGAGTTTCTCCATGTATAAAGCATTCGTTTCTCGAACTAGTGATGATTTTCAACGCAAAAAATTAATAGAGTAGTATCACTACGAGGCTGAAGGCTCAGCAAATGAAGGAAAGAGGTTATATTGGTGTTGAACGTTTGAATTTGTGACCGAAAATGCTTTGGTAACAAGGGCATCACGAGCAGTTGTGTTAAATCGACTCAATAAATATTCCCAATTTAAGCTGTTTTCAAAGGTGAGTTTTATCACTCACGCAACACAGAATACGCAGGCTGGTTGCTCAAGTGTAATCTATTACAAAGACAAAAGAGGACAGAGCACAAATTTTTGTCCTCGTCTGAAAAAAACGAAATAAAAAAGTCGAGAGAGGCGTTCACGCGCAAAAAATGAACGACAGATCAAGGTAAATGCATGACAATGTTAACCACGATACAACAGCACTCAAGTTGAGATTTCAATGAAATTAACTATCTTGGTGTTACTTGATCACAAATAATAAAACCAGTTGTAAGGAAATGAAATGGTAAGGTAATAGCTAACCAGTGAAAAGCAGTTTAAACTTTATTATTCTACTCAGCGAACGACAAGTGTTGGCTTCACGAAAAATGATTGATCCACATTTTGCAATAAATGAAACAATGGAGGCGAGGAGCTACAATATATCAAAGTCGATCCTGTTGGTCACGTTGCTCAGACTAGAGACTAGATTCGGTCTTGAAAAATCCCACGTATAACCCAAGCACTGCAAAAATTGAATATATCAGCAATCTGAAAATTCAGTAAGTTCACTGACATATGTATAAGTAGGCCATCCTTAAGTTAACCAGACTTGCCTTTGAGCCTCAGGAACCAGTTTGAGTTTTGTGGAGGGGTGGGACTCATTGGAATCACTGGGCGGTGAGAGCTCGCTGTTCTCAAAGTTGCACTCCACCTGTTTGGATGCTGTGGTGACGGTGGTGCAGTCTGTCAACGCGGAGGCCCGTCGTTCCGCCAGCTCAGCAAGGAGTTCGCACAAATCTAAAACCATTGTCACTGTTTGCATCTCCTGTCGGTGCTCCGGCTGCGCAGAAACACAAAATAAGAGACGTGACAACGCTCAACTAGGGGAAAGTGCTTCATCTTCTGAAGCCCAGCCTTGGAAGGCTCAGTGCAGATGGGGCAATAAACACTATTGAGATGAATTTTAATGTAGGATTAAACACACCCAAGTGGTCTAGGAGTATTCACCCAGTCAGAGTAATTTTTGACCGCATTCAATGGTGTAGATGCCTACCTCATGACTGCTGAGTTGTGGGTTTAGCTAGTTCGATATTTTATACACTGAAAGAGCAAAAAATAACCTAACTTTTAGGCTTTCAAAGGATATTATTCCCCACTGAAACGAGGCTTAATGGAAGCACAAAAGCTAGAATGCTGATTCTAACCAGTTTTCCCAAAAGCAAATGCAGATGCTGCAAACTGATGTCCGTCCTATCAATGAAGGGAATACTAGAACAATCACCATTTACTGAGACCCAGTGATCCCAATTGATGTATCCCATAAGTAATGAATACATATAGCGACTACGAATGCCTACTGCCATCAGAGTGCGGAAGATTTGATCCTCGAGGAAATTACTACCTCTCGTTTACTTAAATGAGCATGCGGCCAAGGGATCTAAGAATCCCCGTCTAGTCAAAATAAGCTCTAGTGATATTTAAAAACACTTAATAAGAGGGAGTAGCAATTAATATAACTAAAAAACAGTCTCGATGACTTGGCCAAACTCAAACAGGGTCAAAGTCATCTAGAACTTACGTTTGGCGTGTTGCCTTTCAAAATCATACTGGATTCTGTTAATGCAAAAGCGGCGCCACAAAACAGGGAATCTTCAAATCTAACATCCAGAACCCTGGCTGATCATGGCAAATGGGATTTGAAAACATTTTAGGAAGATTTCTAAGTCGAAAAGACCCACATTTGGAGTGTGATGGGGTGATTATCGAATGCCTTATAAGGCCAATTTGACTCTATCAAAGGTAATTGCAGTTCCTCTGTCAATAAAAACAGCTATCATTAACTGAGGTTAAGGTGTAGATAGATACAATTAGGGGAGCCTACTTAAAAAAGAGACACCTAGTGAGGACCACATTTCACTGACTGGAGAAGCAATTACTGACAAGTAACTCATCTGTGAGACTGCCAGTTAAAGCATTACTACGTCAAAATATCTATTGATGCTGCACCAACCCAACTAAATTTCAGCTAAACCAATAAATCTGGAGCCCATCTTCATAATATCAAAAACCCACAATCGAGATTGCCTACAAATTATCCCTTGCTAAAAATGGTAACCATAATCTAGATAAAAATCGCTTTGAATAGTATCTACAAAATGGTAGTTTAATCAGATTTCGAAGAACATTCTTGTAGGCGAATTAACAGAATATGGGAGTTCAAAAGATAAGAATTATGAAATTATTGACTTCAAACAATGCATATTTAAGAACAAAATTTAATAGACTACAACACGAAAGCCAAGACACACGACCACACCACTTCTAAGACATTCCCAATTTCGTCAACGACAAATAAAGAAAAGATGAGCAATAATTACTGACCTTCATCAGTTGTTCATCGATGATTTCGTTTGAGCCAGGCAAACCACTTTGATCTCTTGCCGCCTGAAGCTGCACTAAAAAACCAAGGATGGCAATAAGCAAAGGTCGTAAAAATGGCACGAATAGTGGAGGAGGCCTGGACTGGAAATGAAGGCACGTATTCAGTCACGAAGCGATACTTGCGATGATTGCGGGCCGTCACAACCCACGCTACCTCAGCTAGGATAATGAAAAGACGTGTGTTTGCAGAGCACTGAGAAGCGCATGCCTAAGCCGAGCAGTCGAGACGTGGAATCGAGTGGAGCTCAACTCACCGGCTAACAGACGAGCTGCTTCCTCAACCATATAGATGCCAGAAGTGGTTCGACTACGCTTCATTACTTGCTTCTCTGCAAATCATTACCAACAAAATAAGTCGACCCTCAAAAACGCACCAAAGTTGGAGGAGAGAAATTTACTCAAAGTGGGGGATCAAAAAGGCCTATATACTTAATGAAATGAAATTTATCCGCATAAAATAAGTATTGTTCCTAGGGGTTTGTAAAAATGATAAATTGTCATTTAAGAATTTGAAATTCTTAAGGCAAACCGAAACATTAATTCGAGGATCCATGACGTCACATCAATAATGTGTGAACGGGAATTCAACTTACCGGGTGCATCGGACGTCTTTTTGGCATGTTTCGTTCGATCCGTGGCTTCACTTGAGACATGATTCAAAGGTGATCTGGTACCTGCGGAGGATATGTCGGTTTGGCTTGAGGAGGGGAGTTTGACAATTGCTAATAGGAACAAAGCACATCCATCCTTTGAGCCAGTTTGCATTAAAACGAAATAAGAAGCATGGGGAGACCTACCTGGGTGTACATTCGCAAGAGTTTCCATGGCAGGTAATCTTGAATCTTGACCGCAGTAAGCTTCAGTACCCTGGAAGGCGAAGCCGCGTACAAACATTTGTATGATCTCATTTTGTGGAAAGTGAAAACTCAATCACAAATGTGAAGATACCACAAGAGTATAAAAACTCAAATCACCTCTATGGAGAAAAAAGGTTAACACATCGAGTGGTCATGGTACTAGTGTTATTGTAAGCCGACTTAAGCGCCTTAAATAAACCTCTGCTACATACAAGACATTCAATGTAAAGAGGACACAAATCCTAATTACGCGCCATACCGGAATCTTTCCAGTCTGTAACCTGCCGTTGGAAACGGGAGTAAATTTGCGGGGGATGTGAGATTTGTCATCCAAAGACGGTATCGGTGATGCACGATAGTGGGGGGGCAGGTTTTCGCTACGTCGAGAAAGCTGGCTTCTACAAGGAAATGCAAAAGTTAACTTAGTGAGTTTAAAAGAAGCGACACAAAATCGACGAATGGGGTAAAAAAGTTGAAGCTGAGAAAATTCTAGAATAATCAAATTGGTTATTCTGGGTGACAACAAAGCATGGCAGTAGTGGTAACAAAATAGCATGTACAATGTGTATTGGCAGTTCAGCAACAGCAATGGACGAATTTTTTTGGGCTCTAGCATAAAAAAGAATTTGAATAAAGTAGAGCAAAAGCCCTTTGCGAAACCTTATCCATTGATCATTGTAAGCCTAAGATAAAAGGCTTCTTAAATTTCACCGAACTTGTTTATGAAGTCCGAATGAACTCCCAACATCCTCTGGAAGTTTTTTTTCCTCGTTGGAAAAAACAATACCGTCAGGAAAATAATGTTAGAAGAATGAAGTGGTGACGCTTAAGAAGTTATGTGGCCCCTTCCCACTTTAAATGCATGCATCCAGACGTTTCCGACAGTTGTTAAGGCTTGCATTGAAAAAAGCGTCCATTCAAATAAGCCTCCACAACTTATATTACTCTTACAATAGGACTCATGGCTTGCGGTGTCGTCAAGATGATGGCCATCATGCATTTACACAACCTTAAAGATTCGTCAAAGTCCACTATTACGAACGCCATACTCGAATTAAGCTAAATAATATTCTCTTGTGGCCTATGCAAGAATTCTACAGCATTTCTATGAGGTTTTTAGTAAAAACCTCATTCCTCTCAAGTATCAGACACCCTATGCATAAGGTTGTGTTGACCAGGCAGCAGAATACATGGGTAAATTGCTCAAAGTCACTACGCCATTAAATTCTTGAATTTAATAGTGCTAAAAAGTGGATTAAAAGTAGTGTGAAATTAACCATGATGTTTAACAGAAGTGGGAAAATTCTCATAAAGCAAGCTTCTTGAACACTAACTTAGCAGATAATGTCAGTATCGAATTGATGAACTAGCTTAAACATGCGTATTAAAGCGTGAATGCACACAAAATCCATATTTACTGTTGGGCATAAAAAGTAAGCAGCCCAACAACTGACAGATTCTAAAATTCGACTAGCGAAATTCGAAGAACAATCATTTGAATATTAATGCCATTAAGATATTGCCTGTTGAGAAAAATAAAGAACACAAAGCTGTGCACCTATAAGAAAATAATGAAATGAAACCAAAGAGTAAGAATATTAAAGTGAGACACCATTTGTGAGCAATTTCGGACCTCGAAAAGTACAGGCATTAGAAAGTGCAACGGTAGATAAACAATTTTTGCTATTCGTGACTAAAAATTCCTATTTAAGTGCGCAAATATTCCCAACTTAAATTAATGACTCTACTATTCAAATCAAACAGCTTACGCGGGTCGAAGCAAAGGATGGACTCCACGATCGTGTTCAATTTCTAGCAAGAGAAAAAAATACACATTTCATCCCAATATCTAGTGGAGTTCCTTAAAAGCAGAGACTTAAAACACAGAGATTAATGAAACAATTATATTGTACAAGAATTCGGTGGGTAGAACGGATATTTTTCCCACATCCTAATTTACCTTAACAGTCCCAATAAACGCCATAGCGACATATCAGTGGGAAGAAAAATCGACTTAGGATTGCTTACCTGAGCCGTCTGACTCTACAATGACGTAGCCCTCTAAACTGCGATCCATCGCCGCCGCAGAGTAAGGTTGAAAATGTCCCCCACCAGCAGCAGGAGTCGTATCCAGCAGCCTAGGTCGCTGCAGCACCTCCGCTAGGCAGGGATCTAACGCACCAAATCCCTCGGTCGATAGCGGTACATGTCGTCTCACCTCGCCCAAGAAGCTGCTACCTCCCAGTCCATCCTCAATAAACTCATCGCCATCCTCAGTAGGAGTGAGAGAAGTATCGGAGGAGTCCTCCTCTTTCGCCCTAGCCCCAACTTCTTCATTAGGGGGAAGAGGCGGACGATGTGGCAGAAGAGGAGGACTAACACTCACACCACCACCAGTGGGGTCACGTCGGGGCACTGTAGTGGGCTGCATGAGACGGGAGCCGCGTCCGAGAGGACTCTTGATAGCAGGAGTTGGCATAAGATCTGCAATAACGCTGCGGCCGCGGCCCTGGCCACGACCTCTACCCGGAAGGGGCAGATCCGTTTCACGCGTGTTGGGGGTGGGTACAGTGAAGTGGGGTCGGGTGGTGGCTGTGAGTGGCGTGCGTGATGCAGCAGACTGGATTCCACGCAAACGGCGAACAGAACTCGGCAAGGGGGGCACTGTTGCTGGTTTGTGAGGCACGAGATCTGAGAGAAAGAACCCACTTCCACCAGAATGGTATGTACATTAAACACTTGTTTATTTACAAGCGGTTAAACTTACCGGAGGGAGATATGTGTTTTGCGGTGAGGAAGGGATGAGCAAGAAACGATGCTAAATACACATAGAGCAGAATAAATTAAAAGGTATGAAGCAGTTGAAAATAACATGGGACTCAATGGAAACGTACGAAAATCAATGCGGTCAGCCGGTTTTCTTATTAACATTTTTAGCAAAAGATCGCGCAGGTTGGGACTCGTTTCACGTGGAATTCTGAAAAAGACAGATCCAATAAGTCACATTTTAAATCGCCGAAATATGCATTACATTACAGTGATAGCAAAGGGTTTTTGATGCATCAAAAATGACGACAGTGATTTAAAACACGGGCAGAATGACTCACTTGGGTCTCAAATCAACCGTCTTTAGGTAGATATTTTTCAGTGCTTCGGGACTATTGGCGTAAAAAGGTGCTTTTCCAACATAGCACTGGTAGACGATGATCCCCATACTCCAAATATCTGCTCGTGCGTCGTACTTTTGGCACATTAGTACTTCTGGTGCCTGTGAAATAAAAAGGAAATTTAAGTCAGAAGCATTTTGATTTGGTCAACTTCGATGACTATTACCATGTACATTGGGGAGCCACACATTGTTTCAGCCATTATCCCATCTTGCAAAAATCGTGCGAAGCCGAAATCCGCTATAATTTTAGGAAGCAAGTGTAACACCAACTTTTAAAAATCACGAGCGGAAAAGTAGAAGGCAAAATGTCACCAAACATGATGAGCAATCTTTCAGAAATGTCTAACCAAACATACCAAGCTTAAAAGTTATAAGAGGACCCGGAACTTCGTTCACCGACGGGAAATCGCCATAGTAGCTAAGGAGAATGTTTCCAGGCTTCAAATCACGATGCATGATTGCTCTTCTATTCATGGCATCCATTGCGGAGCCAATTTGTATAAGAAAATGGCGTATCGTCTCCTCTGGCAATGTTTTCTTACCTAAATAAGGCGGTTTATGACAACAAATTTCCTTACTATGAAGATATTCCGACAGGTCCCCACCATTGCAAAACTCCATTACAAGGTAAACATCAGCGTTAGATATCTATAAAACCAAATAAGCTACAGAAACCGACTTACGCTGTGATCATAAAGTCGAACTATGTGCTCATGATTAAGATCCTATGAGAAATGCGTTTGCATGAAATCGGATACCTTAAGAACAGATATTTCCTTGCTTAATAAGGTTTTAGACTTAGGGACATTCTGCCCTTTTATCATCTGTTTAATAGCCACCTTGTGGTTTTTGTTCTAGAAAGGGGGAAATATAACACATATTCCAGATACGCACGTCTCGAAACCTGCCTTTGTAGACAATGGCAAAGGCCCCACTCCCCAAAATATCAGCGGGGTTATATTCATAAATTCCCAAACGAATATAATTTGATGACATTTCAGAAAAACTACTTAAATACTCCTAATGCCACAGAACAGCCCATCGAACACTAAAACAGCTGTTTGCCGAAAATTATATTAGGTACGTTTAATGGGCTATTTCGGTTAAAATGAACAAACCCATTTCGGGAAAAAAATCCATTGCAAAAATATGTCTCACTTTAAAAGTCCTTTACTCGTTGTTTAAAGAGTAATTTTTGCAAAGCCCAACTGCTCGTAAGATTGTAATCATTTCAAAAATAAATTACAAGGGTTTCTCTAAAAATGGTCAGCACAAAAGGCCCGTTTAATCGGTTTAACCGTTCATCACTTATAACAATTACCCGTTGTTCTAAAATTTGGGGCAGAACTACCAGATATTCAAACTTTGGCTATTGTCTAATCCTAGAACATTACAATTACCCACATAAATTACACAGAGTGCCTTTGCAGCTTAAAAGCCTTTTACTGTTGTTGTTTACAAATAATTAAAGAGCCCTCTTTTCAAGGACCTACATTTTCTCCCCGAAAATCCCAATTAGTGTGATTAGACACACAATGATGGAATGAATACTTGGAGGGCGTTAAGATGGCAGGAAGGCCTTGTCGCCAGCAAAGACTAGAGTGCACTCGTATTCAAGCGAATAGTTTAAAGAAACACCGGTTCATTTCATCCCTGGAAATGCGTGGATTTTCAAGACATGTCAAATACCTTAGTATACGTCCAATAGTCTGTGGACGAAAAATAAAGTTGCGACCACAATTGCGCCCTCTGACATTTCAACCTCTGCAGTCACAGTTTCAGCCAAATTATATAGCTAAAATTAATGACTCTCCACACCTCACCACAAGGTCTATCTTCTCCCCTCCCGGCAGTCCTTAGCCAGTCCCGCTAAACATCAGCACATTGAGACTAAATTTTGCGCTATTTAAACGAAGGAAAATTTGACCTTTAAATTCATCGAATTCTAGCAAATGCAGTGTGGTATTCGAGGCCTTAATTAAGTCTTAACAAACATGACAGCATGATAGAATACATTCGTCTAGCCTACGAAAGAGCTGAAAACTGCCTCTATGGCCCTAAACCAGTGAGGCCCAGCAGGACCACAATCTTTTTTCTTAACTGGCTGCACATCAAAGGCCGAGTCAGACTAACTGCCGGGGCTCTAGATTATCACTTCAAAACTAGATCATTTTGTGGCGTTTTGGGACTTTCCTGGAGACGATAGAAGACACAACACTCGGGCAAAATATACATATTTAGCACAAGGAGAAGGCGTTTGGGCTTCTTGCATGGCCCGAAGGCTAGTACACCCAGCGCGGTGCAAGACGGTAAATTCAAAAGTTCCAAAAGTGGCGCCTTATTAACACCGAGGGACAGAACACCATCGCATTCTATTTTCCTTAATATCATAATAAACCCTGAGTAACATAATGCCAATAAGCTTTTACTCATGGGAAAACAAATTTACTCTCTTAGTAGAATTTTACAAATTAAAGCTTAAATTGTAATTCTTGGCTACTAACCAACAAAGTCTAATCAATTTCTCCTCCATTGCAAATAACTGATCGTAGTATTGTAGCGTCCGAGACTTCCCTGAAGACGAAAGGAGACACAATACTCGGGCAGAATGCATGTATTCATCATAGAGGTGTTTGGGCTGCTTGCATGGCCCGAAGGCCAGCCCACCCAATGCGATACGCAAGAACCAATTCGAAAGTCTAAAAGTAGCGCCTCACTAATATTGAGGGATAAACAACGATTGTATTACAGTGTAATTTTAAGCGCAATGTTTTAAAAATTTTCTTAGCATAGGCTTTAATTTTTTAGGGTTTTTTAAGTTTTTGAATCTTTTACAATGAAACGTTTAGCAACTCTGTTGTACACATTGTTTGAGTGTTCTGGTTGGTTGGAGGGTTTTCGAGTCGACGTCGGTTATGGTCGGCTGGCAATTTGGTACCTTGACAAACTAGATGGCTGAGATTGCGTTTATGTCGGTTGATCCAGATCATGAAACCTCTGTTCATGATGATACAGAGAACTGTGAGGAGTCCGATGAAGTTCATCTCCATGTTCCTAAAATGCAGGAGGTGGCTAATTTCTCCTTAATGTATTTTTTAAGATTGAGGATCATATTAACAGCTGTAAAGAAAAGGTCGAGTAAGTATATTGGCCCTTTTTATTTTCTTTAAATAGACCAGGAACAGAGGTACTGGAGATTTGTGGCGATACCGTCAATCCACATAAGAAAGTTAATGCCGAAGATTTCAAAGTTCTAAAGGTCATTGGCAAAGGCGGTTATGGAACTGTAAGATGTCATGTTTGGCCTATGGTCCTAGGTGTTTCTTGTTCAAAAAATAACCAAAAGTCTCGATAAAGACAAATTCTATGCAATGAAAGTTTTAAAGAAAGCAAAGCTTATCCGTAATGAAAAGAACACTGTACATACCGTTTCTGAACGGAATATTCTGCAAATGCTTAAGGTAATATTTAACTGTTTTTTATAAGCATGTCAAATTAGCACCCCTTCCTCGTGAGACTTCATTATGCTTTTCAAAACCGTTCCAATCTCTATATTGTACTGGAGTACTGTCCAGGCGGCGAATTGTTCAGATACTTAGAGGAAGAATGCTTTCTCATGGAAGATGCTGCGTGTTTCTATATAGCTGAAATCGCTCTCGCCATAGGTCATCTCCACTCACTTGGCATTATTTACCGCGACCTCAAGCCCGAAAACATTCTTCTAGATAAAGATGGTCATGTCAAACTGACGGATTTCGGTCTATCTAAAGAGGGTGTTAGGACGACAAATACGTTTTGCGGCACAATCGAATATATGTAGGCGCGAATATGCCTGACAAATCTTTTTTCTAGGGCCCCTGAAATAATCCGATGCGCAGGACACGGGAGGGCAGTTGACTGGTGGAGTCTTGGGGCACTCTTATTTGACATGCTCTCTGGTGGTGTAAGTATTCTTTAAGCGTATTCCGAGCCTTTTGTAGCCTCCGTTTAGTCAAGAGGGGGACAAAAAAGCGACTGCGGAAAAGGTTTGTTCCGTCCAAATTTTTCACTTTCACAAAACTTTGCACAGATTCTTAAGAGTCAGGTCCGTTTCCCACCTTCTTTCTCGACCGAGGCCATTGCCCTTATTCGCGGTCTGCTTAAAAAAGATCCAAAAGAAAGGCTCGGAAACAAAAATGACGTAGAAGAAATTAAGGAGCAATTTTTTTTCGTCCGGCGTGTAAGCATTCACTTGTTCATAATGTTCGGGATATAGTTCAAAATCGATACAGTGTATTGGCGTACAGTTTGGTTTGATCACAATTGGTTTGTTCTTTAAACTACAGGTTTATTGTTTAGGCATCTTTGCATTGCAGGGTATCAACTGGGATGATGTTTACAATCGAAGGATGGAGCCTCCTTATAAGCCGGAGCTTTCTTCCGATTCTGATGTTTCAATGTTTGATCCTAGTTTCACCGGAATGAAACCAGTCGTTAGCCCAGGAAATTCCGATGACCCTGTACCTGCTGACCTATTCCAAGTAAGTTCTACCATTCTCTTTACTCAACACTTTTAGACAGTGGGACACGGAAACGTGTGCGTTTGCGTGTAGTAACTTTGAGTGGGACTTTGTTTTTGTCCATTAATCTTTCGCAATTTACATTTAAATAGCCTTGAGCTTTATTTAAATATCATATTTATATAACTTATCTTGCAATGTCTTTTCATCCTGACAAAATCGTGCAAATCGATGCTGATCATGTGGAAAATCCGTCTTCGCCTTTTTGTGCGGACATATTGTTGATCCGGTGTTCACACTTTAAATCATTAAAGTTTTGGATTTTGGGAAAACGAACCCACTTAGATGTTTGTCAAGCCTGGTCTTTCACATTAATCGATTAGTAGTCAAGATGTTGTCATCACCCTAGATCGTGTGTACGTGTGTATATCGCGTAGCCAGAAGCTTCCATGTGAAACTTTGACCCGCTGCAGCGGCTATGGGTGTGATCACTTGTGTTTTACCGCACAGGCAGCATTTCGTGATCGCTGCCTGCTTTCTTGCCTGCTTGCATGCAAGCACACAGTTATGCAAGTGTGTATACGTGTACATCCTCGTACAGTGCATTAAATCCTCGCGTTTGTTTGCAGTCTTGGCTGCTTCTCCTTCCCCCTTTCTGCCAATTTGCCCGGCTACTTAGTAATATGCCAAGGTAACGTGCCCTATGTAGCTTTTTTGGTAACGCATGCCCTGATTTCGTGATTACTGAAATAAATGAGACTTTTTCTAATTATTTTGTTTAAAGTTCTGGTGTGCAGTGAAAGCCTTTATTTACTCTTCACCTTCTAGTTAAATATGACTGTAAACTGAGGCTTCTAGTTTACTTGCGCCACTTCCAGTTACAGTCATTGTATAGCATATCGTGGAAAACTTTAACGCACTTTTTCGTCGTCATGTTACATTTTTTACGTAATTTTTCGAATTAATTGCAGAAAGGTATTGCCCACAATTTAGTTTTCTGCGTTTTTGTGACGGATCCAAGTCTTCACCGGAAACACCCGATCCCATCTGCGATGTTTGTGCGCTGATAATTACCACGTCGGTCACGTTTTCGTAAAACGCTAGCTGGCCAGTTTTTTCTGTGAGTCCATGCAGCCTCTGAGCAATCCTATTTTTCGCCAGCATTGGTGGAAAATAAGAATGTCTACAACATCGACTTTAATCTGCCGATGAGTACGCAATCTATTGGATGGTACTTTGCATTAATTTATGCGATGACATCATTACATCTTGTAAAGGTTAGTGTTACTGTCATACTTCATACCACCTCATCACGCCAATTGTATGGTTATAAGGTGCCTGTGCGCATTGTTTTCCACTGACGCCAAACGCTAATGACCCTAAAGCTACTACCTCATATGGAAAGCTCAAATTCAATTCTCTCGTTGTCCTCGCATTCATCATAGCCTTCTGCAAATGTGGTTTGGTTGATAGCTTTAGGGTGATTTTGTTTGCTTGCTGCTTACCTCACTTTGACCGATTGTAATTTACAATTTGTCGTGTTTGCGCACATCTCTCCATTGCCTTGGATCTGCCTTTTGAGCGAAGCGCAATTGAAGCAATTCAACTCAATTGGAGGTGGATAATGTGGCAATCAAAGTCGGATGGCACATTAAGGTTTTGTTACCCTGCTTTCAGGCAGTTAATGACTGCGTGATTAGCTGCGAAAATCATGCTTTGTACTCAAATGAGGATAAACTGGGGCGATAACCTTTATCAACAATTTTCTTTGCCAATCGGCATTTGATAAATCGTGTTTCATTGCTGCTCCGTCAAGGCCGACAATGCCATTGTCCCACATGTTGCGAAACCTTTCTCCTTGCCATTCCATAGGATTTTTTATCGTAAAGGCAATATCGACGTGATTTCTCAATTGGCCCTAGTTAGGATGCCTACTGTAATTTATGTTCCTCCCTAATATGCCTGTTCTGGGTGTTTGAAATCCGCATTTAGTCGCAAAACCATTAAACGCGGACTTCATGTATGCGGCGGATTCTGTCCTTTGCTAATACCCCCTCGGAGGTTCATTAGCTTGCCGCTAATTGCTGAATTTTGGTAAGTTCATAATGGTTCGCAGCCAGTACATCTACCTAATGGAAACAGTCCCAAATTTTCCTTTTATTTGTCAGAATACTGTCCGAAACTTTTTTTGAAGGTGCTGTGTACATTTCTGCTTGTCTTAAAGAGACTATGTTTTGTGCTATAACCCTAGAACGCCCATTTCACTGTGAATCAATTTACCCTTGGTTTCCATGCTTATAGCATCTACACACCCAATGGGCGAGGGTCTCCTTACGATCAAACCATTTGTGATTGACTAACCATTCACTTAATTACTATTTAGTCTACCACCTATTCGCTAACTCCACTGATCTAAAAAAGCATTTTTTTTTCGCAGTTACGGCCCTGACACTAATTTGCGGTGCCTTGTCGTGGTGACACATGCTCTCTGCGCATTGGAATACCTTTTTGACGCGTCGCTTTAGTCGAGGAATCACGTCAACAGGTCATGCTCCTATTAAATGTTATGGGTGCTGCACGTGATGTACCAGAACGCCTTTGTGACAAAACAAACGTGGTGTTTTCCAGATATTTTTTCAACTTAGCTCTGGGGCCTCCTCCCAGCCTCCGTTATCTACGCAGCCCCGATGAAGGGGTTTCTCTAGCCTTAGCTCTTATTTTTCAAACCTCTTGACCAATTGTACCTACTTGTATGTAGGCGTGCATGACTCCCTACCTGTGCAGAATCTTTAAAGTACCTTTCTAACTTTCCCTCGAGAGCCTTACTACGCCGCTCCAGTTGCATCGCCTAAGTAATTTCCTTTTTTATTAGGACTCCAAAAATTATCAATGTGCTTTTAATCATTTCGAGCCAAAGTGACACATCAAATGTGCTTTAACTGGGTGTTACTTAAATACCTCCACTTTTCTGTCTAACAATCAAGATTGTTTCGAATCGTGTATGCCCCTATTACTCTCTTCATACATACATGTAGGACGTATGGTACGGCTCTGTGCAACTGGAAGCGACACTAGTTGTCTATCACAGTAGGCGTTTCCGGTTTCGTAACGATATTACCGTTGCACACAGTCTTAGATTCGAAACACAAAATTTTTGCGTCATGGCTTTAGAATTCTGCTTAATTTCTTCATAAACGTATGCTTCAAATTTGTTCGTGTCTAAGCTGAGCCACCGCAAGGTCTTATGCGGCATGCATTTGCCGCATATTTCGTCCTTTTGTGTGCGTAAACCCCAAATTTGGGGCGTTAGGTTCTTACGCCATACTCGTGCTTTCGCAGCGTCTCACTACTTGCTACTTACGTCTCATAAGTAAAGCATATCATTTGCTTTCAATTATAGGGGTTCTCCTTCGTTGCCTCAAGTGTGATGGAGCCCCCTCGTGCTCTCGTTCCCGACCTCTCTCGCCTTCGATCAGGTCAAAGAAAGTAAATCCTTTGAGGTCTCCTTTTACTTCCAGCTTCAAATAGGGTAGTGGTCAAGTTATATGCAAAACCTTATCTAAAATGCAAATGTTCATGAACAGCTGCATTGTATTGGCTAGAAGTGTAGTGTAATACTCAGTCGATTTTTTTTCTCCAAAGTCGGACAAACCGGGGACCAGGGGCATCTCCACAGAAGGCTAATCTGGAGAACGAGCAAATGGACACGGATGCCCCACCGCCAACACACATATGCGGAATAGATATGCGTGATTTTGCCACTCCTCCACGTCCCATGCAACCGCTCGGTGGATGCAGCAACTACGACGGATTGTCGCGCGTCTGTGAGAATGATGACGAGGACGACATTCCCGGTGCGAAGGCAATTTGTGCCAACGGGGGTGGCAGTGGAGGCATTTCGCGCGCCTCCCACACCCAAGGGCACGCACACATGCCATCTGCTGCTAAATCTACCGCACGCCCGAAGTCCTCCGCTGCTGTTGCTGCTGCCACTCATTCGACGACAGCCACGGGTAAACCCTCTTCCTCCACCAACCTGAACGGTCCGCGCCGGCTGGCTAGCACGAAGCCTTGCTCCTATCCCAACCTCCTAATCACTCGCAGCGATGAAACGACCGCCTCAAATGGACATCCTTCCTTCGGTGATCTCTCCAATGTGGTGTCATCTCCAACTGCCACGGTAACGCAGGATTCAGTCAGTGTAAACAGTGCTAATTCCTCGGCATCAGGTTCAATTCACTCGAAACCGCATCATCATCACCATCATCATCTGCACCGTCAGGTGTCGTCAGGAAGCAGCGGGAAGGACTCCAAATGCTCTGTAATGTGATCTCAAAAAAAGACGATACCAGTTAATTTAACTTCTTCTTAGCCACCAAAAACTACTATTGCCATTTTCCCTTTCTTCCGCATGTTGTACAGATTTTTCAACTCCCCACATGGTCACACACACTTCTCTTCTTCTCATGTTTTAACTTTATACTCGATCTCGGCGTCTTACTTAGATCTTCCATTGTAAATTTTGCGATGGTGGCATGTGTATGGATGTGTATGGGTGAGTGTGCTGGTTTCTTAGCCCCTAACCTCCTCCCTTCACACGACCGCTCGCTCTCTGTAAAACCGCTTAGCTTAGCAAGCTGAATCGCCTGCTCTAATGCACGTCACTGCCACCCTCAAATTAAAGCCTTTTAAAACCGTTTGCCTTCCTCTTTTTAAGCACCACGTCTACCTTCACGCAGACGCATAGATAGGTGTGCTACACCTCCATATATCAAATTCCTTTTTGTCCGTTTCAAATTCTACTGACGATTCCAAGAAACCCATCTATTTATGCCTTTCTCCCTGATTGGTGCATTGAATGCGTGGATGGACTATTTCTCAAGACGAGCTGACAATTTCGGTTATTGAGGCGGTCACCCTTATGTCATTGGTTTTGTTCGAGCCTATCTCAGCTTCGCCACCGATGCATTGGAGTGAGTTTTAAAATATTTCGATTATATGTGATGCGTTGGGGACATTATAAGGCATACGAGATGTTTTTTTTTCCTCTCTGAAGGGGGTTGGGTGACTAGTGGTGCAGGTGGAATTGAAATAAGTATCATTTGATCGTAGATGAACCAACCCAGTTTCATAAGTAAGTTGTAGGCGAGTGCACACTAAACCGTCAAAGTTGATTAAGCGTGTGGACGCTTCCAAACTCATTTTGGGTGCCATCCGTGGCGGGGTGGGGGGGGGGGGTGTTGCGTGACTGCAAAGTACATGCTACATCGCGCATTTGTTTAATGCTGACGTTCCGGACTTTGCCTTCGCACTTACGTGTTAAAAGGCGGAATGTGGGCTGTGACGCAAGCAAGGCAGTCTCAGTGGTACCCTCTACTACGAGCAACACAGGTTTTGGTTTGCTGTCAAAGTGGCGTTCTATGCGCTTACATTGGAGTGTCATCTTGTCACGAACTAACTATGTGTATAGCCAGAAATTGAATATAATTAGCTATGGGAAGCACTGATGGAAGAATTTTATTTTAATATTTAATGTGACTTATCAACTTTTCTAAAGACGAGAGAAGACATATTACTTAAGCAAAATACATTTATGTATTCGACATACTGTAGGGCTTGGGGCTACTGCAATAGCCCGGAGGCCAGTTCACCCGGCGAAAGTACAATGGGGAAGACTTAAAGTAACCTTTACCAAAACCGAGAGTTAAACAACCAATGTGTTACAGTCTAACGAGTTAGATTTTGATTAATTTTCTAACACCTCAAAATTTTCATCCTCTTAATCTTACACAGAATTACCTTAGTAGTTTTGTACTAGTGGTGTTTGAAATTTCGCTTTCATAACCCAGGGCGAAATTCTCCAGGCAAGTCAAGCTTCCTAGTTCACTCACAAATCGAACTGCCATAATTAAGAGGGAAATTCCGTTCCTTCAAACAACTGCTCCGTCTGAGCTAGTGACAACTCGTGACGCTTCACAAAGTCATTACGTGTCAAAGTCTACTTCCTGATGCCTATCTATCAGCTCACGTGTGAAAACAAGACCCATGTTCCGCAATGAAAGTAAAATGCTTACGAGCCGGATGTGATGAATGAGAAGTATCCTTCAATGGGTGTCATGTGGTAACCATTTTCCGTCCAACGACTCCTATTCAGCCCTCTAAACCCTTTGCGTGGAAAATAAGTGGCGAAAATTGCTTTTAAGGAATAATCAGGTCACGAGTCTTCCAATAAGCTTGAATTTTTTTTTGCTGGCCAATGTCAATACTCCAGTTTTGAAAAATTCGCGGTCGGGGGAAAATGAAACTGTTAAAACAAATTTCATTGCTTTATTTTGCAACTTGGCCTATTCGTTACAGTAGGTTAAATTTGATTAATGTGACTTACTTACATAGGTGCGAGATTCTGGAAGTTAATGATATGGAGCTCGGCCACTGTCATTTTTCTAGATTTATATGAAATTCAACAAACCTCCTCACTTGATTCGACTTAGGTTACTTTAAGCCATTTGTGACATTTGCTAGGTTCATCCTAGTTTCCCCAAACTGTCAAGATGCTACGGTCACCTGAGTCCCTTGATTTTATTTTTATTTACTCCACATTTGTACGAGGTGACTTCACATATTTTTTGGACATAATTTCAATTTCATTAATGCTACAAAAGTGATTTCATCTTATTCTAAAACAGTTTTACAAAAACAGCAATAAAACATGAAAAGTGATTGTGGATGTGCATGTTTATAGGGGAGATAACTCCAAAATAATGTCACTTGTGACTTTCATTGGATTCTGCATACTTTCGAAAGCCCCCAAACCAGGAACTATTTAGTCATTCGACTGTGCGACATTAGCAATTTCAAAGTACCATGGGTACCCACAATTAACTTCATGCACCTGTTAATTACGAACAGCCAAAATGAAAGTTACCCTGATACAAACAAAAGTGAAGGTTTTGGAGCTCAAGACATAATTTGAAAGACACTACATTCAACAATTCAACATTCAGAATGTTCTTGGTCTCTATCTCACCTTCTGTGTTGCGATTCCAAACGCCTACACTTACTCTAGGAATTTGATAATGCTGTAGTCTTTATTGCACAATCAGTGCGTAAATTCTGTGCCACCTGATTCACGTGATTTGAAACAAAAACTACCATTCCATGTAAGAAATGGGCGCACACAAAGTTGGATGCACACGCATGGTAGCATTTGAAGACGGATGAGGATGGCAGCTGGCAGCCAAAAATTTCCACGGCTAGAATCAATTTCAACACGAATGCATTAGCTGCGAGGATGCATAATGGTACAAACCATTTTTAGGTTCAGAAATAGTAAATAATTGCGGAAAGTAGTGTCAAACTTTACCCAACGATTGCGGCCAGTTTCTTTTAACATAAATGCTCTCCCCTGGCTTATGGTAGTAAATCTAATCATTAAATACCATACCATTCAATGCTTCAAAGCAAGTCCATTGGTCTTAAGATGCATTAAAATGTAAGACGTGATGTAACTTCAGTACCATATTTTTAGGTTAATCAGGGCCCTGAAATAGGATGATTATTTCAGTCGCAAATACCGACACATCTGAACTGAGATGACGAACTTATCCCATAAAACCTGCAACTTTGAGGCAGCAGAGGGTTACAATAAACACTCCTAAATGGGTTATAAATAGTTAAATTATTACTCAAATTTAGGCCCTAATGCTTTGTACCACATTTAATGAAAAATCAGGCACCGAACTGGAATCTGATTGGCTGCACTATTTTGAACTGAGTGGAAGCAAAATACCCGAGGAAAGAAGGCGCTGCTGTCGATACACAGCAGTGCATTTCTACAATTTCATTAAATTCTACTCCAAGAAAACATAGCGAGAAAAAAGGTAACCTCAAACTACTATCAAAGGATACAAACTGAAGATCTCTTACCGCCTTAGATACGAAGAGGCTCAAAACTGGGCATGGATATAATTAGACGGCACCTAAATGCCAGTTCAGAATTTTTTACTTTCTAGTAGACTCATGTACCTTTTAATTTTGCGCATAAACAATCAGAAAAAGTTCTTTTGCTGCAGGACCCCTACCAATTTTCCGTTCTACTCTCAATTGCTACTTTTGTAAAGTCAGGCTCATTACTTTCCAGGCGGTACACTAGTACCACTAAAAGTGATCATCTTCTCACAGAGATGCAAATTTGCCATACTATTTAGCCTAACGCTATGACTGTTTCTTTATCAGAGTCACATTTGGTGCACGTGTACCATGTCAAGAACCCTGAACAAGTTGAACTTACAGTTTTAGGCAATAACAAAGTAGGTGCAAGGTGTTCTTGGTCTGAAAAGAGTTACTTTTTATGTTCATTGTAATAGCTGTATTCCTACAAAGTCATTTACAATGTATTTTAAAATATCTAGGATGTGCTGATCAATTTTTCTTCAAGACCGTCGTTGCGAGCGTGTTAGACATACAGCATTGCGATTGAAACCTCCTTGCACCACCTACGTCACTCAGCCATTTAGCGCGTTGGTAATTTAGATGCCCCAAGAATTTATTCTGCTTTATAACCTCTCCCACGCTAACTCTGGGGTCAACGATGTCAAGCAAGAGATTTTAGTACATTTGACTGTCACCGCAGCAGCCGGTGCATTAGTGAAGCAAAAAACGCTGCTTTAGACAGGCTATGCAAACATGGCATCACATCTGTGTTTGCAGGAATTTTTAGCTTACCACAGTAAAATATTCGCCTTTACTCAAATACTATGTACAAGTATTGTAAGGCATTTGCGTGAGTGAAAAGGGACATGCAATTTTTCGTATATCTAGATGTAATGCTTCGTCACAACTTGACATGCATCCTAACGCACGAATACGCGTCGGTCTTAAACGGATCCTCTACAATGAGTAGCCTACTAGTTTCCACACTAAATTTAAGCTTAGTTGCTTCTAGAATCGAGCCCAAATCAACTCTGAGTGTGCAGGAGCGAGATTTGCATCAGGTGTGTGTGACATTTAATTGAGCATACCGGCCAAAAATTATTGACAGCACGTAGTCCTGGTGCTGAATCATTCAAATTTGGATGTACCACTTTCAGAAGCGCCCTCCGTTCCTAATCGTAAACAATAGAATTACGTATCATTCTCAATTGTGATAATAGAAGATAAAGGTGCCTTGATCAGCTTTCAGTCTTGTTTGACCGTGTGGGTGATGAGACAATTGGTTGACACCTACACCAACTGGGAAGGGGTGTTATTTGGCGGATCGCGTTTTCGTGTCATGTATTAACGCATGGTAAACAATAAGATTTGCAGGCTATGGGTATGTTCTCCACCTTCTTCGCGTATTCTATAACACCCCACCATGCATCACTAATTGTTTACTGACTGACTGGCTGACTGGCTGACTGGAAATGGACAGAAATGGCCTACTCACCGCCCACCCCACTCACTCCATACTTCCGAAGCACGCGCAACTTCATCGTTATGGAATAATTGATGTGCAGATAGATACAGTTGATTGTCTCTATTCTAGGAATTAATGCTAAGAAGCTTTCTTCAGTTATTTACTTGCGGTTTTGAAACTACACCGGTTTTAATGTGTCACCCTATATTAGTGAATTCCTACGCCTTGTATTATATTCAGTAATGATTTTGGAGCTGAATTTTCCGTTGGTATTTATTTATACAAACATTACAATCTACTAGGATTGTGGATGTTGGACTAACATAACACTGTCTTGGTGTGAATAGGTAAGGCATTGATATAAAGACGTACTTTAACTGGGATACCGAAGCGTCATTGCCATAACTTATATATATAACAATTGTTGCAAATAACTATAGTGCTCATGTTTAAATTGTGCCCTTTTAAAAGATTACTTCAGTTTTATCATTTTTTATTCTAAAAATTGCAAAACATCATATTGCAATGTGATTAGTTTTAAGAATGCCACTTGACCCACTTGCTTTTTAAACCAGACCTCAGCTGCATTTATGCATTGACTGACTATTCAACTAATTCTTGAAAAGATTTAAGCGACAGCCGAAATTACAGATAATCTTGAATGACGAGTGTACTCACCCTGCCCAGAGAAAGATTCTTCCCTTGGGGATCGGCCAATTAGGCGGCCAGAGGGAGTGATGGCTGATTGCCGCGAGCCAGGGTGTCCACGACTGACAGATGCACGACGTCTTTAAAATGGTTACGCTGTTCAATTTTTTTACTGGCACCTAGAATTTCACCAGCACAGAAACAGCGCATTAAAGTCTTCCGTACAAGTTGATACCCATGGGTTTCATTCCCTCGTACACAAGAAACTTAGTCACTTCATGCTTTTACAACCACATACGCACCACTACAATTGCTTGCAATCCCAATTAAGTGTTCCTGTAGGATCCTCGACGCGTGTGCGGGCTATCCGTAGCTGAATACACCTTGCAATTTATCATCACGTGCAGCATAACATCCTGTTGCAGCGCCCCGAGATTTCCCAAAGACGAAAGAAGGCATAATACTTGGACAGAATATGGATGCTCGACATACAGTAGGTATTAGGGCTACTGGCATGGCCCAAAGGCTAGCCCACCTGGTGCGATACAATGGCCAAGTCAAAGGTGGCTCTGTACCAAAACCGACTGTTAAACAAACAGCCAAGGTATTACATAGTTCTTCTCCTCTTTTCAGCGTCATCCACGACACTCCCTTTTCTCAAACCCCCGCGTAAGTCATCACAACGTAGTCGGTGTTGTGAGGAAATACCCACGAGCCCGCCATACCACTCATCAAATCTCCATGCAAATAAGGAGATACTTCACCGCAACGTCACTAATCCCTCTTGGCAATTCTACTACATCTAAAGTTTCCTCCGGTTTGAGAAGTGGATTGGGGAACGGGGAACTGTGCCGGCCATCATGCGTGTTCATGGATAGACGTAGGAACACTAGCCTAAATACAGATTTGTGTGAGGAGGGATGGGATTTAACACAGGTCCATGGGGGAAGAGTTTCGTGTCTGTTCCTTCTTCTCACGTTGGTCCCACTTCAGATCTGCCCAGTCGCATCTATCCGGGCTCTAAGCAGCTGGTAGGAAAATGGGGGAGGTATCGCTAGTTCACTGTATCAACAGCTCTGTGCAGGTAACGGTAGGGAAATTCTGTAACGAAACTCCCAGATGATTCACGGCTAGTATCGCTTCAGTTGTTAATAGCTTTCCAGTAGAACAAGTGACTGGGGTAGTTGCCGAAGGTAGACATCAATTTCAGCCCTTCCGTTTGGGGTCATCGTCGATTCTCCCATTCGTAGCATACGTGCTTCTTCCGCCCCGCTAAGATTCATCACCTAGCAGCAGAAATCAGGATATATGTCCTTTAAGATCGGATTCGCATTCCGCTGCCACCAATGTGGGGACCCGAGACTTCCTCATAGACAAAAGAAGACATAATACTGGGATAGAATATACGTATTCGACAAAGGGAAGGCATTAGGGACAAAGACATGGTCCGGAGGCCAGCCCACCCGACTAAATACAATGAACAAGACAAAGTGGTCCTTTAACGATACCGATCGTTAAACAAGCAACCAATGTATTACACTATGTCTACAATTTTAAAAGCCCTCTTCTAGTTTGAAGGTAGAGATTATTAAGGGTATTATTGCTTCATTAAATGATTTTAACATTAAGGATGCATTCCTGGCTTTTACATCATTGTTGGTTTAACTAGCGTGTGGTTGCAACAAGTACCTAAGACTATTTACTACTTCATAGGTCCCTTCATTTGACTTTTTCACTTAGATCGTTTTATTTTCACATTATACATGCATTTATGCGTTTTTCTAGCTCCCAGACTTTCAGCAGTTATGCAGTAGCGTAACAGAATTGGCATTGGAATGTTTACATGGATAACTCAAAGCGGTTCAAAACATTACCAAGTAAAATTGGTCGGGATTTCATAAATTCAAGCACAAACAAGCATATTATGCGCACTTAAGCGGTTGCAAGTATCTTTTAACGAAAGACTAGTCATCCATCTTGTCACCTGTTATTATTAGAGATTAGTTTCGTGGGCGCTAACTACAACTGATGTTGTAAAGTGTTTGCTGCCAATTTGTAATTTTATTAGCCAACACTTTTTGCAGCATTGTGAGATGCATTAATATATTAAAAATCGGCCTTATTATTGCATTAATTTTGTCGAAAGTGTCTCGCAAAATCAGTCTTAGAAGTCGAGATACACGATAGCTTCAAATGACTGTAAAAGCAAGAGCTAAAAGGCTACACTACTGTGGAAATCCAGTCCGACCTCTGGTAATGACAGTGACAGTGATTTAGTAAGTACCATCATTTCAAGTTATCTAGGAAGATGTCATGAGGAATATCAGTATGTGTCAGAATATGCACAAGATATTTACTGATAATATGCCAATGTTATCATTCAGGGAGGGTGGGAGACCAAACCAGTCAGAAGAGCCCGTACAGGTAACGATAATTGAAACGGAATCAGTCTTTTACCTGGCCCTCATCCTTTCTGCGTCGTCTCCGACTTCTCACTTCTCTCCATTGCAATGTGGTCGGTAGTCGTTAAATTTTGGGCCCAACTTCAGTGACGCGTCTCGCCAATGGTGATGTGTCAAAAGCAATTTTTGCCTAGATTTGCTGTATTACCACTGGTCAAGACTGGATGAAGCTCTACAATGAGCTCATTTTGTATGCCACTGGCTAATCACAGGAATATTTACCGAAAATTGGGGCTATTCATTGAAACCCAGTAGTTGCTACACGTAGAGAATATTCTTCAATTATTCCCTGCCGCTATTCCAGAGCTACTTAACTGCCTGTCTGAATTTCAAAGGCTACTATAGAGTCGGAGGAAGTAATATTTTTTTTTCACGCATCCTCATATTATCACTGTAGCCGTGTCCATAATGATCATTTTCAGATAATTCAACTTTGGTATTGCAGCATTTGTTAATTTCTTCTGCGGGCCATAGGATTGGGTGGAGTCCCAAAGGGGAATGTGGCTTCGAGAACCCAACTCCTCTGTGGTTGATGCCCTTCTTCTATGACGTTGAGACTTGTTAATTAGCTATAGAAATTAGGCTACCACTGGCACCAATGCGGGGCCCTAATCTTTTCTTAAGACAATAGCCCATAATCGTATGGAGGAGACTTATTAATACCTTGCAGAGGGGCTGAGTGGCCACAGGGATGGACCAAAAACCAGGCCGCCAAGTGTATAGTTAACTGTGTACATAAAGCAAAGTATTGCATTAAATACTTACTTCCTTTGTGCAAGGTTTGGTCCGAAAATATGTTTGTTAAACAAGTTCTACCTACCATTTTTCGCTTGACTATCATATAAGCGAAGTTGGGCTCACATAATCTACTCGTGCATTCGATTCAAAGTCTTCGTTGGTAAAGTATGAGTTAGATAACAGTTGCAAGTACTGGTTACGCATAAATGAAAGAGACCTTCAACTACACGATTGCAGGCTTCTTCCAGCAGTTTTTCAGGTCAAAGCGACTACTGTTTTGAATGCTTTTACAAGCATGTTTACAATTCCACTTATCTGTAAATAAGGCAGCATACATCTTTCAAACATGGAAGATGAAATGAGCTGAGACACTTGTGAGGTACAGGACGAAGTTAACGGATGATTGAATGCCTTGATGGCAAAGGACCCGAACCATATCTTCGCAATAACCAGTGTACCGAAACACGCGCACTTCTGAAGGTCATTCGGAGCGTTTCTGCGTGGTCTGATTGGTTGGCACCCACTACCAGGTGTTTAATTTCCTGTTTGTATTATGGAAACCAGCTCAGCAAATACAACTTTCATGAACCATCTCAGCTGCATGCTGTTACTTTAAAACTGGATTTAAAAAACTTCAAGTGCACCCACTCAGTCACGACCAAAGCGTAAAAATTATTCTAGCCATGCCCTTTTATAGACAACGCAGAATTGGGTGTCCATACACATGCCCACCCTGTAAAAGTTAATAAATGAGTAACCAGGAAGAACAATTCACAAATATGTACAAAGAACAGTGGGGGATGTAAGTAGAACTACCCATTGCAAACACAGCTGATGCGTTGAGGAGCTTGAATGGCGGCAAAAGGCGGTGTTCCTTTGCATCTCACTGTGTGGTAGTACTGCCACGGGTTCATTCTACAATCTTGAGAAAGACTGCGCCTATAAATGCGCGCTTGCACGCAAGTGCGCGAACAGTTAGCAGGTTTTCGGTGAAAAGCGCGGATTTTTGGGGCCGTCAATGAAGGAGTGCATTCGGTAAGTAGTCACGCGTGGATCAAATTCGAAGGTGTCGCGCGCAAAAATGAGGCGAATATCCGTGTGCAGATAAAGGTTATTCGACTTTGTTGTATGAAATCTGCCAGAGGAAGAGCAGAAGCAGTAGGCCACCTCAACAGTTTGACAGTAAAAGTTTGCATTCAATCATAGAGTGAAGGGATAAAAATGAAACGAAGGTAAACCCAATTGAGTTTGCTCAATCCCGTCTACCCTTCTGAGACCACTCATGTATTATCTCTGCCATGCTATCACTTACACCAAAAAACAGTAGGAAATGGGGATTTTGGTGAGCTGATTCAATACCCTAATTACTGGAAAGTCATGAAAACCGCAGAGATAACTTCCACTTTTCCAAAATAATGAGCACAAGGGAAATTCGTAAGGAACGAGAGTTTGTCATATTAATGCCCTCGCAGATTGACAATGTGAACTGTTACCTTGAAATGGATGACTGCGAAACTTTTGCGTAAATTACACCAAGGAGAGTGGCATTCTGTCATACGATTATCCGTGGACAGGTGTGCCGCCGAAATGGCAAATTAATCCCCATCATCTCGTATGATTGATGTGATGGTAGTATTCCATCTCCTAAATCCCTCAATTATTAATGGGCGCTTCGTTACGACGACTGGAGAACGGGGGAATGTCTAAATGCAATCACTACCATGATGAATCAACTAAAGCCTGGAAATGGGTGTGGGCGGATTTAAGCTACCTCGATTCACGACATGGTGAGTGGGCCATACGGGTGTTTAGACTTCTACCCCTAACACTTAGCTCTTTATCATGCTACTATGGAGGTAAAGAGTTGTTACAACTTGGGGGAAAAATACGCATCGCAGAGGCAGTTGATCAATCAGAAAAATGTGGTCTAGCTTGTTTGAGAATAAATAAGGTTGTATAAAACTCGAACAAATTCCAAAGGGCTTTTACACAGCCAAAAAAGCAGTCTTTGTCGACATTTTGACCAGTATTAACTAAAAAAACCAATCGGGATTTTATGGTAAGGCGGGAATTCAATCACAAAGGGAAACGAGGAGTAAAAATAGCACCAACATCACCCTCTCATTACTGACAGTTATAAAAAAGTTACTTCATGTAGACGAATTCGAAGTTCACTTTGGGGGTTGCAAGGACCGTTGAATGGAAATGAGTTGCCCAAGGAGCGATGGTTGGAATCACTTTCCGATAGTCTTTATTTGCATTTTCAGGGAAGAAATCGAATTTGGTGGGAGACTCACCGTAGATGAACTAAGTAGCGAAGAAAGATGGGTAATGGGCCTGGGGTGGAGCTGAGAGGGGAAAGTTGGCGCTGTTCCAGACTCTCCACCTTGCCCTTCAACACGCACGACACCAAGTCGGAGGACACGTTGGACATAGGATCAGCTTCATCGTCTCCAGAAGTGGGCATGTAGACCGTCCGCTGTCGCAAAAACGTCTGACTATTTGCAGGCATGTCCTCTAGGTTATACTCGATTACAAACATCTTCATCACAGAGTGGGATGGGTTAAAGAGAGTCAACTGCAAATCGAAAAAGAAGTCTCTTAGATTACACCCCTTATATCTTGCTCTCCATATGAATAAGTACGTCATTACAAAGTTCGGATGGATTATTGAAGAAGCACATAGAGATGCCGTTTGAATACCAAGTACACATCTCACAATTCAGGGTGAGAGAGTATGTGAGAAGTGAGATTTCGTAGCCACGCAGCTACCTTTCCCATGTGCCTCAAAGTGGCATACTACATTGTGTGTGAACAGCATTACCAGTAACATGGCAAAAGGCCTCCAAGAATGAAATAGGACAGTAGATACATCACTAAAGAAAATGTGTTGGAAACCTGTGGAGAAATGGATAGCTGGATTCAGGCCTACCATTCAGCATGATAATATTATGTACTACTTTATAACCCTGAATACAAATTAGATATTTTCATTCATAAACATATTTTGCAATAAGATACGCCCTTCAATGACATTTCCCGGCAGCAAACACGCAAGTAAATATTGCGTTTAATTAATAATATTAATACAGCAACTAAAATTGTCTTCACCACTTTCGCATACTGTTAATGCGATTCTGTCTCTGATTCCCTAAAATAAACTGGCAGAAATCTTCACATCTCATCGGATTTGTTCTTTTTTGAATAGGACTTTGTGTAATTCTTGGAAAAGTTTTAAAAGCTACACTCCCCGCTTTCACTTGAATCAAAATTTGTAAGGAGACGGGGTATTTTCAAGCTAGTTAAAAATTTTCGTTAAATCTACACTAAAAATAAGATTCATTCCATCATAATTACCTCGTACCTTCGAATTAGAGTCCTCAAGAACACCCTCCGTTATCTCCTTTTTGCTATAAGCTAATTAAACTACAATTCGCCTGATTCTGCACCCATTAAAAGGCGATAATTTCCTAAAGCCAAATAATCCTGATTAAAATAAAATGAAAAAATTCTATTCCGAGTACATTTTAAGGGCTACATTCACCACTACCCAGTCTCAAAACCCCATTTATTTATGTTTGAGTTAGCTCTCTTTATCACTGTACCGAAAAAAACTGCAGACAAATCACTGGCTGTTAAAAATCAACGAACGCCACATGAAACGAGAAAAGGGACGATCCCATTTTATCGTTTTTGCTGCGTAAATATCTGCACTATCACGCATTAGCACCCACACCATTAGGTTGACAGGGCTAAGGGACAAGGTCTTGGAAACAATTCATGACATAAATGCACCTCCACACTTTGCTCACTTTAAATAATGAAATATGTAGTACTTTTGCAACCTTCCGCGCCCATCCCATCACATGACACACTAAGCATACTATTTTTCACCTCATCACAACTCCGTAGCAGACAGATGCAGGATTTGCCCACAGAATGCGCACTTTTCAGAGTTTCCAACTGGAGATGTTAATAAGTAGCAAACGGTGCTACGGTAATTACTAAAGTCTACCAGCATTTGAAAGTCCCTATTTGCAGGTTTGTCGAACATCCATAAGCGACCTCTATACGACCACCTAGATGCAAATTTTTGTTTTATTTGCTATTATTCCATATTTCTTCCCCCACGTCAGTTGCACTAGTCTCTCATCCTCTCTGTACGTTGATAATAGAGCTACTTAACGACCGTTGTGCCAGGAACAACTCGGTGGACGGATATGGGTCAGGGGCTGGTGCCAATCCACTCGACAAGCTGCACCATTTACTTGCCACCTGCGTGGCCTTGGTCTCCACATAGCAAACCAAATTAGTACTAGTAGAGCACTTTACAATAACTAGCGATAGTGTAGAAGAATGAATGCAATAATCTAACACCGAGCCCAGTTGATTTCGGGACGAGAAAATGCGCTTTGGCGGGGAAAGAAACATCACAGATCAATCAAGGTAGGTATCAGACAAGACAGTTGTATAGCAAAGACAAACCTGTATCAACCCCTTATGAGGCACGTGGTAGCCACGTTTGTTGGAAAGACCAGTGAGGTCTACATGACCGAGATAAGGCGAGGGTGTGTTGCCATCGTCCGAGAGTTGAAAGAAGTACGCTACAATAGGCAGCTTCACATGGACGGGAAAGAAGGAGCCGCTGGCACCAATCCCCAATGAAAAACCCTCAACCATTCCCTTGGGTGGAATGCGTCCGTTTAACATGCTCTCCTAAGTGCAAAAAAAGGGGACTAAAAGGTGCCCATTTTGATTGTATTTAATGTACTCAGTTGGCAATGATAATGATGCCACATTTGATATTTGCTGAACGAATAAACCGGAAGCTTGCACTCATCACAGGACCGAAAAACTATAAAACAAACAAATCTTAATGGGTTTCACTTCTCACAAGAGTCCTCGTCCGATTACCTAACCATCTAAATCTCAAGGGTACGAATTCCACTAGCAGGCAAGGAAATTTTAAAGTGGGATTTAAGCGTTATTTTCTAACAAAAAACTCCCATCAAAAGGGGCTGCATTTCAACGGAACACAAATACCAAAAAACCCACCCGGCTTCTAAAATTCACCATAACTGATAACTGATAAGACAGAAGGCAGTTTTGTGAGTTTCCCGCCCCCCCCCCCCCCACTTGACATCAAGATGAGTGAACAGGTTAAAACAGAATGCCAGACAGCCATTCGTGATTATTTCAGACAAATTCAAGTCGTCTTGTGCCGGATGAGAGAAAATACAACTTGACTCATCGCAGGGATGAGTAACCATAAAAAAAAACTCAATTTGGATTCCCAAAAGATTGGCATAAAGCTCTACCTAGACAACTTAATCCATAAATGGGGTGGGTTAAACTATTACTGCTTTTATCCCCAGTGTAAGGCTGTAGGCATTCAAAATAGGTACTTTTAAAGTAGGGGTTAATGGTAATTAATTTCTACTAATGATATTATCTGATCAAAATTAAGATTCCTTTTGATTTTAATCAAATTTCTCAAACAAGGATTTCTCTGTGCATGTAAAATTAGGTGGCTATATTAAACTATAAACTAAAATTGAGGAGAAAAAAGGAATGAGATTTGTGAGGTAAAATCTGATCTGACTGGAATTAACGTTAGCAAAATTAGCATTTGGCTACAGTAAACCGTCAAGAAGATGATCACCTTTTATTGCCAAAATTAACGAAAATGAGTGGAAATGGGATGGTAAACATCCATTTGTAGTCGAAGACGATAAAATTAACTAATGGCAGGAGCTTCATCTCGAGCCATTAGGGCAGAGACTGGGTGAAACACAACCGTTAGGCACTGATGTAAACTACTAGATAGATAAACCTCGAGTAATTGTGTTTGAGGTAGACCCTGTGGCCGTCAACATTGTTCTGGACTGATGAAACAATGTATGCCTTTTCATCAAGTCTTCCAAAAAGCCAGATGTAAAACGAGTTATTAAGGCGGTAAAATGAGGATGAAGGTTAGAAATTTGCAAGTCTAAGACAACTATCAAATCAAAATCCGATATTCAGAAATTACGATTACTTCAATTAATAGTATTTCAGAAAAAATATTGCACTCAAATTTGGCAATTTGACTTGACCAAAATAGGAACCGAAACAAGTGTGGACTGGAAAAATGCTTAAAAAACAAATTATAGGGGGAATGGAACGGGTCTTCAATCTACATAGACGTATCCCTCATCCTTAGAACCCCATCAAGCTGGTATGTGGGAAAGATTAGGCAAGATTATTAGCAAGTGAGGACCTACAAACAAACTCCCGAATTGAGAACGCATGAGATGAGACAGCTTGGGTAATCAGGCATTTGATGAAATGGCATTGCTGGTACTATTGTTGTTAAGCTATAAAAGCCATAGCAACAACTTTGGCTGGTATAATAATTGCTTGTTTTCAAATAACAAAACTACAAACGGTTTTATCATGAAATTTAAATAAAAGTCGTGGAAAGCTTCGTGATGCGTTTTCATCTGATGTAATATTTCGTAATATTACTCTGTCCACTAGACTAATATTGTTGCATCGTAGGTGCGGTTCCGATCCCCAAGACACTTGAAATCGTTTCTCAAAAATAGGGAAAAGCATTGATGGAATACTGTGATAAGTGGAAATGGGTAAGAGAGATTCCCCAGTAGTGCGATTTATTAAATTATTATATTTTGCCCCTAATAATGAAGTACAGGTTCTCTGTTATGCGTGTGCCTTCAGTGAAAATAAAATCTATTACGAAAAAAGACGCCTGTGCAATAAGGAGGGTGGATTGCTGTTTTGACTGCCTTTGGTCCTCCCTCAATTTAAGGAATGCATCACTGACGACTTCCGGACCATTCAAATTACGACAGCAAATCTGCTTTCAGCTGTAAAAGTAAGTTGCTTTTCCTCCCGATTCTTATTTTTTCACCCCTTGGTCTTCACACATCAACCAGGGGAATTGTTAATAATATCACGCATGGCAATCAACCTATACTGCCTGTAGAAATTATAGCTGTAAATATTAGCCCTGAAGCATATTAAATGTTCCATTTCCAACGTGTAAAGAGCACATAGACCGCTTGAAGAAACCTTCTTATGTAGCGTTAGATCGTTCTTGAGAAGGATTAAAAATGCCAAATCCCACTTGCACTGAGGCTAATCATCACCCGGAAGACGTGTTTTACCCTGTTGAAAAATCTATTGTTATGCGGCATTGAAAGTGAGAACTTGCACCAATCCAAGTGGTGAAGGGATAACAGAGGTTCCAGCTGCCTATTTGTAGTAAGCATTACCAGGATGCATAATTGCTTTGGCAGTGAAGAGCAAATCTGCACCAACAATCTACTATCGCTATGGGAAATTAAAATAAAATAGTAATTTTTTGTAAAGGAGAACTTTCAAAAGAACCAGAGCATGTAGGTTTAGGGCTGATGGAAAAGGACCGACATTTGAAAATGCAACAAGAGGGGGAAGACGTGAGTCCCCCGGTACAAAGTACTTCGATCAGTCTCAAAAATAGGCGATTTTTGAAAAAGTTGTACCCTATCGCATTCCCCTTAAAGGCGACATCACAAGGAACTACGCCCTCACCCCCAGGCATAGAAGTCGGTGCGATGCCTTATCCGCACCTAGTAATACTTTCGAAAATGTCCACTTAAACAATCGAATGGTACGCAGTTTGCAGCTTATTACAAAATTTGCTCTTACTCAAAAAGGCCAGTTTGGAAAAATTCGCAAAGCGGTGTCTGTTGGACGACAAAGTAGGCGATAAAACTATGTATCCGCCCAGCTAATTGGTGACTTGCTAGACACGCAATTCATTCATAACGTGATCGCATTTACTAAACTTCGCTGATTTTTACTTCTATGCGGGATATTCAAACTTAAGCGTTTCTGAACGTGAAAGAATTTGCTAAATGTATACTAAGTGCCTTTTCTCTTTGAGATCTTCCATTGTATTAGGCGCATTCGGTATGCTTCTGTTCTTCTCAATTATTTATACTGTACTGGCTTTTCGATCTTGCGAATAAAAAATGATTTCCTTCGAGCAAATAAAATGGTTATAGTTGGCTTTGCTACTGAAGATAACGGACACCTCCACTAAGTGCCTCGTGTCTATGATCCCCTACTATATCACAACTGACGTCCGCCTAGAAAAGAAAATCACTCTCTTCCCGACAGACCTGAAATATGAGAAAATCGAGCAGCACAAATCGGTTCTCCAGTCCCCGCAATTCTCGTTCTGTTCATGCCATTAGCCTTCCAACTCTTCTTAATGTTATCCATAAGCCTGCCTCAGCATCAGTGTCTTAAAATGCGCTCAGGGCAAACCCAGGAGTAATCATTGATGATAACAAAATGAATTTAATCTAAGGGGACAAAAATCCCTAAACGTCACGTGGATAGCTTGATTCCGCAAAAAAATAAAACAGAGGGGGTATCAAAGCTAGGCACACCTTGGACGATAAGCTTAACTTTGTGCTCAACAAAAAACGTCTCTATTGGACCGGAAACGAAATAATGCTTCACCCATATTCCTGGGTAACGTTGAAATGCGTAACAAGTCTCAAGGAGAAATGAACTCAGAATATTCTGCTTTGAGGCAGACGTCGTAGAACAACGTCACACCTTGATCGCTGCAAAGCCGTGATTCTCCATAGTGCAGTCCACAAAGAGTACACGACTCTAAATCCATAGGAGCCAACGCGGTGCCTTAATGCCACGCATTATTGAGCTCTCGGCTACTTTTTCCTTATTTTCACCTCATAATCAAACGTTGGTTAAGATTGATGGATGTAAAATGACATTTGTCTGGCTTACAAATTTAGTTTCAAGCTTTTCAAGGAAGCAGAGGCGCAAAACTTATCACGTGTATGGCATTTAATTTTAGTTCTAGTAAGGAATAATTTAAAGTGGGATGTATTACGTTCAGAACCACCCTTCATTCTCCATCGCAAATAATAGAATTATGTATCGTTATCGGTTGAAATGATTGGAGGAGATAGAGGTGTGAAAACCACCTTTCAGTCATGTTTAACCTCCTGGGTGATGAAACAATGGGTGTTAGTGGTGGAGGCTGGTGAGCACATGGATCCCATCTTAGTGCCATACATTAATGCATGGCAGACAATAAGCTTTGCAGGCTATCAACGTCTTCTTCACTTTCTTTGTGTGCCCAATAACACCCCAGCATGTACCACGAAGTGTTTGCTGACTAACTGACTGAGAAATGGCTTTTGTGATTCAACCTCCGTCAAGCGGATGAATACATCATCAGTTATCCTCCAACCGTCCACACTTCTGAAGCGTGTGTGAATGCCGCACACACGCACATGCAACTGGACACTTCTTAAGGACCAGGCAACAATTGCAGCTGAGTGAGAGGGAAGAAGGGGGAGGAGAAAGTGCCTTCTCCTCGTACTCTTCCTCCCTCTTTCCCATTTCGTATTTCACCAGGCCATGATTTTTGCCCTGCCTTGACATTAAGTGGATAATCACGTGATCAAAAGTGAAATATAACATGCAGTCAACAAATAAAGGTGAGATAGAGACACGAGTGATTAAAAGTAGATTTTCCCTTTCAGGAACAAAACATTCACATCGCAATAGTGCCTTTTTGGGAAAGAAGGAAAGGACAGATTGTTATGGCGACTATTTCAATAAAAAACTACCTAAGAGGCTTATTCTTAGAAAATAGTTACCTTATTTGGCTGAATTTTTTTAACTCTTTATTTTCATTGATTAAGCCGATTTCGTGATAAGTAGTCTTTTAGGATTCTCAAAATGGTTAATGACAGCATACTTTTATGATAATAACAACCGCCTGGAAATTCCTATGTAGACTAAAATTATTTGCGGTTAACTCCTGATATCAGTAGGGAAATAAGCACCTAACTTACTTCAAAGTTGATTAGTAGCCGATGTGAAGAATGTGGTGGGAGGGGAGTTACAGGCATTAAGACTCCACCGCCACCCCAGAGTACTCCGCCAAATGGCGATGTGGTGGTGGGGGCGCTGACTGTTCGACCACGTCGTGAAGATCGACGCTTCAGCACCAGGGTTGTCGGCCGTGCAGTTTTTGATGAATCGGCATCGCTATTTGCACCGTTGCTATGTCTATCGATAGTAATGGGGCAAAAAAGTAGGTGTTGCTGTAACCGCGTGGCAGGAATTCATCGGACGCACGCTTCGCATGAGCTGATTTAGATAAAACAACTTATTCTTGTAGAAAGGGTCAAATGACAAAAGAATTAATCCGGAAAATTGTGAATGCAGGAGAAGTAAACTCAGACATTTCGGTGCAATCTATGCCACAACTCGATTTGCATGTGTACATGAGCACAACAAGTGACACTTGAAACAAGTGCTGGAGGTATAAGGCGCAATTGCTGTGATAACGAAGTATTTGCCTCAATACATGCAAGCCATACTCAGTAGTGAAAAAAACCACCTTCATTTACCGTAGGAGATAATATATAATTAAAACTTTATTCCAGCCATTAAAATACCATCTTTCCCCATAAAAACGTCCGCTAATGGTATCGCAGAGGGAAAAGCAATAAATTGAACATTCTGCTTTACCGCATTCTTTATCAAAAGACAACTCAATGGGGATCCGAAGCTAAAAATTATTCCAAGATCAAAATAAATGTTGGTTCACTAAATATCAGCTCACGCTTTTGCAGAAGGCGAATGGAAGGTGGAATTGTCGAAGTCGAAATTATTAGCGCTCTTTTGTTTGATTGGCATCTGAAATAAAAACACAACGCCGTAATATCATTACTGGACAGTGATACCTAAGAAATTTATGTAGATAAAAAGACAATCAATATACATCTTAAGGGAAGGATATGTATAGCTCACAGGTGAAGACTGCAAGGGCAAACCAGTTTGTGGGTTGAAAGACAGAGAATGAAAAGAAGACTCTGTAAAACTTTTGCTCGAGAAGTGACGCTCCACAGAGTCCGCGATTGGCACGCACACTTCGGCCTTCGATGACTTATTCGTCTGCGCCTGTTTTTGTTGTTGCACACTCAGAGAGGTAAACTGGCTAATGCACTCGTCCACTCGGGGCCTACTGTCTTGCTGCATACGCTTCAATTTACAGGGTGGGGATTCAAGGAAAGACGTAGGTTTGGTCCATTTTGACATTATCACAACCGGGCTCTTCGGCACCTTGCATTTTGAAGTATCGTCGGATAAAGCATTGGGGCAACCAGCATACAATGGCACCTCGTTCCATCGCTTTGTGGGCAGACTCATTGTACCACTATGCAGACATTGCAGGGAGTCAAAAATAATGTCATTCAGTGGCACTCGTGGGAGCTCTAACACAGATGTTACGATTGTATCGAGGACCTCTCTGCTACCAGCAAGGACTCGACTGAGTGGTTTGGAAACACAGATAGCTGCGTTGTCTTTCCAATGAGTATGCGAGCAAGGGCTACTGCAGAGATATGTCCTTTTAGGGCTTTTTGTGCGTGTCGTTGTGTGAACCTCATCAGAAGTGTTGAAGTTATCCGTTAAGTCTCTGATAAGCCTGAGCTCGAAGTCTGTTAAATCGGTTTTCGCGTTCTCGCCCAAGAGTTCGTTGGAACTTATTGTGAACCAACATGAGGAAAATAAATTTGCTCTCCGTAAGTTCGTAAGCCTATGGAATGGCGGATAAAAAGATCAGAAAAAGCGGAAATCAAACCTTTTAAAGTGGTATTACAGTAGAGAATAGGATTTTTAGCTAGCGCAAACTTACCTGCATATGCAGCATAGTTCACTTAGTTCAGGAACACCACAGTAGGGTCCATCTCCAAATAGTACTTTGTTTACCGCTGATGACTTACAGAAAGAGTTGATGTCCTCGAAGAGTTTTGACAAATCTGACAGGGTGTCCGTCACAAGCCTGCAGGAGGAAAATTGAAGGCATAACTCGGTTTGAAAGTACTCTACATGTCTTAAATACATAGTACGGTGGGAGTGATATCCTGCCGGCAATATAAAGTTACCTTTTCGGGAGAAACTGAATTATCCATCGCTCCATTAAGTAAGCCGGAATCTGCTTGCTACTGGGAGACCAATCGTTGGTCCCCAGCCTTGATATTGGGAGTAGCAAAAATTCAATGACGACTGGATGACCCATGTACCCAATTTCCTTCAACTCATCATGAAGGGACATTACGGTGCGTTCCTACGATTATTATCTGTAAGATGTGGGTGAAAATTACATCTTGAGCTTGGACACAGCATGGAAAAACAATTTGTTCAGCACAACGATTACCACCTTGAGTTATTAAAGGGGTACCATTAACACGACCCCTTCGAAAAATTAGCTCACATATATTGACAAATGTTTCGGATGCTCTATCAGTTTCAGGATCAAAGGCGTTTATGGCAGAACACTTCAGCCTCGAAATAACCTTAGACTCGAAGTTCATTTCCTAAATAGCAAGACTTGGGAGCTTCAAACCATATTATCTTGGGCTCAGACAGCGCGGCACCCACTCTGACAAATCAGGTGACCAAGTCAAAGACAAACAGCTGATCGTCATTGGTGTATCCGACCTAGAACAATGGAATAATAAAACAATCGAATGAGTGAAATGGACACAAAGGCTGGTACTTGAATAAACGAATAGTTTTAGTTTAGGTGCATTTTTTGTATCAACATAAAATACCTTTTTAAATGAGAGTGAGGCGCCTATTACACACCCAGCAACGTTACCCACTCCAACATAATTTATTTCACCTATGTCTAGTCGATGTTACTTCCTAAATGTGTATTTAGAATTTTCAATAAAGCGTCCTTATAACAAACTGTGCGCTGCCGAGTCCCACATAGACGCCCCTAATTCGGCACCCTAAAAATCAACATCCACTGGGGACCCTGCCGAGTACTACTCAATTGTGATATGCGCACCCAACATTTACGAGAGGAGCAGAATATGTACACTCCGCCGACTTCAAAAATGTGGAAATAACCCCCAAGCGTCCCATGGTCGAACCTCCCACGGCATCCTCGCGGGAAAATTAGGCCATCCCCCAGACCAACTTTAACACGTATAACCCCTACCCACCAAACCTGCGATTAATTTAGGCTCAATGAAACCACGACGGGAACCACGAACGAAAAGACATCCACCGCGGCCCAGACCCACTCTACCAAGCGTGTCGCACACAAAACAAGCAAGAGCTCTACCAAACACACCGTACAGTTAAGTGTTAATCGTTAAAAAATACAGCTATTTTACACAAAAGTGATCCATGCGTCTGCGGACACAGATCGAGATGAAATGATTCAAAAGAAGCGAGACACAACACCACACTCAGGAGTCAGTCGATTTGCGAATTTTTATTTTGAAGTTGCTCGATGTCGGTGACTTCTACAAAGAAATAAAGGATTTTTCACAAGGTCAGGGCCACACAGACAAGCTTAATGCAATTACCTTAGGCGTTGAATCTTGCGACTGGCAGATAACATAGCGTTGTGGAGCCGAATCGACAAGACTTTCGCTGGGACTCTCGTGATCTTTTATCCGAACAAACTTTACTGTCAGTTAAGAAAAAAGTATGTTGACTAACACTGAATCAGTTGAAAAGATTTGCTTCAGACAAAAACTCTCCTTTCGAGACCAAGGTTGGGTCTATGAAAACTCTAATTTAGAGCAGAGGACATGAATTAAAATAACAGCTAATCATTACCATTGAGTTTTATGTTTTCAAACGGTCCAAAGCTACAGATCTGATATTAATGGTCCTTTTTTTACTCATGTTCAGTGAAGGCTTACAAAGCGCACTTCTTAAAAACTAACCTTTTGATCCTCGAAGGGAAGCCAACTCATCATCCGATGCGTTCTGCTTGGTCATTAAGTCCTCGTGCGTATTCACTACAGAAACCTGTGAAGAAGCACGAGGCGTAAAGTAAAAATGACCAGACAACATTGAGAGGAGATGAAAACCTTAGTCCCCACCTTCTTTTCCTCATCATCAGGTGCTTCCGACTCCTCTGAGCCAACAACACTACCTTCATCGTTGTTGCTGTAGCTGCCCTCGTCCTCCCCCGCATCATCATCACCATCTCCCTCTTCCCCGTATCCAACTTTTCTGAGCTGCTGTGACACCGAAAGCATTTCAATATCATCCGAACCGGCCTCCACTAAAGGAGTGCTATTGTGAATCACAGTGGTGGGATAGGCCTCTGCAGGCACCACATCCTGCGCGTCCATCTGGCAAGGGTACTCCTCTGCCTCCACGCGGCGTGGACGACCCAGACGAACACAACGATTTTTTCCACGTCTTCGCGTGGAGGTGGAAGAGCGGTTACTACGGGCTGATGGAGTCACGGTAGGAGCAGAGGCGCCGACTTTGACTGTGGTGGGGGCAACGGTGACGGAGGTGGCAGCAGAGGCAGGAGTGATGGCGGCAGTGAGAGGCGGCGGTAGTGAGAGGACGGAAGGAGCAGTGGTACGACGAAGCTGACGGGGAGCGTTCACGTCAACAGTTACTGCGTCCCCAGGTGTCACAACTGCAACGGTACACATGCTACATTGCCTGCAAAGAAATCAAACTGCAAGATAAAGTATCCACAAATTCACATTGTGTGTACTAATCAAATTTTCAATGCTAAAGTAAAACGGTGAGACAGCAGTGAAAAGGAGATCTTTAACCGGAAAGTAAGCTGGAATTTTGGGTGTTCGCGAATGGCAAGATTTTTCATCAAATCGTCAATGATTAGACAAATCCTGAATATATGTCTACTTTTAATGATTCAATCTAATTTAGCACGTGTTAACTCTAACACAGCTTGCAATTTAAGGTTTAATGTCTGCCATGCGTTAATATATGGCATTAAGATGGGATCCATGTGCTCACCAGCCTCCACCACTAACACCTCCTCTCAGGTGGTGTAGGTGTCAACCCATTGTTTCATCACCCAGGAGGTTAAACATGACTGAAAGTTGGTTTTCACACCTCTATCTCCTCCAATCATTTTAACCGATAGCGATACATAATTCCATTATTTGCGATGGAGAATGAAGGGTGGTTCTGAACGTAATACACCAAATGATTAGGGTCTGTTAAGAGGCTAACTTCTCAAGCTTTGAAACCGAAGTGGATTCCGTTAGTAAGGTGAACAAGCTCGAATCGCATCCATCAGGCACAATCAACAGTTAATAACGCGTGGGATAGAAATGAGGATGTGGTAGAGGGTAGGATAAAGAATACCATGCGGGTAGACTGATGTGCGAACGTTATAACGCATGCACACAAGCAAGCATATGCATTTGACAAATCTCTAGGAATTGTCATGTCCTCACAACGGCTCAAACCGATAAATTAAATGCTTTTTTAACTACCCAACAAAACATTTTTTGGATGCCAAAGTGACCACTTACCACGCAAAGAGTTTGCTTTGTTTTGGCACGCGGGTAAGAGGTGGATCAAGACAGGCTATGTGGAAGGCCTTTTTGCAGGTGTCACAAATTGTCAACAAATGCTGATCTCTATAGCCGTTGCAAACGCTGCATCTACAAGAGAAATGAGTGATTATCACGTAGGCAAAAAACCAAAAATTCTGTTAATTGTGCCATTTTTGACGTTATTAAGACTGACAGCAATGATACAGACATTAGCAGATACATATTTTTGCCCAATTGGCCTCCCCAGGCCCACGCACGCATGGCAGAGCTACTTCTAGACTCGTATAGGCGGCGTATTTGGGGGCAGTGCAAGTCCAATTGAGTAATCAATTTCACGATGTAGCACCTCGGGATCAGTAAAGTTACCGTCAAATAAATCGACAACAACCATAAGTTCCGTAATATCACTCAGACCGATGTAATGAGACATAGACGCCTCAATGACACAAAACGTTGAAACACTCGGACAAACACTAGATAATCTGCAATGCTATTCAAGCTGATGCAATTGCGGTTGAAAAACACTTCGCAAACCTGAAACACTCACTCATGAAAGATATTCTCAACTAGGGTACCGCATTCTTCAACAACAGGATAAGCAGACGCCTCAGAAACAAGAATTACGTCACTCTCCTTGTTCATCCTTTTGGCACGTTTTGACACCACTGTCGCTCCTTGCGGCAGCGTTTTCGTGACTGACGCGAAGGTCCGCAAACAGTGCGCACTCGATCACTGGTGGCTGCCCTGCCGCTACCACCACCATTACCAAAAGAAGTGACTGCAGTGGAGTCAGCAGTTAGGCTGCTGCTGTGGACTTCCACTACCTCTGGTGGCGCTAGAAGAGCGGCCATATCACCTGATGCTTTAATACCCTAAAATAGGAGTAGCGGTATCACTGACTTATTCCCAACATTCCTCGTTGACAGTATCCCGTATTGAATAGACGCCTAGAGTATTCCAACGCAGTTGCAATCAAGCAAGGTATCACTTATAAGTTTGAGGAAATGTTGCTCTTCATTCACTTACCGGTAAGATTTTTGATAAGTATTCCAGAAATTTAACGGCTTTGTTCCGATTATCCGCTATCCTCGCGTTTAATTCAATGAGACGAGTTGAAAGCTGTTGAGGAAAAGAAAAAAGTTCAGAAACTTCGCAAAAGGATTGTTTCGCATTTTGAAGCAATCCTCGCTCACACTGTTGTAATTTTGAGATATATTGGCGTCAGATAACTGTAACTCCCTCTGAACAGACTCAAGACTGGAAACCTTTTTGGAGTATTCTTCTATCTTCTTCTCACGCTCTGAAAATAGCAATGGGGAAATTATTCATTCGACCAAATAAGAGTGAAGGGGGGAAGCAATAACCACACTGAATACCTAGCACGTAGCTAATGAAATCGGGGCAAAACACTGGACAGCCAGGAGCCAGTGATTTGGAGGCCTCCGTAACAGCTGAACTTCCTGTTAACTCAATCGGGAGAGATAAAGCCATAGCTTTAGCCATAAACATTCGCATGGCCACCGGAGAGTTTTCCAGAAAGAGAGGCACCTTGTTAGGTCTTGCTAAAGTGAATGAAAAATATCGAAACCACTGGGTGCTCAAATAGCAAACCTGAGATACGTAACACCTAGACATACTATAAGGCACTTCGCGTTTGTTAAGCATAGCTTCATAGAGGCGACGGAAGTATTCCAATTTCCCCTTAAGCCTGTCATCCAGAAGGAAAAATTTGCTCTTTGGGTCATTGTTTGTTGCGGTAAATCCCTCCAGTTCATCCATCGAATAAGCATCCTTTTTCTCCTTTTCAGACATTTGACGCAAAAGACGGCATCGATTGTAGGCTGAGAGGTAGTTGCGACGACGTACCTTCGCTACTTGCTTATCCGTGTGCTGGCGACACTGAGCAAAAAAGGGGTCGGTTGGGTTCTGAAAAACAAGGGATGAAATTAATTCAAATTGCCAAGGTAACGAACAAATCGATGCAATGCGAGATAACTCACGTCCTCATAGGCTGGCTCAGCAAGCAAGCCTTCGCGTTGGGCACTGAGGAAATTAAAAATCAAGATTGAAGTCCTACCATGTGACATGAAAATAGTTCTTGCATAGGCCAGCGTCACAATTTATGCAGACACCAGTCCAAGCAAAGAATCTCTCCTCACACAAGCCACATTCCTTCGATGACCAGTCTTTTGCAGGCAATTCAGTAAGAGTAACCTAGCGGATTTGACGAAAGGAGATGTATACCTCACTAAGATATTCTGAGTAATTGAAAGCAACCCCAGGAGTGTAGAGAGCACATAGTAGATGCACCCATCGATTATTATCAGTTCGCTTGAATACGCCACCAAGATTCGGGCACAACTCACAATGCTAAGGTATTCTTAATAAGCAAAGATAAGACGTACGGGATTTTCGACACCGGCCAAGCATGGTTCACAAAACCATGGGTCAGTGTCTGATGAACTTGCACTGCTTGACAAGAAGACATCGTCGTAAACCTTATGACAATCTACGAAAATAACGAAATATTAAAGACTTGCCCTCATGAACGACGATTTTGCATGCATCACATTCAATAATTTCGTCATTTAGGTTGCTTTGTTCACCAAGACAAAGCATGCAAATTCGGTTAGATAAGAATTTGGAGGATGCCTCTGGCTTGTTAGAATCAAGCACCGAATTCTTGTGAGGTAGATCGACAGGATACGCCTCAGAAGGCACATTAATTGCATCGTGTAGGGTAAGATCATCCTTGGAAATATTTGGGGCGTGGGATACACCGATAATCCTTATCGAAGAATCCGAGTCATCGTCCTCTGATCCAGATTCTGATGAGGACGACTCATTCCCATTCCCAGAGCTACTCTCCGAATCCTCACTCACATCATCTATTGTAAAAGTAAACTCATCAGCTAAATACCATCATTCCCATCGTATACATATTCAGCATCACTTTCGTCCTCGAGATCATCTAGTAAAAGAGTTTCGGTATTCACCGGTTTAATTTGCCTCTTCGATGGATCCCGTCGAGCTAAAGTGAAAAACATTTAAAGAGAAGGGCCATACTAATTGAGTGTATTAAATCCCCCAATTTGTGATCCTTGGCCCTAGGTTTCATTTCCCACAAAGAGGCAAATATGAATAACACGGCAATTCTTGCTCAAGGTTGAGGTTTAGCATTACCAACATCTCTCCCATTGTCCAAAGTTCTTGCAAACATTCACCTAAGATCGCAGCAAAAAATGATTCTAAAAATATATTTAAATTTGTTCGTTCTGTTAAACTTCTTAAACTAAGACACATGGTTCAAAATGGCATCAGTGTGCTTTGGTATTCTGATTGGTTGGGTGACAAGCATTTGTGACTCTCACCTGTAATCTTTGTGCGTTTGCGTACTTAGTTGTTTTGTTTTGGGCCAATTTTACTATGCATGAGTTGCTGCTCCGGAAACTTTCATGTCGTATATGCTTCTTTGCGCCCACCTTTTGCCATGTGCAGCGTATTTGCTCCCGTTATTTTCGTGTGTCCCTTTTTACTGTGCACTTTCGTTAATGTGGAATTAAAATTGATTTAGTGCAATTACTTTTGATTGGGTAAACTTACAGCTCCCGATTTCTTCATAGGGTTTATTTTCGTTAGATCATGGTAGCATTACCTTGATCGGTTGGTTCAGTCTCGTCTGCATGTATTTTACTCCTCTGTTCTAAGATTTCCTTTTTTCTTTTCTACTGTGCACCTTTTGGGTTGGGGTTATTCGATATGTAAGGCCCATTTCTTTAATTCAAGTCCTTGTCTTTTTCTATCATAGGTTCATCGAAGTGAACTTCTTTCCCATTTTCTAATATTCTGTTAGAAACTCAGTCATTTTGAAGGTTATTGTTTTCATAAGGCATTGATTATTTTGCGTATTTCTTGTCGGTTATGGATATTCTGGACTACTCATTCTTCCAGTCTGTGTATTACTTTTTTGTGTCTTAGCAGGAAAGAATAGTTTCATTCTAAGCTACAAATGAAATTATTTTGCTTTACAAGATGAGACATTTTTTGCACTATAGTATATGGATCCTCATTATTGGCATCTACAGTCTATGATCATTGACCATGACCATCCGTACAATCGTCCATCTTACCTGGATCCCATTAGTACCTTGTGCATCGAGCCGGCCTTCAAATCAGACGGCTCCGATCTTAGTAAGGCAGGCGCTGGTCACATCTGGATCGACGTAGAAGGGGATGAAGCGAAATTTCCCAGCCAAGCGACAGAACCTTCTATTAATGAAAATATTTGTCAATTCACTAGATTTTGCACCTCCGGCCCAATTGAGGAACTGAAATATGATAACAACCAACCCTCTTACGCGTAAGTGTCGGGGTATTAGTATAATATTTCATTCAGAAGCTCTTCGCGAGTGACATGGAATACCACAGTCGATAAGTTACATCGAAAAATGCGAAAGGTGCTAGTGCAGACTGACTTGGAGGGTTCTATTTCTTCTCAAATGGTAGATTTGTGCTCTGTTTAAGTAGAATTGCTCTTCCAGTCAAGGCATAAGTTTGGTGAGTTTCGTCGTTACTCCTGTCAGGAGCTATTAACGAAGAATGTTGCGCGGCACATTAGAAAAATATTTACCTCCCTTAATTGGGTAAGTTCCTTTTTTGGTAGTTTATGCCCAAATAATCTCAGCGTATTGACACCTGTGCAGAGCTCCATGAAAGCCTGCTAAATACCTTACCCAGTGATCTGCTTCAACCGTATTTGAGTGGATATGCTTGCCTCATGCATCGAAGCAGGACTTCACCTCTTCTGCGCCGGCTCAATGCAGAGATTATCTCACAGCGCACAATGAAACGCTTTGACTACTCGAAATACCTTGATTGTGCTGTTCTGCCTTCCACCGATGGATTTGGATCCTTTCTTTCTCGTGCAACATATGGGGTGGGTTTTCTATTTATTCTTCTTCGCGTTTTAAATTCCAGCATTAGAGCCGGCTTTGTATCTCAAAACAGCGCCTTCACGATGGGTCGGCTAGTTCTTATTCACCCATAACCTGTATCCCTACGGATTGCCTGATAACCGGCAGCCTGGGTAGCTCAACGTCCACTCCTGGTCGTGCATCATCAATAATGGATGAGCCCGTCTTCATGTGTGTGATCACCAAGGTCTACACAAAAGGCTATCGCATTTCCAAAATGTTAAAAAACCTCTCGCAACTCGGCCGCCTCATGATCGTGCCCATGAGCGGAACGAATAACATTCAAATCCGCCGTCTCATTCGTCATTTCGTGTCTTTGGTGAGTGTCCCGCTCCAGTATTTACAAAACAGGTTTCTTTAACATCATAAGTTATTGTTTTCACGTTAGACAGAGGATCCACGTCCCATTCCGATCTATATAATCGGGTTTGGCGAACACTGTGGCATTGTGCTAACGGCTGCCATCACCTCGCCTTACCTCTTGCCTTCCTCAAACGGCGGTGCCCTAGAGGAAATAATCTGTGGTCGTTTGACCAGTTCTGACGCCCCAATTCCCGTGAAGCCATGGCTAGCGGGTCTCGTTCTTATCGCCCCACCAAAATCAATCTATCATCTGGGTGATCTTTGTGGTGGTCTTGATAACATTGCCCGCCGCTGCTCCCTCCTGCTGGTCATCAGTTCGAAGCACCAGGCCGAAGCGAACGCCTTCAGGGAGACCCTAATTGCTGCCCGCCGACGATCCACGACAGCTTCAGCGCATGGTAGTGTGAGTGGATTTCGTGGAATGGATTGGAAAGTACCCTGTGAATTCGACCTTCGCATGCTTGTCATCGGTGGTGTTGATCACCTCCTTCGAATGCATCCTGCCACACTGCGAAGGTTTGCCACTACGCAGAGTGCTATTGATCTAGCTGTTATCGTAAGTCTCCCTTCTCTTCTTTTTCTTTAACGAGTGTTAACGGAACTACTTTTTTGCGCAGACAGCGATAAAAAACCTTGTAGCCGTGTGTCGAGCCCTGGTGAATACGAGTGCAACACCCGTCTCGACACATGGAACTAGCGCATCCGAATTGATGGGAAGTAGAAATGCAACCGGTCTGCCAGTTTCCTGGTTCTCCAATACCACCAATATACAGCAGGAGAATAGAAGAGTTGCAGACAGTACCGCTTTTACTCGAAAGGCCTCAATTCTCCGTGGTGGTGTGCAGGCAAGAAGTTTCGCAGAACGTCATCCCCTCCCACAGCCCTATACTTCCAGACAAAATCCCTCCTTTCATCCACGGGACAGGCTTACCTACTCTGGTTCGTTCCATGATCTGCTTCCCCGATCATTTAATTTGCTTTCAATTGTCATTACTGATTTTCATACTTTTCAGCGGGCTGTGACGCCGGCCCGTTGATCAGGTACGGTGACGGAGCACGCAGCCGAACACTCTGCGGGCGACAAACGCAACAAAACCCCACCCCGTCAGTGTTCCTTGAAACACGAACTCCACGATATGATAGCAGTGAGGACATGATGGATTCACAACGCCTTGGACCCGTGCCGCATCCAGCCAACGTGAGGAACCGCGACACCCAATCCGGGCCCCATGGGGGCGGAAGAGCCCGCAAAACCCGCTTTTATGACCGAAATTAACTTCTAGATATTTTTATTACTTTATTTTACTAAAGATATTACACCGCACATGCATCATCATTGTCATCGATTCGTAACATCAGAGGAAACAGTGATGTTTGAAACTGTGTCTATCAGTCAGTCAGCAAATTAAAAGTGGAGGTAGACCCTAGGTGGATTCAAATGGAGCGTTTTCAACTTCATTACAAACAACGAATACAGAAATAAGTGGGTGGAAATAAGCTTGTTTCTCGATGGTATTTACAGAGGCGTGCGATGAAACGTTTTCACCGCTTAATCCTTCTCGCTTGGGCGGAGGCTGGAGTTTACTCTGCAGCCACCTCGGCGACTATGCGTTCCCAGTCCGCTTGGGTGAGTCTCATGGAAGGGAAAGAGTCGACTTCACTTTGAGGGACCTCCAACCCTTGCGTCTTCTCATCAAACTCGGGACCGATACCCCACAGTGATTCAAGGTCGTATCTTTGCCGACACTCTACCTTCGCGAACATGTGCAAGATGATGTTGCCTGAAAATAAGGAGCTCGAATTTTAAATATGGTTAAACCATATACTTAAAATATCAAGGAGGTGATTGGAATTTTACCCAAATCGACAGCGACCCATTCCGAGCGTTCTTTGAGTCCCTCAAAGGAGGGAATGGAGTCTGAGGACGCCCGCTTCATTTTAAACTAGAAGAACCAAATTAAAGTAAACAATCAATAAATGGGTGCGAGAAATAACAAAGGAGCATCGACGCACTAATTCTTGCAGAATTTTTGACGCTTGATATACATGATTATTTGATTTCGCAGTAGCAACAACCATGAAATCGCCATAGCACGCGACTTCTGGTATTCGAATAGCCACAACATCTGAAAATTTTTCGGCTCTAAGAAACTGAACGACTTCTGGTAGGTTGAATACACCACCACGAGATCCTAAAGTCATGCATAGGTTTGCATTAAGATCAAAAGTATACTTTTGTTGGATATAAAAGGATATCGGCATTCAGTGACAGACTGCGATACATATTCGAATTCCGGGTTTTCTTCAAACTGTGGCTCTACAGGCAAGTCGAAAACTTCGATGATGTCATCTTCATCGGTGTCCGCATTCCCAACCGAAATAAAGTTCTTCCCTGGATTGCTGTAGAAAACCCTTTGGGATTTATTTAGAAAGGAAAATTGACCAGGTCTTAACCCTCTGAAATGACGAGAAACGATTCCACATGCCAGTGTTGTCGGCTAAACCATAAGAAAATGGTAACATTTAGGACATCGAAGTATTATGCATCATAGCAATGCTAACTTCGAGTTCGCAAGTTGTATGTGTACTGAATCTGGTTAGTTACCAAAAAGAGAGTGGGAAAGGTCAAAAAATTGTCATACAAGTAAAAAGTTGCCAAAAAGAAGACAGCATTGGCATCACAGAGACAAAAGTACTACCTTTCGTTGTGTTTACTGCAACATGAAGTCTAATATCAAGCGCCTTTCTTGGCTTCCAAAAATATATACATAAACGTAGCTAAAGTTATACAATTCATAGAACTACTACTAAAATCCCACCTACTCGGAACATGCGATTTGGTTGCGAACTAAAGCATCTCGACTGATATTGCGTTAGTTCGAAGAACGCATTCATAAATTTGGATATCCCTTTGAAAAAAGAACTTAAGAAGCTCAGGTTTTTGCATCTTAATATTTTTCAAGCTGAATTTACGAATACAGTTGCAGAACTTAGCTCCCATATTTTAAGCATGTTTATTAAATTGTAGTGAAAATACCATAAGTAGAACATACTTATCTACGCCCGCCTATTCCATCTTATCATATCTATGGTTTTCGAGGCTTAGGTGTGCTTTGGTTTATTGACAGGAACCTGTGCCTTATCGCACTCCAGTGGACCACCTTGCAATGTTATTCCAAAATGCGGATCAGATATATCTTTTAGCATCAAGTGTTAATCTGCTTTTGCATACACGGCCCCTGTATCATGCAAAATTAACCTTTTGGATGGCCCATTTTTTGAGGGTGTTATCAAATATTCGAAATGGTTGGGATCCTTGAAAGAACACATCAAAACTGTTAAACGCACATTGCCAAAGCTCACATGAATACCTGATTAAAGTGAAAATTCGTGAGTCCGTTTACCACTAGCCTAAGGGACCCCTTTATTTTTCCTAAAGCAGTAGCATCGTCAAATTATTTGAGAACACATCCGAATTTCCCTTATTAAAGTCCAAAAGATTGCGTCCACTTGCTGTTGGGTGTACGATTCAATTCGTGCACGACGTTAAGACGCTGACCCACAGACTTATTATCAATCGCTTTTACGACACTACTTAGGCGCGTCCTGCTTCAATCAAATTGGAGGATTTAGTGCTGCTGCATGACGTAGTCAGGCTGCAGGGGCGAGATTGGGTAGCAATAAGGATTTTATGGTCTAACTCGTATAAACTAGTCACCTATCAAGCATTTCCAGTCTTTTTGAAGGCACAAAATACTCCAAATGTAAGGGCCAAGATTGGTCATTTCCTAATGTTCCAGTAAGCACCCAAAATTAACGTACCACTGCTGATGGGGGATCTCAATTAGCTGAATTTCCGTTACTGCGTTGGAATGCCTTCGATAGACGTTTATTTATAGCCAAAACTTCAATAGTACGCTTGCGTAAAAACTGTCCGACTAATCACACTTTGTTATCCGTAAAAGTTCCGGCTGCACTTGGAATGGATGACAGATCCTAACCTAGTAAAATGAATAAATTAGCACCAGGTTTATAGCTAGTAAATAAAATTCGAGGAAAAATAATTGAGGGGCCAATAATGAGATAAATAGATAGGATTTACTCTTAAATAAACCTCCTTTTAATTAATCGAATTTGTCTTTTGCGCAAAGGCGAAGAAGAGTAAGCACTTTTAAATGGCTATTGCTAAGCCTTGAAGTACCATTAAGGTATGGCGTGGGGTTGAAGATAGGCGCTTTTATCGCGTCGTCACTCATACATTGTCGGTGCAATACAACAGGAATTTCAACAAGCTGTGTTAGGAGTGTGCAAGACCTCAATATAGGGCGGTAAAGGCGAGGCACCAGAAATTGCACTGCTTTTCTTAACCTTTTAAGCTATGTTATTCATCTCTAGGATGGGTCAATTGATCGTGCATCTAGTACCTTAATGACGCAAGTTACTTACTTGCATGCAAGCAAATAGGATTCAACCTTGGCTCCTCTTGTCATTTTTATGGGGACAGTTACTTCCTACTGCTTTAACGTCATGTTCAAAATTTTTGTAGCTCCAGGACTT